CCATTCTTCCTTCCTCCCTCCCTTTTTTGTGGAAGTGGGGTTTGAACTCACAGCTTTGTGCTTGCAAAGCAGGTGCTCTACTGTTTGAGCCACACCTCCAATCCATTTTGGAGATGGGCTATTACAAACTATTTGCCCAGGCTAGCTTCAAACCTCAGTCCTCCCAATCTCAGCCTCTCAAGTTGCTAGGATTACAGGCTTGAGCCACTAGTGCTAGACAGTGATTTTTCTTTTTTAATATAGACATTTATTGCTATAAATCCCTGTTAGAACTACTTTGCTACATCTCATAAACTTTGGTATGTTGTGTTTCCATTGTTATTTGTCTCAAGTTTTTTTTTTTTTTTTTTTTGGTGGTACTGGAGTTTGAACTCAGGGCTTTGTGCTTGTTAGGCAGGTGCTTTATCACTTGAGACAAGCCTCCAGTTCTCAAGATATTTAAAAAATTTCCCTTTGATCCATTAATTGTTCAGGATTTAATTTCTGCATATTTGTGAACTTTCCAAGTTTCCAGTCTCATGCCCTTTTGAATATAAACAATATTTGATATAATTTCTATCTGAAATTCTGATATTATTTGATATTATTTAATATTATTGTATCTGATATAATTTCTATCTTGTTTTGTGACCCAACATGTGGTCCATCTTGGGAAATGTTCCAGGAATGCTAGAGAATTTGTATTCTGCTTTTGGACAGAAAGTTCTATATATGTCTATTGGGTCAACTTTTAAATTGTAGTTCAAGCCCAATATTTCCTTATTCATTTTCTGTCTGGTTGGTCTAAACTTTGTTGAAAGTGAAGTATTGCAGTCCTCTGCTATTATATTGTCTTTTCCTTCATGTCCATTAATATTTACCTTATACAGTTAGGGGCAATGATGTTTGGTGCATATATATTTATAATTGCTATGTTCTCTTGGTGAGTTGACCCCTTTATCATTAAATACTAGCCGTATTTTTCTTTTGTTTCTGGATTGAAATCTATTTTATCTGATATAAGTGGAGCCACCTGTGCTCTCTTTTGGTTACCATTTGCATGGAATATCATTTGCTGTCCTTTTACTTTCACCCTCGTATGTATTTACATTTAAAATGAGACTCTTGTAGGGCAAAATAGTTTCTGCTGGGTATTGAGGGGGTGGGAGAGGGAGGGGGCGGAGTGGGTGGTAAGGGAGGGGGTGGGGGCAGGGGGGAGAAATGAACCAAGCCTTGTATGCACATATGAATAATAAAAGAAAAATGAAAAAAAAATGAGACTCTTGTAAACAGAATTCATTATATATATTAGTGTGTGTATCTTGATCTGTTTCATGCTGCTATAAAAATATCTGAGCCTGGGTAATTTATAAAGAACAAAAATTTATTTCTTAGAATTCTAGAGGCTGGGAAATTCAAGGTCACATCTGGCGAGAGCCTTCTTGTGTCATCTTGTGGCAGAGGCTGAAGGGCAAAAGAGCACATTAGAAAGAAGTGGGGGAAAGAGAACCAAACCCATCATTTTGTCAGAAGCCCAGTCCTGTGAGGAGTAACCATCCCCATAACTGTCCCATTCCTGTGATTATGACATCAATCCATTCATGAGGTCAGAGCCTCTCTAAATAAATACTCAGTCTTGTGAAAAAGAACCAGGACTTCTTAGAGAAGTGGCTGACTCCAGATCTGGGGCCAGACATTTAAAACATGAGCCTGGGACTTGTAAGCAAGATCACTTGGCTCATGTTTAAGGGGCACAGGAACCATCTTTAAGGAGCTCCTGCAGGACAAATCTAGGAAAACTTGAAACACACAAATATGTTAAAATCCATGTGTTTATAACGGTACTTCAAAAACCAAATCATTGTTCACCTATAATTTTCATCCTCCCTACCTCCCTCCCTCCCTCCTTCCTTCCTTCCTTCCCTCTCCTCTCCTTTCCTTTCTTTTTTCTCTGTTTTTTTTTTTCTCTTGTTGAGACATGGTCTCACCCAGGGTGGCCTCAAACTCATGATCCTGCTGCCTCAATCGCCAAAGTGCTGGGATTATAAGTGTGTTCCACTACTCTTGGCTCTACCTTTCTCTCATGAGCATTTTTTAGTAGCCAAATAGTTGATGAGGGAATATTTTTTTTGTATAGAAGAATTTCAACTAATGAGTGTGTAAAGTCCTAGAATTGGAAAAATTATTTTCCAGTTTTTATTGAAACTGTTTTAGACACTGATCACGGATGACTGTCAAAGCTGTTAGGTGAGATGTGCAGCAATTTAAAATAATAATAGAGTCCTATTTTTATTGACCTTGAAGAAATATTTGGCATATGTCTTTTTAAGAACACATATCCATATAGACATGCACATAAAGACACATTAGTATTTACATGTATAAATATATTTCTCTCTCTCTTTTTTTTTTTTTTTTTTTGGTTGGACTGGGGTTGAACTCATGGCTTTGCCCTTGCAAAGCAGGAGCTGTACCACTTGAACCACCCTTCCAGTCCATTTTGCTATGGTTATTTTAAAGATGGGGTCTCTAGAACTGAGATCCTCCTGATCTTCGTCTCCCAGGTAGCTATGATTACAGGCATGAGCCACCAGCTTCCAGCTACATTGAGCACCTGATTTTTTTTACAGTACTGGAGTTTGAACTTGGGGCTTCTGTGCTTACTAGGCAACCACTCTACCACTTGAGCCAAGCCTCCAGCCCTTATATTTCTGAAATTATATACATCGGCTGGGCACTGATGACTCACGCTTATAATCCTAGCTAATTAGGGGGCTGAGATCAGGAGGATCATAGTTCAAGGCCAGCCTTGGCAAGTAGTTTGTGAGACCCCCCATCTCCAAAATAAACAGAGCAAAATGGACTGGAGGTGAGGTGTGGCTCAGGTGGTAGAGCGCCTGCCTTGCAAGTGTGGAGCCCTGAGTTCCAACCCCAATCCCACCAAAAAAAAAAAAAAAGAAAGAAATGATATATATGAGTGGTTATCTTTAGTTAGTGAAGTCATGGTTAGTTCATGTTGTTTTTGCGATTATTTTGTTTATCTGTATTTCCTGACTTTTCTGCAGTAAATAATTTATTATTTGTATGTTAGAAATTTTTTAAGGGAATAAAGTCTATAAAGATAGATGAAATGTTTCCTTATCCTATTGTTCTACAATGAACAAAGCATTATTAGTATAATTTTTAAAATTTAATTTGATGTAAATAATATGGGTGTATAAAGTCTGAATTTAAGTTAAAAAGTCAGTTTTTTGCCAAAAGTCTGTCTCAAAAATAGAGCATAGGAAGGAATGTGCTTGGAAAAAATCTATTTTTAGAAGCCCTGGAGATCTTGATTGACTTATTCAGGCCAACAGGGTAAGTTTGCATTTAGAAAGTGTAGTGCCTGGATCGGGTGTTAGGTGTTATATCAAGAAATATTGTGTGCTTAGTAAGAGGTTATCCTTGGTGTTCTCCACATGGATCAGAAGACATTTGAGAAAGCTGTTTGCTTTAGCTTCTTACTTTGAGGGGAACAAACTAAGTGGAATAACTAAAGAAGTCATCTGACATGGAGATGGCAGCCGTGGGAGAAGAAGTTGTGGGAGCTATAATGGCAGACTGTAAATATTTGACAGTATATTGTGGGGAAGAGTAATCACAGAGCAGAAGTTAGTGGGAAGTAGATTCCACTAAGGTCAACGTAGGACAGACCTTCTTTTGGCATTATCCCCAGGGAAATTGGTCTCCGAATAGGCATCTCAGGCTCAGTTCCTTTGCTGGGAGGAAAATGAGGTAGCATGAGCTGTGAGGTCTTTCTACGTATGAGATTGTGAATGGCAACAAGAAAAAGAGATCTCATTCACATACAAGAGCTAGAGGCTAGATTCAGGTTGGATTGCAAACATTTGCCTGTTGCTTTCATTTTTATGTTGCTACCAAATTCTGATGCTCATTGTTTGGGGTTTACTTTAGTGGTATTTTGTACTGGAAAGTGGACTTGGAGCTTCACTTTCTTTCATTTTAGCCAGAGTGTGTTAAACTAGGGGCATTTAAATGTATTAAGCCTTATGCTGTCTAAGTGTACAAGGAAAAGGCTAAACAACAAAGCTGAGCCGCTCCTAGTGTTGAAGATCATGGCTGCCTGTGCTCTTTGCCTCACTTTCCTAACCTTGCAGAAGAGCAACGGCAGCACCAGCTTGTTGAGAGTTCGGGGGTACAGTGCGTCTTCACGGTGTGTCTCTCTCATGTATTCCTTGAGGGCACATAGTTATTTGATAAATCTTTGCTGAATGAGTGAAGAATAAATGAATTAAATTTAAAAAGCCTTTTCTCTGACCTTGAATACAATGACCTTAGTTTAGTGAGTACAAAGGTGACATTCTAAACTCTGACACCAAATTCAGTTCATTTCATCTTACATCCCAACCTATTTTTTGTGTTCTGCCTCATTTAAACATCTAACAGAAGTGTGATTGTTGAGTTAGGATTAATGTTGGGGAGACATGTTTTACAAAATGACTTATCTTTTTATGAATGGATTATGACTGAGAATATTTAGATGTGACTTTTTTTTTTTTTTGTGGTACTGGGGCTTGAACTCAGGGCCTACACCTTTAGCCACTCCACCAGCCTTTTTTTGTGATGGATTTTTTCAAGATTGGGTCTCCCAAACAATTTTCCTGGGCTAGCTTGAACTGCAATCCTCCTGATCTCTGCCTCCTGATTAGCTAGGATTACCAACGTGAGTCACTGATGCCTGGCCTAGATATGACAACTTGGTACTTTTTGGGCTGGGCCTCTGAGAATATAAAGTTCATGTCTAAAACATTTTTTGAAACTGTTTTGTTTTTTTTTTCAGTAATGGGGTTTGAATTCAGAGCCTCCTGCTTGGTGCGCTACCACTTGAGCCACACCCCAGCCCTAAACTGTTAGTAAATTAGACAGATTTGACTTAAAATGTTAGCATTTTTAAAGATAGAAGGGAATTGTGATCGTGTTCCCTCTCAGATACTGAATTCTTCCTTTCTATGATTTTCTAGAGAATGAAGATCTGGAAAACACCAAGGTCACCTCTTCGTTGGCTTGTGCCTCTGCTCCAGGACCCCATTCCTCACCCTACAGGTAGGGACAAGCAACTGCTTTGGATAAAATGCTTCTGGAAGTTTTGTCTTCTGAGAGTAAAGGAATTGGTGAAAGAAGTAGGCAGCGACTTAAGGGGTAAGAAAATTGAAATAATTAATCAACCCTTAAATGCGTCTGGGGGGTGTGTAAGATCTATTTCAAGTGATACTTTTTTCATTTCTCTTCAGCTAGTAAAACTGAAACAAATAAACCAAGTAGTGTCCTGATTTATTTCTCCTGAAGATTATGTTCAAGTTGTTAAAACATTTGAACGAGGCCACAGGTGGACTTGCAAGAGAATGTGTTTAGTTTTTACTTATAAAACGTGCACACATGCACACACAGCTGGAGGCAATATTTTGTTTATTTAATTTTATTTTTGAATTAGCAAACAACAATACAAGAGGATTTCATTGTGATAATTCATACATGCATACAATATACCTTGAGCAAGCTCACCCCTCCATTGCATTTCCATTCCACCGTCCCTCCTCCCCTTCTTTTTCAGATGGTGTGGTGGGCTTCATCAGGCTGTCTTCATGTGTATACCTGCATCGTGCTTCCATCCTTCCATCTTCTTCACCCCTCAGTGTCTTTACTTCCTCCTACCCTCCAGACAGTCCCCCAAATATATTCATGTCCCATAATAATAATAATAATTGTGATTATTATTGCTATCATCAATTCAGGTCTAAGTTCCACAAGTGAATGAGAACATGCAGTATTTGGCCTGTTGAGCTTGGCTTATCTCGCTCAGCATGATGCTCTCCAGTTCCATCTGTTTTCCTGCAAATGACATAATTTCATTTTTCTTTATGGCTGAGTAATATTCCATGGTGTATATATATATATATCTCACATTTTCTTTATTCATTGACTGTTGGGCACCTTAGCTGTTTTCACAGTTTGACTATTGTGAACAGAGCTACTATGAGCATGGGTATGCAGGTATCTCTCTTGTATGTTGATTTATACTCCTTTGGTATACAGCCAGGAGTGGTATGGCAGGGTCATAAGGTAGGTGTATTGTTAGTTTTCTGGGGGAACCTCTAGAATGATTTCCATAGTGGTTGCACCAGTGCACATTCCCACCAAGTGGGTATGAGGGTTCCTTTTTCCCCACATCCTTGCCAGAGTTTGTTGTTATATGTTTTCTTGATGATTGCCAACCTGACAGACAGGTGAAATGGAATCTTAGTGTAGTTTTGATTTACATTTCCTTTATAGTTTATTAGAGAGGCAGGTGTTTTTTGTGGAACTGGGGTTTGAACTTGGCCCTATGCTTGCTAGGCAAATGCTCTACCACTTGAGCCATGCCTCCAGCTCTTTTTGCTTTAGGTTTGTAAAATTTACAAATAGTCTTATGTTTTTGCCTGGGGCTGGCCTTGTACTGCCATCTTCCTACCTACGCCTCTTGCACAGCTGGGATTATAGGTGTGTACCATCATGCCTGGCTTATTTTTTGAGATGGGATCTTGCTAACTTTTTGCCCAGGCTGGCCTTGACCTACAATCCTGATCTCTGCCTCCCAAGTAGCTGGGATTAGATGTGAGCCATCATGCCCAGGCTGTCATTCTTAATTTCCTTCTCTGTCCATTTTATCCATCCACTCTCATTGATATGAGTGTGCAGCAAAAGGGGGGTTATAGTGATGTTAAGAATGAGAGGAAACTATAGATCATTAATGGAATACAAAATAAAAGCCTACTTTTGGAGAACCCTGAGCTAGTGAGTACTGTAGTCCAGCTGATTAGTTTCTGGTACAGTATTGTCCAGTAGAACCTGTAGTCTCCATGCCCCATATAAATTTGGTGGTTGAGACAGAGGGAATGTCAAGGTATTTAAGATATTTCTTACTTGAGTTTTGTTTAGAAGTTCTTGTTTTTCTTAATTAAAGAATATGAAATAATTCTTTAATTAGTATTATTATAAGGTAGTTGGTGATGACATAATAGTCATGCTTTATTTATATTGACTATATTTAATACTACTGTTAGTCACTATAACAATAGTATTAAAATAGTTACATTTAGTACACTAAATAGTGTACTCAATGTTTAAAATATATTATCTCATTTGGTTCTCATGATAGCCCTAATGAACAATGTATGCCTGTTTTTTCAAGATGAGGAAGGTGAAACTGAGTTCAGTAAGTTCCCCATGTTCCTCAGCTGTAGCTTGTTTTCTTAACTAGCAGTAAAGGGTTTGAGTTCTGTGCTTAGACAACTAGGGTATTATCTGTAACACTCCTCCTCAGGGCTGTTCTTGCCAATTCCCTAAGGAGCACTTCCTTTCATCTTCCTGCCACCATTCCTTTTCTGCACAATTTTGGTTTTTTGGTGGTACTAGAGTTTGAACACAGTGGCTCTACCACTTGAGCCACTCTGTGTGCCCCCGTTTCTGCACATGTTGATGTGAGGTATTTTGGAGAATGGTTTTTGGCACAGAACTTTTTTCTCTTCCTAAAAGTAAATAAATTTTTGAGTGAAAAACACAGAACGTTCTTAGACAAAAAGAAATTTACTTTTAAAGTTTTGTTTCGAAAATGGAAGAAGTAAAGGAAAACTCCAGTGAGCATGGTACTGGGAGCTTAGAGCTTGTGCTTGGAGTCTGCCTGTAATGGGAACCACACAGTTTTTATCTTTGCTAGTGAGGCTGGCTGCCTGGCCTTGTTCCCCATACTTCAGGCTGGCCTTCCGCTCCAGGTCAGAGGTTTTTCCTTCCTGTGGTTTATCACTGGCATAAGTGATTTGCAGTTTCTCAAAATGCCCTTCACCAATTCTCCAGAGCATGAAATGCTAATGTGAATATCAAATTTAGGTGGGTATTGCATGCCCAGTTTGAAATATTTTTTTATAACCTGAACCATATTTGTTTAAAGTAGCATACACAAAGGCAAAGAAAAGACTTAATTTTAGATGTCACATACAGTAAGGTAAAGTTAGCGATTCAGATTAACTGTGATAGTCACAGCTTTCCCAGTATTATAAATGATAGTGTTTGTTCCCAAACAAAAATTAACTTATTCATTTATTAATTCAATGAATAGTTTTTGGGTATCTACTGTTTATTCATTCAACATATTTGTTGAGCACCTACAGTATACTGGGATTGTTCCAGGTACCAGAGCTATCACAAGTGAACAGACAGCACAAGCAGCGCTGTGTTGGGGCACCTCAGAATCTGAGCTGCCATCACTGTGAGATGTGCAGCTGCCTTGTGTACCACCAGGAAAGGAAAAGGTCATGTACGTAGAGTCTGATAGAGTGCCCCACACAGAGCTGGACATCAATGCAAAGCTAAAGACCTCTCCACACAGAAAAGGACTGCAAGGACATGAGTGTCTCAAACTTTGGACCTTGTCTACTACCACAAGTTAGTAGACATCCATCTGTTGTCTAAATTCACTGCCACGGTGGTCTAACAAAATCCTGAAACAGAGACATTCATTTCAAGCCATCTCAGGTCAGTAGCATTCCTGAGCACTGGCAGAAACACATGCAAACCCCCTGTAGAGGATTTGATGTCAGTCCACGCAAGCAGTTATAAGACATCACCGGTTTTTGAAATGTCTTATGTTTCAGTGTGTTAAAAATCTAAAAACAACACAAAATTCAAGATGTTGAGTGCATCTTGCATTCAACAAAATATGGTATATATCATGTTAGGCAGTAGTAAGTGCAGTGGAGAAAAGTGAAGCAGGAAAGGGCATAAAGAGTGGCGGGGAGGAAGTACGTTTTATACACGGATGTGTGGGAATCCTCTCAGAAAGCGATAGATAGCTGAGCAGAGAGCTGAAGAACGGAGCCCTAAGAAGACTAGTTTAGGCAGAGGCTACAGCAAGCAGAAGGACCCTCAAGTGGAAGGGACAGAGTGCATCAGGTCATTATCACTGGAGTGACCAGGGCAAAGCAGGGATTCTGGCAGATGGAGTCAGAGTGAAAAGGGCCTGAGAGTTGCATACTCAGGCTTGGTTCTAGATGCTGTGAGTACAGAGAAAGCAAGACTCGACATCAGCCTTGACATTGAGCTAGTAAAGGAGACAGATGATAAATAGTGTCAAGAAATGAAATGGAAGAGCTGGCAGAGTGGCTCAAGTAGTAAGAGTGCCTGCTTTGCAAGCATGAGGCTCTGAGTTCAAAACTCAGTGCTGCCAAAAGAGAAAAGAAAGAAACAGAAATGGAGTCAGGTGCTGGTAGTTCACACCTGTAATCCTAGCTACTTGGGAGGCAGAGGCAGGAGGATAGTGAGTTCGAGGCCAGCTAGGGTGAAGCTACTGAGGCCCTCTCTCAAAAACAGAACACGAACAAAAGGGCATGGCTCAAGTGCCCAGCATGTGCAAGTACACAGTCCCACAAAAAGCAAGCAAATAAAAAATTTAAAAACAGTAATTAACTCACTACACATTCATATAGATAACATGTTTTTGTTTTTGTTTTTGTTTTTTAATGAAAAACAACTAATTTCCAAAGCAAAGATAATGTAAGAAAAGAGACATTATAAATCTCTTTAATGTCTGGCTTAATAAAAGACAATTGGATGCTCATCTCTGCTTCTTGATTCATTCTGTCTGATACAATATGTCCTGTAGTTGCTGGAAAATTCTACCACACTCTTCAGAAGAGGAGAATGAAAAGAGAGAAATGATGTTTTAGTAGTTGTGTGAGAATGCTTTGACTTCATGGACTCCCTGGAGGGTCTAAGGACTATGGGGTCCAAAGACCACATTTTTATAACTGCTGCTCTAAAAAATCCATGTCACCATTTATTGGCAACAGATTTCCAAGTGAGATATTGTGCCACAGAGCTGGCATTTAACTTATTTTCTAGTTTTTCTGAAGCCATAAGAAATGGAAAGGAGTATAAATCATTTTGTGCCTCTTCAAAATCAACTATTCACATAGTTGTACTTTAAATTATTGGGAAAGTGACCAGGCGTGGTGTAATCCTAGTACTTGGAAGGTGGAGGTCATGAGGCTCACAACTTGAGGCCAGCCCAAGCAAAAAGTTAGCCAGACTGCATCTCAATCAACAAGTGGGCATGTTGGTACATGTCTATAATCTCAGCTACACAGGAAGTATAGGTAGTAAGATCAAGGTCTGAGGCCAGTCCTGGCAAAAATGTGAGACCTTATCTAAAAAAATAACTAAAGCAAAAAAGGGATGGGGGCATGGCTTAAATGGTAGAGCATTTAAATTCCTGTATAATGAGCGCACAGGAGTTTAAGTTTTTTGTTTCTGAAATTTCTTTCAAGTTTATTTATTTATTGTTTTTTGATGCACTCAGTCAAAACTACTGTAATAAATCTGCAAATAAGGCGGGCTTACTATAGACCTAAGTGCCAGGGAAGGTAGAGGGGAGGGGTGGGGGTGGGGTAGCCTTTGAATGTTGTTTCATTTCAGAGCTTGTACGAGATGGTTGTGCCTTTTCAAAGAGCCCTTGAATTGACATATTCTCTTCCTCTGAGAGGCCACAGATGGTATCTCCAGTGAGCAAGGACGCCACAGAAGATCTGCAGAAAGCCCAGGCTTTGAAGCCTCAGGCTCTGGTGGAACAGGAGTTGCTGCCTGCAGACCAGGCCCAGGTCCTCCAGGAGGTAGGGAGCCTATTCTGACTCTCACGAAAGGAGGTCTGGGTGCGTGGCTTAAGTGGTAGAGGCTCAAGTGCCCTGAGTTCAGTCCCTGGTACTGCCAAAAAATGAGTGAAGGAGCCGAGAAGCTCGTGGCACCAGAATTTAGACATTAAATGGATGGTTTGGAATTAGAAACCACTGTCACAGTGGTTCCCAGAATTCTCTTTTCTCCCTTTAGGGCATCTCAGTTTTAATTATTTGGAGAGTGATTTTCTGTCTTTCACAGGGCTCATCATTATATTAGCACCCCATAGGCTAAAACTGAAGTGTTAGCAGTGTTCACAAGCTATCTAAAATCCTCTTGATGTAAAGAGTCTATTGAGGTGCGGTTAGTAAGCAGTGGCCTCCTTGTCACACAGGTGTGGGGTGTAGGGATTGTTTATATTTTTATAGCATAGGTGTTATAATAACAATTGGCATTTGTGTCAGTAAAGGCAGCATAAGCATCCTGATGACATTTGTATGATGCTTTACAGTTGATAAGCATTTTTACCTGTAATACATCATTTACTCCTGAAAACAACCCTGTAATATGAATATCTGTGTGTCTTCATTTGTTAACTGAGACTAAGAGCTGTTATTGACTTTAGTAAGGCTATACAACTAAATAAGCTGCAAACCAAATCCGTAGTTTAGCCTTTTAGATAAGGAAGGATTCCCTTAGCATGTGAGCCAAAGTCTGATTCACTTCATTTAGCAGTGCAGATGAGAGCTGGAGGGCTGTCTTGAAGCAGACATTGTGAGAACATCGCCCAGGAGGATTGCAAACTTGATGTATTTATTTCTCAGAAATACAGTTCCAGCCCCCGAACTGGATTGCTGAGTCACTGATGTGTTCTCCTCCGTGGGCAGTAGGTATAGATTTCTTGTGGAGTTTCTTTCAGCTGAAGAAGGGTCAGGAAATAGAGGTACAGGAGCATGAAACATGGAACCCAATCCCAGGGATTGAAGGGAGACTCACTGGGGAGAGAGCACAGGCTCCTGTGTGGGCTAGTGTGTGCTTTGAGGATCAAATGCCATTTGTATTCTTCCTTGCAGGTTAGATATATGGCAGCAAATGTACTGTTCAAGTAGAAATTCTGCATGTGGTCCAAGATGAAATTGTAATTATTACTAGAACATTGTTAGTGACATAGAGGGTGATACACAACCTGTAGCTTGGGGATGAGAACAAGGAAAGGGACAGGGAAAGAAAAGAGGAAGGAGGGAGAGGGGAGTGGGGAGTAAAGAGAGGGAAGGACAGAGAGAGAGACTTAAAATCAGATACTCTCTGCAATGCTTTGAAGAATTGACTGGGAAGAAGTAGCCTTGAGTGAGAAGTAACCCTTGATGTAGGAGAAGAAACCCTTGTAGGAGGAAGATGTATGGCAAAGCAGGAGTCAGGCTAAACTCTAGGTCCAAGAGCTGCCTGAGAGGGGTCACTGGAGGTGCTGTGCCGGCTGAGGCAAGGTCAAAGCATGGCCCTGAAGCACTGCTGATGCAGCAGCCAGCAGCAAGCTGAGAGGATGTTTGTGAGGAAGGATTTTTACAAAGAGTCTGCAACAAAATGTTTTCCAACTTTCATAAAGCTGTAAGAGATGGGAAAGAACAGGAAAGAATCTTTAAAACATTCTCTGGTGACATTTTAAAACAGAATTTATGACTGGGTGCTGGTGACTCATACCTGTAATCCTAGCTACTTGGGAGGCTAAGATCAGGAGGATAGTGGTTCCAGGTCAGCCTGAGCAAAAAAAGTTTGCAAAACCTATCAATGGAAAAAAAAAGGAACTTGGCATGGTGCACACATTTGTCATCCCAGTGACAGTGGGAAGCATAAAACAGGAGGATCCTGGTCCAGGCCAGCCTGGAAAAAAAGTGAGATTCGATCTTCAAAAAAATCACAGCAGAAAGGGCTAGAATGGTAGAGTACCTGCTTAGCAAGCACAAATCCCTGAGTTCAATCCCCAGTACCAAAAATAGAAGGAATTTGAATAGCACATTAAACTTTGAGTTGAGGTCATAGGGCATGAGGGAAACCTTCATGTGAAAAGAGGTTAATTAAAATCTGCCACTGTTACATGTACTTTAACCAGAGTTCTGTTGTTCAGATGGCCAAGTACCAAGTTCCACAAAGGCCTGGAGACATCGTTATGATCCAGTCTGAGCACACAGGGGCTGTAGATATTCTTTCAGCTGATTTGGAATCTGCAGATCTTCTTGGGGACCACAGGAAAGGTAAGACCTTTTGAAATGTAGAAGGTAGATTTTTTTGTTTGCAGTAGATATTTAACCAAAGGAAGGTAGACAGAGAGAAGGAAAAAAAAAATGGGGTGTGAAAGGAAGTGAGAAAGCCAACAGAAAAAGAATGTCTTTAACCGTGTTAACCTTCCTAAGCAAAGTGCCAGGTATGGAAGCGTTTTCTCATGATTCCTCAGAGTAAGATGCCTGTCCTTTCAGTTTCCCCACCTCTGATGGCTCCGCCATGCATCTGGACCTTTGCCAAGGTGAAGGAATTCAAAAGCAAGTTGAGCAAAGAGAAGAACAGCCGTCTGGTGGTGAAGCGGGGTGAGGTGGTGACCATCCGGGTACCTACCCATCCAGAGGGAAAGCGTGTCTGCTGGGAATTTGCAACTGATGACTACGACATTGGCTTTGGAGTTTATTTTGACTGGACCCCGGTGACCAGCACTGACATAACTGTGCAGGTCAGTGATTCCAGTGAGGATGAGGATGAAGAAGAGGAAGAGGAGGAGGAAATTGAAGGTAAATTTGATTTTAACATCACTTTCACTTTTCTTTTCTAGCTCAGTCTAATTGCTAAGGACTACCTCCTGGGTTGTAGTCCTTCTCCTCTTCCTTAGCATGCAGGTGAGGATTCCAGCATTGCATGCTAAGCCGAATGATTCTCGTCAAAGTCAGATCTTCAGAGAACATCCAGTAGGGTTGATGTCGACGTCTCAGTTGAAGGTTTCCTCTCTTTTAAATCAGTACCTAGTTTCTTCCCCAGCCTTTCCACAGGGGTAGGGGTGGGGCAGGAGCAGAGAGAGGGGGGAGTCAGGGTTTCCAGATCACATGTAAACCCAAGGTTATGCTACATTTTTCTCTTAGCTTGGGGGCATTTATTCTTGGTCTGGAACCAAAATGAGTGATTATAATTTGCTAAATGTACTCATCCTTTCTCACCTCCAAACTGTCATAGCTGTCAGATGACTGGTTGCTTCTTTATTTCATGCCTAGAGCAATTTTAAAAGGGTCTCTGTGCTCCATTCCTTTGTTGTTTGTGGTGTTTACTCAGGATGGCTCTGAGACATTTTGGAGGCAATCTAAGAGTAGGTTCTAAGTTTTAGCTTTATCCCTTGGTTGTCTTGCATTATCTTGAAGACATTCCCTTCACTTCTTCAGTCTACATGAAAAACTACAGGTTTATATCATATTTGCTGCTTTCGGGAAGCCTAGTGGAAGTGTTAGGGTCACTCTGTACAATGTGTTTTACCTGTGTTTTCTATTTTTTTTTTTGTGTACTGGGATTTGAATTCAGGGTCTTGATAGGCCACACCCTCAGCCCTTTTTGCTTTAGTTATTTTTTTGAATAGGGTCTTGCATTTTTGCCTGGGCCAGTCTGGACTGCAATCTTAGTTATGTTCCTGTGTAGCTGGGATACAAAGCACACATCACTAACTTTTGTTGGTTGAGATGGGGGTCTCACTGACTTTGCCTCGGATGGCCTCAAACTACCATCCTCCCAATCTCTGCCTCCTGAGTAACTAGGATTACAGGTGTGAACCCACCATGACCAACCCTACATTTCCTATTTCTGTTAGCTCGTCTTTTCAGTTATTGGATAAAAGGATTTCTAGATCTTCCTCTCAAACATCTCTTTCTTCCCCTTGGAAATATCAAGATACTTCTGTACCTTATCAGGCTAATTCACTGTTTCTCAGTGAAGACAGTATTGGCGTTTAGGATGGGACTACCTGACCTTTGTTATAGAGGTACTATCCTGACGTTAGCATTCCTGAATGCTGGGTTTCTGATTGCCTGTGTTTGTCAGTAATCATTGTGATACCACAAAGATCAGTAGACATTTCTAAATGCCCCTAGGAGGGCAGTAGCATCCTCAGGTGAAAGCTGCAGGGTGACCTGGGCTTTTATTTGCAGATAGGACATATTCAGTGTCTGACTTACATCCAAACTCTCTGCCCTTTTGCTTCTGCAGAACCTGTCCCGGTGGGAGATGTGGAGAGAGGCTCTAGGAGCTCCCTACGGGGTCGCTATGGGGAGGTCATGCCTGTGTACCGGAGGGACAGCCACCGAGATGTGCAGGCCGGCAGCCATGACTACCCTGGGGAAGGCATCTACCTGCTCAAGTTTGACAACTCATACTCACTGCTCCGCAACAAGACTCTCTACTTCCACATCTACTACACTAGCTGAAGGACGCTACGCGGGTTTAGGCCATATCTGCTGGCTGAAGCAGGCTGCCAGCTGTGCCTCTTGTCTTGCATAGGCAAGAGGAAAAAGTTGGTGTGAGGCTCCTGGTGTGGCCTCATACCCTGCCTGGCATGCCTGACTGGTGACCCCCTGTAGCTTTCTCCCCTTCTTGGCTTCTGCAGTTGGTGGTGTAGCGCCTCGTTCTGTGGTCCCTGACTCATGCTCTTGTTGCTTCAGATTCCAGCAAAATCCCTTTTGGAAGGCACCTATCAGGCAAAAGCCTAAAAGGAAGTAGAAGTTTGTATAAATGGATTTGTGTTGGTACAAGGTTTATTATTCAGATGGCTGCTTGCTCCTCTCCAGAGCCTATAATGCTGATGCATTTAGTGGCACACACCCTCTACTTTTGAGGTGCCAGAAGAGGGAAAAGCACATTGCCTATGAAAGAGCCCAAAATCTTGGATGGAGAAAGTTCTGTCCAGCCTCTCACCACTGCCATATTCCTGCCTGCTGGGTATTTTTGGTTTCTAGCACAGGCTGGGAGACCTCACTGCCTTGGAGGGATAGTATCATTCCTGATGTTCAGATGACTCCTCTTTTCTCTTTCCTATGTCTGTGTTTTTGCCATGTAGCAAAGACTTTCATGCAATCTAAAGTGGTAATCAATGTAACCTAAGATCTGGGAAGAAAAGTGGCCTCCATTGCTTCCTGTTTCCAGAGCTAGTTTCCCTTACCAAGGGTGCTGTCAGTTGATGAAGAAAGGGTAGAAATTAGATACTAAACTGATCTTAGAACCAACAACTTTGAAAGTCAAGTATTACTCTGGTTTTTTTGTTTTGTTTTGTATAATCAAAGATGGAGGGGTATCATATAAGAGAGAAGGTTAAAAAGAAAACACTCCATATTTCCCACCATGTTTTTTTTTTCTTCCCTGTCTTTAGGACAGAAGTGTTATTCAGAAATTTCACTTTGGAACCAAATGCAATGAAACCCAATCAGGTTTCCAAAGTTTCTGGTGTTCAAAGTCCCTCTTAGGTAAACTTGACTATGTTGCTGAGTGTATGTGTTCTTTACCCGACCAAAGCTTGCATTTCTCTGGTGACAGCCTTTCTCACTGTTTATCCTAAGGCCCAGGGGTACTACAGAGTGCAGGTGGTGGTGTGCCAGTGGTCACCAGAGCACTTGGTTTTAGGTCCTTGGGCAGAGAGGGAGAACCAGATGAGACAGGGACCTCAGTAATCATCTGTACCTCCTTGTTTCTTATTCCTGTGTTAAGCCTGTTAGTCCTTTTGAATTTTGAATAATTAGATTTATTTATTACTTTATTTATGTAATTTTATTAGCACATTTCATTTTGCCTTTGAAACAGTTTCCATCTGTTTCTCAGAAGGCGTCCTACTGCTCTGAGCCATGAGCCTACCCCTTCTATGGAGTTAAAGAGGCTGATTTAGGAGAGTTTGAGAAGTGGTTGTGTTCATAGTTATAGGTCAGCCCTGTGATGCTTTGGGAGGAGTCTCCCTTTCAACATGGATGACTCCATAGCCCATGTGCCTAAACCTAGCGCATGTTTAGGCACAACCTTGCACCCCGCCATGAGGAATTCTGAGTTACGAAGGATCTGCCTGAGTGCAGAGGAAGTGACTACCAGTTAGTGATTAGCCAGTGATTCCAGGTATCAAAGTCCTTGCCTCCTCTGACACTTTTATGGTGTTTCCTTTGGCTCATTCCTTCATTGTGTGGATGCCTTACACCCAGACTCTCTACAGGAATGGCCATTTGAAGAGCAGGACTCCTCCCAGTAGGACTGAAGTAGCATCTGTGTCAGGAACAAAGGACATGCATCCCACACCTCTGTTCCCCAGTTGCAAAGCCCAAGCAGAACAGGAGTGTGGGCTTCCGCAGCCTCACATTCTCTGAGTGACATCAACCCTCCATTATTTTATCATTGTAAGTGTGTTTTGTAGCTAGCACCGGTGGCTCGAGTGTAATCCTAGCTACTCAGGAGGCAGAGATCAGGAGGATCATAGTTCGAAGCCAGCCTGGGAAAGTAGTTTGTGAGACCCTATCTGGAAAAAACCTATCACAGAAAAGGACTGGTGGAGTAGCTCAAGGTGTAGGCCCTGAGTTCAAGCCCCAGTACCGCTAAAACAAGCAAACAAAAAGCAGATGTGTTTTGTAGAGGATTACATTGGTCAAAATTTATAAACTTTGTGAGAAATTATTTGGACAGTGAAATGCAAACATGCTGTATGTCATCCCACTAGACAGCTAAGCAACCTCTCCTTTGTTGTGGAAGTTGAATCATGCCTTAGCTAATTGAGCATAAAATAATCTTCTACTGAGCTATTTTCCAGTCAGGAAAAGTTGTGCGTATATTTCCTGTTTATTATTGGCTTCTGACTTCCTCTCAAAATGGAGGTGTCAGGCTATGCATAGCAAACTCCAGGGATAACACATATGACTTAGCTCTTATTTTTGCTGTAAGATTCTCTTCACTTATCAAATTCTTGGGAATCCTAGTTGTGTTGCATCAGGGAAGCCTGAGGGATTTGTTCTCATCATCCTTGCGTACCTATCACTTTTGAAGTCCTAGCATGGTTACTTCTCATTTCTTATTGATTTTTCCTTAATAGGCTTTCTTTGTTCCATTATCACAAAATAGCTAAAAGAACATTTTCACTATCTAATGTACTCACTATTCTTACACTAAATTTTTGAAATAATTGAACTTGGTGGTCAAAATATTATTTGCTGAGTACAAGTCATTACTGAGAATTCATAGTCCAGCTAATCCTAACAGGTGGTAGCTTTCTCAGATCTTCCCCATCTGAGTTCACAGAACCAAATAATGAAGTGAAAATCATTTCCTTTCATTCTCACCCTGTTCTCTAGAGCACAAATAAATCTTAACCAATAATTGAAAGTACTTCATAGGAGGGCAGAGATTGGAATTCTCTACACAGAGTGGCTGCATTGTTAATTCGTTTGCTACTTTGTTGAGAGATGGGGACTTTCATTAGAAAGGAAGACATAATTAAAGTGTTAATTTTTCTAATATTTTGTTATGAAAAATTTTAGCAAATAGAAAAAAGATGTGAACATACACCACATGGATTTAAAAATTATAAACTGCTCACTTTTAAGCAAAGGTAATCCTAACCTTCTGCTAGAAGTATGCAGTTAGAGAGTATATTCCCTGTGGACAGTATCTGCTCTCCTATGTCAAGAGCTCCTGGCTTCTAGCACATCTGTTTATTCAACATGGGTTACCTAGGAGGTAGTCTTCACAAAAATGGTCCTTGGTCTCCATCTTTCAAAACTCCTGCTGTATTTACCTGCCTTCTTCAGGCTATGATCTCTGCCATTTTCCTCTCTAACTGTGTGTCACTGTGAGGTAATTTTGAAGCTGCTTTGGAAAGACTTTATGCTAATCTGTCACTTTATGACACATCCTCAGGACTCTGAAATTCAAACTCAGTACTCAGAGAACATGTAGCTTTATCATGGAAGTAGGTAGAAACTTGAAATTAGACTGTTCTTAGTTATCTTTTTTTTCATAATGAATTGATTAATGCACTTTAAAAATATTTTTATCTGTTATGTAGGAAAACATAATGAACTTTTAAAAAAAGTATGTATATTGTCCCATTATGATATGGATATGGAAGAGTTAACTCTGTAAGTTCACTGTTTTATATTAATCAGTGGAATTAGATATTATCGTGAAATTTATAATATATAAATTTTGTTTTTGATGAGCCATACCCAGTCCTTTCAGAGAATTAGGTGAAATCCAAACCCTAAAGTCTGTGTGTTGTATTTTAAAAGACCCCTTCTCTGCAGAAATTTGCCATTAATCTCAAAGTCTATAGTTACAAGGTATGGACTTGAGTGACCCAAATATTTACATAAAAGACTTGTTTTAGTGAATGGGCGGGGGCGGGGGGCGGGGGACACAGGAATTAAACAGCTTTGTGCTGCTTGAGAACTGCCTTTTAACTTGATGGCAGAGTGGAAACAATAGAACAGAGGGTGGAGCTTAGAATTTTGCTCTTATCTTCATTTAATGCTTTAGTGTGCATTTTGTTTGTTGGGATCATTCTTTAAGCCAGAGCCTTACTGGTTCTGTGCTTGTTGGGAATTCTCAAGCCCACTTTGCTCTTTTCCAACAAGATCAACTAGAAAAAAATTTTTTTAGTAGGTTTCCTCTGCTAAGTATAATCCTGACCTGAAGACTGGTTTCATCTCTGTTCCTTGGGACTTTCAAATCTAATGTCATGAAAAGATAGTGGGATTAGAAAGAGGCCAAGAAGAATCAGTCCCAGTTGTGGTTTGAAGCCATAGTTGGCTTTCATTGTGGCCCAGAAGGGGATGAAACAGGTTCGCTTTGACCAACACCACAGAAGAGCCTAACACTGTGAGTGAGTTTGGGTAAACATGGGCCTCTTGTAGGCCGACTGCACAAGCAACTTTAATCTGTGAGGGATGGCATATACACAGTAGTAAGTGGATCAGGCCACACAGTTTTTCCCCCTATCAGAGCCTCCATTTAGAGTTTCTCTCAGAGCTGGATGATCCGCATCAACCTCTTTAACTAGTTTCTTTTCAAATGGCCAAAAGTATAGAATGCCTAGGAACCCAGGTCTGCTGGAAAAGGGAATAGTACCATCCCTGCAGAGTTTGGGTGGTTGAAAAGAGTTAGAAAGTGAGCTTCTGTCTGAAGAAAGGTGATTTCATGTCACTGCTGTGTGAGGGGCAGTTTGTTAAGGATATATACTGTTTACAGAGAGCAACTCATTGTATTCTTTGTGTGTTTGATTGTGCTCAAGGAGCCATCATGGGCTGGGGTGATGGCTCAAGTGGTAGAGCACCTGCCTAGCAAGCACAAGGCCCTGAGTTCAAATCTCAGTACTGCCAAAAAAAGAATGATCTTCAGAGAGCTATCACGCATGCTCTGGGGAGTAAGTAGGGAAAGAGTATTAAAAACCAGTCACAAGCTGGGTAGTGCTTTTCAATGACCCAAGTAACCTTTGTTCTTGGTGGCCTATTTTGGAGAATGGGAGGAGATACTCCAGCAAGAACTGCTGTAGCTCTGTGTATCTGGTGATGGTCAGTGGGAACTCTGCTCTGTCTAATCCACCTAGCATGTGGAGGCATTCCCAAATAACATACCAATTATCTAGGTAATAAGGTTGGGGCAGAATTTGTGATCCAAAGGGAAGGGAAACTGCTGGGTATTGTGGGCCATATTTCAGAATCACTGTTCCCTTTATGGTGTCACATTGTCTGCTTGAACCACAAAGGCAACACAGAGCTCCTGTTTCAATCCCTTGTTTTGAAGCTAAGAAAACATAATTATTGGCCTAAAGCCTGATGTAGTATGGAGAGTATAGTTCATTTACAGTCATTCTGGGGCAGGGAGATGGCTGAAGAGACAGGGAAATTATTTTTAATAGATCTTAAAAGGGTCAGAGCTGGTAGAGTGGCTCAAGTGTAAGAGCACCTGCCTAGCAAGTGTGAGAACCTGAGTTCAAACCCCAGTACTAAAGAAAAAAAAAAAAAAAGGCGGAGGTGCAGACTTAGACATTGGAACAAGAAGAACTGAAAGGCCAGAGCAGATAGGCCCCTGCACCCCTCCTTTTACATGTAAGTTAAAGGGTAGGGAGACAGGGCTATCTGCACCTGCCTTCTTCTTTGGGATATTAAGAATCTTCAAGGCTCCTTGGATAGGAGACACAGAGAAAAATAAAAGCTACGTCTAACAAATGAAAGGCCTAACACACCTTTTGTCCCTGTGTTTTTGGTAGGCCTTGATCACATCTCCATGTTTTCAAATAATAAACACCACCTATCTTAGCTACCTAGAACCATTGTCTAGTGATTAGGACTTGCTAGAAAACGCTCATATTCCCTCATTTCAGAAAATATAAAGACTACAGATAAGAACCATCATTTTGAGTCTTTACTCCCATTTTCTGAGTGGAGAGCAGGAAATATTTTCCCCCATTTCTCCCTACTTTATGCTGTTACACTAAAATAAGTCCATGCTAAAACTTTTACCTTGTGAGATTCCCTGTGTAAGACACCTTGAAATTCTTTTCACAATCACGGATCTCAAGAATCTGTGATTTTGTGTGGAAATGGGAGTCTGAGGGAACCTCTTCATCTCATCCAGTAACAGCTCCTCACAACTAAGTCCAGAGGCAACACACTGGCTTTGAAATTGTAGTCTTCTTCTCTGGTTTGAACTCATGATCTGATTTGTGTTGTTGGTACCTTGATTTCTTCTAGGCCCCAGGCAGTGGAGCACAGTTAGGATTATGGCTCTTTATTCTAAGACATGATGAAAAGAAAGGTATTCTAGAAATCTAAAGATACAAGCTGCTTTATGAAATTTCACAGTTTTCTGAAATTTTAAGCAGGTAGTCTGGGATTATCAGGGTAAATAATATATGTAAAATGACTTTCAGGGACCAAGTATATTTTCTAAAGTTCTGACATAGGATCATGAACAATTGTGTTTCGAGTTGAAAAATTATGACTGAAGAGCCCTGAGTTCATTGTCAGTTTAATGGGCTCTCTTCTTAAACTCCTCACCACTCAGGGTTGAAATGCCTAGTCTGTAACGTTCATGTTACTGTTATTGTTGATTCTTGGGTCAGGCCAGGAATCATCTGGAAAACATTATCTTAAAATCTTTTCTCATGTCCCAAACAATACATTTTACTAAGATGTTCCATGTTAAAAACAACTTTTGTCCTTTTCTGAGATCATTGTCCCATAAGTGAGTTAGCTTTCATTTAATCACCTTGAGTTATTTCCATTTAGCCATGTTAAAGAACAAGTAAGATCTGGGAAAGTAATTCGTGACCCATGACTCTGATATACCCACTTTCCTTTAATGATAATGGAAAGTGTTTTGAAATTCCCAGAAGAAATGCTGGGGTGCTTTGTAATAGTAATTTAAAAAAAGAATTTATAAGTGCTTTGTGATCAAAGTGATAGATTCTAAGAAAGCAGACTTTGGGTAACGATAGTGGGAGTACAGGTTGGTGCTTGAAGATTTCCTAAATACTCTTTGCCTTTAACTTCTGTCTCTGAAGGCTTGCTTTGCAGCCATGCACTTGATCTATCAGTTAATTGAAAGTGATCATCATGTTTTCTCGGTAAATATTTAAGCAATTGGTAACCATGCAGGTATTTTCTTTCCTTACTATTCCATATCAGGCACTGATGCTGACATTACAAAAAGGGTCTAGAAGGGAAACTATATCACAATCTTTTCTTTAATACCAAAAAATCCTAAGTAATCATTTATTATAATCAGCTTGTTTTATATGTCATCCTGTCATGAGAAATACTACCAACACCTCCTGATTTCTACATTAAGAACTTTGCACCAAACTGTTACTTAGTTCTTATCATCCTGCTGAGTGGTTTTTCTTTTTTGAAAAAACCGTATTTTCTCACCCTGTAGCCCCGAATGTGTTGCTGTGATACACTGATGACTCTGAGCTATGGTTCTTTAAATAGCTCGGTTCTTGTGTTTTTATATTATGTAACAATTGTGTGATGCTTTTGTGCATTCTTTGTCTTCTCTTCCCAGTTTTGAAATCCGTCATAAATAAACTTTTTCACTGTGCACCTAAAACACTTAGAGTTGTACGTTAATGAACCAGATTTGCATTTTAAATCCCCTTTCATGTCTCCCATTCACCTCAAGAAGAAAGGTATTCTGTGAAAACGTGGGTTCTTTTATAATCTAGATAGATTATAAAAATTAAAAAAATGAGAATAAGGGCTGGAGGTGTGCTTTCTTCCTAGAAAGTACAAAGTGCAGACTGAATTCAGACCCCAGTACTGTACCACTGAGAGAGAGAGAGAATAAGATGAATGACAGATTATTCCCCTGAATTTAAATTCATGGCAGAGTATTATGAACTAGGAACTGGTTTTGGAAAATTAGGTTTATAGTAATGATTAACAAATAATACATTGAATTTTATGTCAATATTTGGTCCCTAGTGATGCTCAATCTTTCCAGGAACATACTTTTCAAATTTGGAACCAGTACTGTGGACACTATGCTAATCATTAACATAGGCTAGATGATACATACACAACTCAGCATGTTTTCACTTTCAAAAATGACATCAAAACATAGCTGACATTTTGAAAAACAGTGTCTCCTCACATTCCTGGTACCCATTACAGAATGAGAAGGACTTCCAGCTGAGCAGCGGAGGGGTGCCATTTAAATATTTCCTTCAATGATGCTTGTGATTCTGAGATGAGTTTGTGAGAACAGTCTCTGCTTTCCTTTGCAATGTATTTTAGAGGCTGCAGTATAAAGAAGGGATCTGAAATTCCTGAGTTAAATGAATATAATTTGCCCACTAAACTACACCACAGCCAATAAAAAGCCCAGGTAGGTAATATAGAGATCTTTAATAGGTGATGTTTCGGTATACTAGAAGTAATGTGTCACTGCTAACATATAATAGATTTAAGATTATTTTTAACCCTTAAAGTCATTCATATCTTTCGTGTCATTGACCTTGATTACACAAGACAGCCCACAAATTGCAGCTCTTGTTCAGTCTTGTTCTTTAACCCATATACTTCTGGTTTAAACTCAGTAGCTATATTAGATCAGAGTATTCTCTCAAATTAGAATGGTGCCTGTTGTTTGAAATGTGGGCCCCAAAATGACCACGTGGAGAGGAGTGATCTGGCCAAGAGATTCTTTATTGCCGGGTGGGAGAGGGAGAGAGCAGAGAGCAGAGAGAGAGAGAGAGAGAGGGTGGGGGGTAGGGGCTTAAATACCCCTCAGTGGGGCTCAGCATGATCTGATTGGTTAGGATCTTATGGTTCATGCTGATTGGAGGTTGGGGCAGAAGGAGGATTCAAGCTAGACTTGAGGCAGGACTGTGACCCTGGGAGGCAGGACCGTGACCCTGGGAAACGGAGGCTTAAGGGTGCAGTAAGAACCGAAACCTATCGGTGCCATTATTGCCAACACCTGTGACCTTGGACTCAAGAGCTAAGTAAATAATTTTTTAAAGTTGGAAGGATGGTCTGGTACAATGACTCAAGCAAGAGTAGGGAGGAACCAATACAATGAGTATTTATTTTATGAACACATGTATCTACCTGCCTATCTAATAGGTTTACCACTTTTCTTAATGGATACATAAAATTTCTTTGAAAATAAATCCTGTACTTTTTGGTTTGTTCTCAAGTACTTCCTAGTAGTACCTTTCTTCTGCTTTGCTCCTTCGGAAGTACTGCTGAGACTCATTACTTCCATAGAGCTGGGTGACCTTCCTGTCTAATCCCAGTGTCAGGTCACTCCAACATCTGCTCTTATACCACTGTGGTTACTTGAACTGTATCAGGTCCCCCTGTGGCCTCTAGTACATCGGGACCATGTATCTGCTGATTGTCCCTCACAGATCTAAGAACTGAGATGGAACTTGACTTTGATCACTCATTAAGCTTTTGAGAGAAGCGTCTGTTGTCAAATGTTTCTCAAAAGATGATGATCTTTGTATGGTTTGAGCCTCTCCAAAATTCATGTTGAAACTTAATCCCCAATCCAACAGTATTAAAGTGGAGCCTATGGAGGTAACTAGGTCTTGAGGGCTCTGCCTTCACGAATAGGATTAGTTTCTTACTCAAGGGAACTAAGCCGCTTTCGCCCCTACATCCCTTTCACCATATGAGAGAAGAACTGAAGGCACCATCTTGGAAACAGATCCAGGCTTTCACCTGACTCTGAATCAGTTGCCTTGGTTTTGGCTTTCCCAGCCTCAGACCAAGAGAAAAGTTGGTGTTCTTTATAAACTATCCAATCTCAGGTATTTCTAGTGGCATAAACATAAGATAGTCTTGGGTTAGCTGATACATCTGACCTCCGAAAATAAGAATTTATTTGCAGACTTGAGAGAGTAGCAGAGGACATTTTCAAAACCCCTTGTAAAAGCTTAATTATTACTAAGCCTTGGCACCGTCTGGTCTAACTACTAGAGAAGCCTATGATGTAGGGAAATATTTGCTCCTTTATCATCTCCTAAGGCCCTCAAAAATGAATTTACAGGAGGCTGGGAGAAGATAAAACACCGTGTGTGGGCGGGGAGACAGCATTCTATAGTAAGGACATCTTTGTATTCACCATGCATCTATGGAGTAGGGCTAATCTCACTGTTTGATACTACAATAACAGTGGTGGTTCAGGGGGCCAGCCTCAGAGGAACTTGCAGGAACGCTGCTCCCAAGCAGGAAAGATGGTATAGAAATGAAAAACCATCTTAGAGAAAGCCAAGTTTCTCTGAGAATCAAGAAGGAAGTTCTCTCCTCTCTCATGTAACCAGCCCTGGGTCTCTGGAAGAGGGATTCCTGTGGGGTGGGGCTGAAGCCAGGAAAATCTCATCTTTATATTTCTGAGCAGCAGGGCAGCCAACCATGAAGATGACCAGGACTCCAACAGAGGCACCAGAGCTGGAAACACAGGATAGCCTCACTCTGACTCAAAACTTGAGGCCCAGAGACAAGAGAGGCAATGCCTCCTTCTGAGTCATTCAGAGAGGCCAGGGCCTTTACTCATCCAACTGCTTCCTCCTAACTCCTTTTCCATCCCTCAGTTGATCCTGGGTGGTGGCTTTCTCTCTGTAGCCCTGCCTCCTCCCTCTAGCCCTCCCAATTCCATCTCCTGTTTTCCCTGACTTCCCCACAGCCTCAATCTCTGAAACCCAGAGGGGATACCAGAAAGGTTGTTGCTGAGGCTTTCTCTTTGGTTCCAGATGATGATGGAGGCAATGGTTCCCAGCCCTGGCCTTGAGAACAGTTTGCATTGCTGTGGACTGTGTGCAGAGCTCCCATGACCTGGGTTCTAGCTTTAAGACAGAAACATTTCCTTTGCAAAAACATCCATGAGGCTGTTGTCCTCAAGATGTTTTTGTTATCATGGACTATTGTCCTCTTAAAACTGGTGTAGCTGAGAACCAGAAAGAACTGTCACTTCCTCTGGAAGGCACACAAAGTTGGTGGTGGGCTCCCTGCAAAAACCCAGCACTTTCTAGGTGAGTTGCTCAGAGGAGCCTGGAGCAAGTTTCTTTTGTTTAGACACATTTATGTTTTTGTGGGGAAGGACAGGTTTGTCTAGCTTGGGGGGAAAAGCTAGGATGGTTTTATGTCAACATGACTGGGCTATAGGCTGCCCAGATTAAAATGATTCTTGTGTCTATAAAGATGTTCCTGATGAGATTAGTATTTGAATTGATGGCCTCAGTAAAAGCAGATGGCCCTCCCCAGTGTGGCTGGGTACCCCCCCAATGTGTTAAGGGACTGAATAGAACAAAAGGTGGAGGAAGGAAGAATACACTCTTATTTCCAGCCTCCCTGCTTGAGCTGGGACATCTCACTTATCTGGCCTGTAACTGAGATTTCTACCATTGACTCCCCTGGTTCTCAGACCTTTGAACTGAGACAGAATTACACCAGAATTACACTGAGTCTTGCAAGTGGCAGATAATGAGGCTTCTAGCTTCCATAACCATGTGAGAAAGCTCTGTATGGCCCCCCACCCCTTCCATCTATCCTCTCTCTCTGGAGAACCCTGACTAATGCAGGAAGGCTCAAGGAGCTCTATTGCTTCCATGTTGAGAAAGAGGAAAAGTCACAGCCTCTGTTCCCTACCCACCCCCAAACCAGCACTGATTTTCACTTCACATTTGACAACTATTAGAAAACTCCTGGCTCAAGTGGTAAAGCACCTGCATAGCAAGCCCAAGAGCCGGAATTTAAACCCCAGTTCTCCTACAAAAACAAAAAACAAAAACTTCCAATTGAACTACAGAACCTAGACCATGGGAAGAATATGTAAAATGAATTTTGTGCATTAGGTGAGAGATGGTGTGTTCTCTTTTGGAAGTACTGGGGTTTGAACTCAAGACCTTGCACATGCTGGGCAAGTACTCTGCCATTGGAGCTATGCCCTCAATTTTCTTTCTGGTTTTTTTTTTTTTGCTTTAATATTTTTTAGATAGGGTCTCATGTTTTTGCCTATGGGTGGCCTCAGACTGAGATCCTTTTATCTAAAGGATCTCTTAGCTGGGACCACAGGCATGCCTACCACAGACAGCTTATTGATTGAGTTGGAGTCTCACTAACTTTTGCCCGGGTTTGGCCTCGACCTACAATGAGGGCCAGTTTTTTTTAATACTGTTTGATAATGGAGTCCATTAACACCTCTTTTCCTGCTTTACATTTCCTTAAACCTGATAAAGCTTTGGCCACCAGCTTGGGGATGGCTGATGGAACCCCAGGCTAAATAGGTTAATATTTTGATGCTGTCTAGGAGGAGACTTAAGTGAGTTGAAATATGTCAACTCCTAGAAGTCATCCTGGAACAGACAGACAAGCAGATAGGCAATAGTTATACAAAGCTGAAGTAGAGTTAGAGCTGCTCAATTAAACTTTGAGGAGTAAGCGGAAGGACAAATGCAGAAAAGCAGGGTCATACTTGTATCATTTTCATGACCGCCCTATGACACAGACAGCAGGTAACATTCTCACTTTAAAATCTACAGGAGTTTAAATCACCTTCAATTTTGGACGTCCAAATCAGAAGGGGGTGAGAGAAGGCGACTTCTACTAAGGTTCTTGTAAAGACCAAGTGAACCTTATCCAATCAGATGTCTGGAGTAATTTAGGAAAAAGGTCCATGTGGCAGCAGTGCAGGACAAGAGGTACCACTGAGTCTCCCTCATTATCACTGCTACCTTCCTCTCCTTCTCTGCTTTGGGGAAAAGAGGGCTCACTTTGGTCATTCTAGAGCTTGGAACCCAAGTCGTCTAAGAGAGGAGAGGCCACAAAAGAGCCCAGGATGAGAGGAGAGACCTAGGAGCCCTGAAATTGGGCTGGAGAAAAAGAACACATGGTTGAGAAAAGTGCTTCCATTTGAACAAGGCACACAGACTGTATTTTCCTGTTAGCCTCAGCAATGCAGAAGAAATGAAATCAAAGATATGGGTCATAAAAGGTTGTTATGTTTCTCCCTCAGAGGCTAGCCCAATCTCCCTATATTCTCTCTCTGCTAAGAGTGGTCCTGACTCTGCCAGTTGCCAAACATGGGGACTAGCTCTCCCTAGGACAGCCCATGGTGCATTGTCACCTGGCTGGTCTCAGTTCAAATTTGTCAGTAGCTGTTCCACTGTCCATGGGGGAGCCTGGATCATTCATGACTGGACTTACTCAAAGTGGCCAATCCTGGGTCTGGCTGAGAGAATGCTGCCTCTGAAGATGAGGGGTTGGGTTGAGAGGCCAACTTGCTGGAGTGGAACTCTTAAAATTAACAACAGTATGATTCCTGGTCCTGAGAACACAGCTGGTCACTAGATGCTTTCTTTCCTGCTTTTTTTATCGGTTTCCTCCCCGGATCTGATTCTGTCAGGTAGGCTTTGGGCTTACTTCTCTTCCTTGCCTGTGTGTTTCAGTGGCTGGGCCTGTTACTGGGTGGGCACGTGGCTGACTGGCTTCTTCTACTGAGTCCAGGCATGGGGAGGGGGTTCCAGCTAGGGCAGTGATCATCTTCTGGATGAACTGAACAAACTGGGGGCCTGGCCTTCCGCTAATGACCAAATTCCAGTGTGAGCTTTCTCTGATGTCAGGTTCAATAAGAGAAGTGCAGGTTTCCTATGGTACTTTGGTAAACTTGCCAGGCATTTTAATCCATGTTCTTGTGTTATTTTCATGACTGCTCTGACACAGACAGGTCACATTTCTGCCCACCCCCCACATGACCTGTAGCAGATAAAGAGGACTGAGGCACAATGAAGGGGGAAGAAAGAGCCAGAGTTCAAATTTGAAGGCTAGAGTCAAGTCTCCGGCCTCCCCAGTTTGGACTCGTTCGTTTCCAGGCCTGTTCAATTCACCCAGCTCCTGTGCCCCTCTCCCTGTCCCTGTACTAATGGGGCAGGGTTTGGGAGCTAGGCCCTCAGCTCAACGGGTGTATCTGGCTGTCGGCAAGGGTGAGACACTTGGAAGGCCTCCAAGGCCAGCAGCGTCTTGTTGATGTGGCTGATGGTAGCGTAGGGGGTGAGATCCACCTTGAACCTGTAGCAGAGAAACACACTGTAAGCCAAGCTTTTCAGGGACACAGGGAGACTTCCCTGTAGGCAGTGAGAGAAGCAGAGAGGCAGGACTGGACAAGGTCCATGGGGCTGGCCAGGGCAGAGTAAGGCAGGCAGTCTTGCTACAGGAGCCTCATTCACGGGTTGCTCTCTTGGGATTGGTAGGTCTGATACAGTATCATTAGGCATCTGTTACCTACTAGTCCTCTCTAAACAATGACTCTGTTGACAATGTGCTGTGTGGGAAGCCCAGTGGCAAGCACGTATAGTCTCTCCTGACCCATGTCTCAAGCTTCTTAGGGGAAGGAACATGTCATACTCTTCTCTATCCCTAATATCAGGCGCAATGCCTTCCACAAAGAGGCACAAACTTGAGCCTCATTAAAGGGCTGATGGAGGAACGCAAAGATAGAGCCCACTGCCAGGCCCACACACCACACCTGGGGACAGAGGGGAGGTGCTCTTAGGGTGAGCCACCTCCTCTCCAGAGCAGGGCTGTCTGTCTAGGATCACCTGGGCAGCAGCGGGCATGGTAGGGACATTTCATTGATTTCTTCTACCTTGTCTGTTCTAGGCCAGGGTGGGTGGTATGGCCTGGCACAGGAGGTTCTTTGGCCATTTGGGAAAGGGTTTGCTTGAGATGCTACCTCAGTAGCTGATGTGGGAGGCCTGACTGTGGGAGAACCAGGACAAGGAAGGGTGGTGGGTTCACTCTTACCTTTCAGCATTTGCCACCTGGGGCACTAAGCACAGATCAGCCATAGACACCTGAAAGAATGTGGGGTGGGTTTGTGTTGGGGTGAGCACCCCAGACTACATGGCTGGGCTGGGTGTGTTCACTGGGACGACTGGGGTGGCAGCCTGACTTCCCCTGTGCTTCCGCTCTTCTACCATCCCCATCCCTTAGCCTCACCCTTGTCTCCCCAGGGCTGCCTGTCCCTATTCCCAGAGCTGCTGTGGCACTTCTCCCAGGCCACGCTCCAGTTGCCCTGATAACCAACCATGTGGGTGGCCAGAAAGGTCTGATTGCCTTGCTGGATGCCCTATGTTTGTTAAAACTGCCATTACCAGATACTCAATGAGGACTCCCAGCAGGGAGGAGAGATCTTAGGAACCTAGGAACTATCACAGGTCCAAGGCCTGCAGGGTTAAGGGCACCTGAATCCCAGAATCTTAGAATTGGGCAGGACAGGAAACATCAGCTAGTCTAACCTCTCAGCTGATGCCTGGACCACCTCACAATCTCAGAGTGGCAGTCCTCACACTTCCTCTCAAGGCAGCTTAAGGAATGCATTGAGTAGTTCCTGATGAGCTAACTGCCCACCTGGCACAGAGGTCTATGCCAGGAGACAGACCCTATACCCCTCCTACAGGTGTCTCCTTAGGATGCTCTATGCTCTACCTGCCTTGTGGGGAAGGAGATGGCTGAGTCTAGGTGGGAGAGTGGCAGCCTGAGGCCAGCATGAGGGAGGAGGCCATGGTGGGCACTTACCTCATCTCCCACACAGTACTTCCCCGCTGTGCTCTGCAGGATCTGCTCCAGAGCTGTGGGGAGGCCACAGGAGTCATCTCACTCTGGGCAGTGAAAGGGCACACCAGCTTTTCTGAGCCTTGGCCTCCATAGTTATGAAATGGTTGGCTATCTGAGTGGTAGGCTGGGGCACAGGGGCTGGAGGGAATGTGGCAGCCAGACCTGGACAGAGTTGCTGGGAACAAGCTCATGTTTCCCCTGGCCCCTCAAGTCCACCCACCATTCCTCTCTTCACAGTGGACAAGACCTGCAGCAGGCCAAGGCTGCAGCTCTCACACAGGTGGGCAGGCTCTTTGCTGGTCTTGGCTTCTCAACTGGAGTGGGCAATGAAGCAGAAGCTGGGCCATCATCCAGCTATATGGGGCTGTGGGCCTCTGGGACTGAGGCCCCCAGAAGTGCTAGAGCCTGAGGCCAGGTATGGATGCCTTCTTAGTCACCATGTCCTCAGCCCTGCCCTCATCCATGTTCTTGTCAAGACCAAAGCAGCCTATGAAACTGGTGTAGATGCCCAGCACTCTGCGTGTGAGGGTTGTTGCTTTGAGAGGTCACTTTGGGCAGCTCACTGTAGTGGGACTCACCATTAAAGCCAGAAGTGATGGCCTTCTGGGCCCAGGCCAGCTGATTCTGCTCTCCTACTTGCTTCAGGACAGACAGGTTCTGCACAGCCCAAGAAAAATCTATAATTGCTATGGGTGCCAGCCTGAGTTGACCCCTCTACTAAGCTCAGTTCCCATCTGCCCTGGCTGTCACTTATTCTACCCTGCCACCCAGGCTTCACAAGCCCTTCCAACCATTGTGAAGTTGGAGGAGGTAGCTATCCCAGTAGCCAGCTTCTCAGGCTGTCCCAGTGGCTTTAGTAGTCTGAAAGTCATGTGATTCAGGCAGCAATGTGTAGGGACTGTGACAGGCGTGGACACAATCCCAGGCCTATTACTATGCACCTCCCTCCCCCGTCGCCCAATACTTCTCCCTTACTTGGTCCCTTGTGAGGAAAGAGACTGTACTACAGGGTTTGGCTGGGATGAGGGAGGTGCATGGGACTAGCTTCTAGAGATGTTTTACTCTGGTGCAATCCAGTAAGATGACATGGGAGTGGGGGCACAGAGGCATGGGGGTCCTCAGTCCCTGCTCTATTATTACTAGCTGTGTCATTCAGCAAAGTCACTCCACCTTCTGGGTCCATTTCCTCACAAAGTCAGGAGTTAGCACAGATGGTTTTAATTCTTGCTTTCCCATTTTACCAGTGAAAACTTACAAAAAAAAAAAAACCTTATTAGAACTCTAATATAGGCATACCTCAGAGATATTGCAGGTTTAATTCTAGACCACAGCAATAAAGCAAATTGCATGGAGTTTTTGGTTTCCCAGTGCTTATGAAGTTGGTTTGCCCTATACTGTAGCCTCTTAAGTGTGTAGTAGCATTATGTTTAAGAGAATGTATATATTTGTGTGTGTGTGTGTGTGTGTGTGTGTGTGTGTGGTATGGGGGATTGAATTCAGGGCCTTGCAGTTGCTAGGCAAGTGCTCTACCATTTGAGCCATGCCCCAAGTCCTTTTGCATTAGTTTGTTTTTTAGATAGGGTCTCTCACTTTTGCCAGCGCTGGCCTTGGACAGCAATCCTCCTACCTCCACCCTCCAAGTAGCTAGGATTACAGGTTTATACCTCTATACCTTGCTGCATTTCTTAATTTAAGAAATATAGCCAGGCACAGTGGCTTACACCTATAATCCTACCTACTTGGGAGGCTGAGATCAGGAGGATTGTTGTTTGAGGCCAGCCCAGGCAAATAGTTTGAGAGACCCTACTTCCAAAATGACCAGAGCAAAATGAACTGGAGAAATGGCTCAAGCAGTAAAGTGCCTGCTTTGCAAGTACAAAGCCCTGAGTTCAAACCCCAGTCCTATCACACATGAAAAAAAGAAAAGAAATATTGTTGCTGGGCACAGCGGCTTTTGTCTGTAATCCTGGCTACTCAAGAGATGGAGATTGGGAGGATTGTAGTTTGCTAGAAAGGGCAAAAAGTTAGCAAGACCCCATCTCAACAAAAAAAGTGAGCATGGTAGTGTGTACTTGTCACCCAAGCTATGCAGGAGGTGTAAACAGAATTGTGGTCCAGTTGGACTGGGCATAAAAGTTTGACTCTATTTGAAAAATAGCTAAAGCAAAAAGGCTGGGGCTGGGGCTCAAATGGTAGAGTACCTCCCAGGCAGGCACAAGGTCTTGAATTCAAATTCCAATACCACCAAAAAAAAAAAAAAAGGAAAAAGAGAAATATTGTTAAAAAACAGTAACAATCATCTGAGCTATTGGAAAACCAATGGACTTGCTCAACAAAAGGTTACCACAAATCGTCAATTTGTAAAACACGCGATATCCATGAGGTGAAGTACAGTAGAATAGGGCATGCTTATCCACAACAGAACAGACAGGTTAAGGATGGAGGCCTGGCCCTCAGCCTGCTCAGCCCATCCCTGACCACCCTTGCCCTGTCCCCATCTCAAGCACCTCTAGATGTATCCTTGGAGACCAGGCTTCTCAGAATGTAGTTGGGGACCAACTGTGTTGGGGGACTTCTGGGACCCCTGCCTCCTTCCACCAGGTGGTCTAGGTCAAAGCCCCTGAGAGTCCTTCCTGTCCTGCTGCCCTACCCCCAATCTGAGCGCCTACTGTGCGCTCATCACAGTTGGCGTGTGAGAGGCATGGAAGGGTGCACGGTGCAGGTGCCTCACCTGCAGGGGCTGGATGCCAGCAGCGATGAGGTCAGAAATCATGCGTACACTAGCCCTCTTCTTTGGGTCCTGAGGCAGGAGGCGTGGAGTGGGCCGTGTTTCCTCCAGGTACTCAATGATGGCCAGCTGTCAAGAGGGAGCAGTGAGGCGGGAGGGGGTGGAGTGGGTGGTAAGGGAGGGGGTGGGGGCAGGGGGGAGAAATGAACCAAGCCTTGTATGTACATATGAATAATAAAAGAAAAATGAAAAAAAAAAAAAAAAAGAGGGAGCAGTGAGGAGGGAGAGTACCTGGGACTCCTGGCCCAGAGCCAGCAAACTCCTCCTCCTTCTCCTCACCCTCCTCAGCTAGAGCACTGCAGAGCCTTTTTTGGACCTTGTCCTGCAAAACTTGACTCCCCACATGCTCAGCTTTCTCAGCTCCCGAAATAGCCACCCTCTATCCCTCCCTCCTACAACTATGCATTGAGCTCTTACTAAGTGCCTGATTCCTTGGCCACACATAGGTGAGAGAGACAGGTCATGCAGAGCTCTGCTCCCATGAGGGGCCTTCCCCAAGCCCAGTACTCACAGACTGGCCAATGATGATTCCATCAATTTTCAAGGCTGGCACCTGCTTCATAGGATTCAGTGTCTGAAACTCCTCTGAGAACTATGGAGACAAGACCCTGGTGGGCTGGGTAGCCTGGTATGAGCTGGCTAGAGAGAACCAGACAAGCAGGAAAACCCCAGGCCTGACACCCATTTGTATCTACCTTCCATGGGGAAGACCCTAGCAATTCCTAGATCCCAGCAGTATCCCAGATCCCAGCAGCTGCTAATCTTCATCTGAATGCACTGCCTAGGTGTTTTCTTGTATTTCACACTGTGGCCACTAAGTCAGCTCCTATCCTAGCCAGCCATCTAGAGTGTCCAGCATGGGACAAGGACCCACTTGCAGATGGCATTGGAGAGTCCAGGCTGTGGCAGTGAGCCTGGAACCTGGGCCTTCCTAGGGCTCCTTCTGTGGCACAGCTCGCCACTTTGTCCCACAAGGGAGAGGTGCCACATCCTCCAGCCCAAGGGACCATGGGACATAGGTTTCCTTCTTGGGGGCAGACCCCTCTACCTGGTACCTCTCCAAGGTCCAATTTTCGCTTCATGGTCTGGGGGCAGCCTCCTTACCTGTTGCCCCCCATCCTTTGTGAGATTAATGGGTATTATCTCATAGTCAATGCCTTTCAAGGCCAGAGCTAGGAGAGACCAGATAGGAAAATCAGGGAATAGCTTCTGACTACACTCCCAAGGAAAGAGCCCTCCTGGGATACATAAGGCTACTACCCTGCTGGGTGGTCAAGGCCCAGCTTGGCACTGTCATCTTTTCCACAGCTTTCCTTATCACCACCCACAACTCTATCTTGGGGGCATCATGCGCTGCCTTTCTCAGAATTTACCCTCTGGACCCCCACCAGGGCCTTCATGCCCGCTGGGCAGTGCTGTATAGGTGTGTGGCATGGTATACTGTGGGCCTCTAGGGGACAGCAGGGATGTGTCCTGTTCACCTCTGCCCCTCCAGGTCCTTAAGCAGTGTGTATTTGTTGGGGACATGAAATATTCCCTCAGTTAGACATCTAGAGGCTCAGAGGACCAAACAGAGCATACAGGCCAATGATACTCTTTCTTTTTAGAGAAGATTCTCTTTCCAATCCATTCTTTCTGTTCTCAGGGCTATTTACTATAGATTCCAGGTAGATATCAGGCTCTTGGTGGTCACGGAGCCCAACAGCCAGGTTTCCTCTCCATCTCCTGGCAAGGTAAAGGTGAAAATGCCTGGGTAGCTGTAATAGAGACTGCATATGTGCGTGCATCTGCACACTTGGTGTTAAAATATGATGATGGCTGGTCTCTGGCAAGGGCAAAAGAGTGAGGAGAAGAGGACAGAGTGTATCTCAGTGTGAAGAGAGTGTCACACTGAGGCTCTGTTGCGCTAATTACCTTCACCCTGGAGAGTGAAAGCGATTGGGGCTGAGAGGGAGAGGCCAAAGAGCAGTGTTCCTACTATGTTGGCTTCTAGCTCAGGCAGGGCAGGAGGCTCTGGGATCCAAGGAAGGTTCTCTTGGCACCCAGAACTCCTGCTTGCTGATAATGCAAACCCCAATCAAGTGACTAGGGTGGGTGAAGGGAGTCACTGATAATGGCTTTGCAGCGCTGGCGAAGCTCTGGAGGCAGGCCACTTGGGTTAAAATTTCATCACATTAATTTGCTAACTGTGTGGCCTTGGGCAACCTAATAGGACTCTGTGCCTTGTGTCAGTTCTCCATCTGATAAGTAGTATAGTATAGAAGTTAAAAGCACAGACTATGACTGGAGGTGTAGCTCAGTGGCAGGAGCATGACCTTAGCATGTGAGGGATCCTGGATTCCATCCCCAGCACCAAACCAAACAAAAAACAAACAACATAGGACTGTGAAACCAATCGGCATGGTTCAAATTTCAGCACTGCCTCTTAGTAGTTGCATGATGGCAGGCAAGTTACTTAACTTTGTGTGCCTCAGTTTCCTCATTTGTTCAATGGGGAGAATAACTGTCCCTCCCTCCTAGAATTATGGAGGTTGAAGTGGAATCACGCACACGAAAGCACTCAGCACAGATTTTCCTTCAGCATGTGCCACTATGACTGACTTTTGCCAAGGACTGTGCTCACTGAAGGAGGGGAGGGTCAAACCAGGAATAAACCAGAGGGCCCTAGTTTTGCTCCCCCAAAGCCTCTGCAGTCCACATTGACCAGTTCTGTTTAATTTGCCAGATCAAATAAGAACTGAGGGAGGCCAGCTGTTCCCCAGCTGGTTACCAGGGACCTGTGGATTTTGTGACCATTTTAGGGATTGTTGCTAAGTGCTTTGGAGAACAGCATGGGGGAAGTGACAGTCTCAAGAGAAAAAAACAACACCCTCCCACCACCGTCATCTTGTTGGACTTCCTGGGTGGAGGTGCCATTCACGGATGGGGACTCCAGAAGACCAGGGATATTGGTTGCTGGGGGTGAAGTTCTGTCTGACAGAGCACCACTTCTATCCCAGACCAGCTGCTTCTATCCCAGCACACAAAGCTTCTTCACCCCAGGATCTCTTACCTATTCGAACTCTCCATGAGCAGGAGCTTCGGAAATAGGAATAGAGGACAGGCTGAGGAAGAGAGGAGGGCAAACCTGAAGTCAGGCTCGGTAGGTTTCCCGCCTCAGAAGCCAGGTGGAGAGGAAGCAACAGTCCCCAGGCAAGGGACTCTGAGCTGCCACAGTTTCTTCCCACCTTGCCAGGCCTCTTTCTTCAGGCGTGTATCTTGGCAACTAGGGCTAACTCAGAGCTCTCTGATGCAGGGACCCTGGGAATCACATAAAGTCCCTCAACTCCCACTTGTGCTGGTATGAATTCCTGAGGTGCAAGTGATCCCCAAGAGGACAGCAGCTTTCAAGTGCTCACCTTACCTTGCCAGATGTAGTCATGGTTCCGTGGTGACCCTTGGCCTCCCAAGCAATGTCCGCTTTCACACAACTGTGAGGCAGGGGGAGGAACCCTATGGGGGTGGGTCCCATGAGCCAATAAGGAAGTTGCAGGCAGCTGAGGAACTTTGACTCTGGCCAAAAAGGACACATCTCCAATTTGTGGGAGGCGTCCTATGCTCCTGGTGCAGCCAGGTTTGACAGCATGACCTGGCTTAGAGGCAGTTGTTTGTGTGGTGGAACGGGATGGAAGCTGGCATACCTAGGATCTGGACCCAGTACAGGAACCAGCTTTGCGTGGTCTGGGACAAATTCCTGCTTTCTGTTGTCTGATTGCCCTAAATGAGGGCAGAGATTCCTTCTATCCCTGGCAAAAAGACCAAGGATTCCAATTTTTTGACGTGTTGGTATCCATCTCCTTCTAAGGAGAGCAGGTGGGAACTGATCTGGGTTACTCTATGTTGTATAGAACAGTTTAAGGCTGTGCCCAGCCTTGAGTTACTCCATTTTATAAAGCAACAGTTTTGACCTAAGCTACTCCATTTTGAGTATAAATGCCAAAACAGAATGGTGCTACATCTTGTTTATACAAGTAAATAACTGCCATCTGTCAGGACACCATGAGGTACAAACTGATCATTTATTTGTGCCAAACAACAGTTATACCTGCAAGTATACCAAATCATATTATAGAAACCATACACTTGAACTAACTGATCATAACAGATATAACCCCCTCACCTGGGACAATAAAAGAAAGAGCACCTCAAGACTGAGAAATGGCAAGCACACTGACTATCACTTGGCCACCTGTCACAAGCCTTGCCCAGGAAAATTGCCAAAGTGAAAGACCTCTACTTCTGTCCCCAGGCTGCACTGGAGTACAGTTTCTACTTCGTGTGACATACAGCTCACTTCAAACTGACAACTGAAATAGCCTGCCATCTGGACCTGCATTTGACAACTCTGTACCTTGAACAGCTCTATGCCTGTGGTTCATAAAACTTATCTGGTCTCCTGAAGAAACTTTTCTTTGGATCTGTATCAGCTCTCTGCCTGTCCTCACAGCACAGCCCTGTGAGCATTGAAAACTTAATTCTTTCTTAGCATTCTGTAACATATATGTACATATATATATATATTTCTTTTTTTGTGGTACTGAGGTTTGAACTCAGGGCTTCACGTTTGCAAGGCAGGTACTCTACAACTTGAGCCAAGACTTCCAGTCCTGTAACCTACATATTGTTATTGTGTGAAGTGATCTGACAGTTAATATTAGTAATTAACATTGAACTAAAAGAACTTATATTGCCAATGGCTTGTGAATATCAAGTGAACTCAGTAGTACTTGGCAAATTAAAGATAATGAAATTGATGTAGCTTATGGATTTATTGTTAGTAAATTCTGACATTATGGGAAGACCCAAGTGTGTCCATCTATGTTTTTGACATAGTTCGCTCATGACACCTTGAAACTCACCCCCAGTAGTCCTCCAGGCTCCCACTAGCCTCATAAAAGTAGCTGGCTGATATGCCCATTCACCCTAAAGGAGGTTGCAAACTATAGCTCTTAGGGCCCCTATCTGGCCCTCAGGTGTTTTGTCTGGTCTACACAGTACAGATGGTATCTGACTTACAGTGGTTCAATTAATTGTTTTTTTACTTTATGATGGTGCATTGAGTTTATAAACTGTACTTCAAATTTTGAATTTTGATCTTTTTCTAGACTGGTGACATGTGTATGGTACTCCTTCATAATGTTGGGTAGCCGCAGTTAGCTGCAGCTATGTGATAGGGAGACTGACTGATCATTAAGAGAATGAGTTGAATATCTACAGCTCATGCTGCCAGCCTTTTTGGCATGTTGGTTTTTTTACACCCCATCGTGTCTACAAAATGCCCACCTATGGGGCTGGGGAGTATAGCTCAGTGGTAGAGCACTTGCCTACCAAGGCCCTGTGTTTGATCCCCAGCACAGGAAAAATAAAGTTCATCTGAGTGGGTACATGAGATATTAAACACTAGGTAATAAAGACTTTATGTGAGATGATTCTGTGCAACAGTAGGCTAATGTTCTAAGCATGTTTAAGGTAGATGAGGCTAGGTTATGGTCAGATGTATTAAATGCATTTTTAACTTACAATCTTTTCAATATATAATGTAACCCTATTGGAAGATGGGGAGCATCTACATTTTAGAATGCTTCAATTAGTTGCCAACAATTAAAAATCAGGATGTTTCATACACAAATCTTAGTCTGGTTTCTTCTTTTAAAAACCAGGGACAGTAGATACAAGTTCCTAGGTAGCAACAATTGAGTGGAGCAGATTACTGGCCCCTATCAGTCAGGGTATGGTCTCTGGTCTGCCATGGCCCACAACTGGTCCACTTTTCTCATTTTTGTTATCTTCAGGTCCCTGGAGGCAGCTGAGTGTGTGACTTCTCTAAGAGACTCAGAGTTAATTTCTCTGGTGCTTCTTTGGTAATCAGCATTTCAAAGCCAAGACCCTAGGAAAGGGTCACCAGTGAGCACTCATGAGTTTTCCTGCAGACACTTATCCATAAGAATGAGAAAGAACTTGATAAAACTTCTCATAGGCAATTTTTGTTCTTTTTCTTATTAGTGATGACTATATACCGTAGCCCCCCCCATCTTTGGTGGATGTGTTCCAAGACCCCCAGTGTATGCCTGAAGCCACATACAGTACCAAGCCCTCTATATGCTATGTTTTTTTTTCTTTTCTTTCTTTCTTTCTTTCTTTTTTTTTTTTGGTGTTGGTGGTGTGGGGATCGAACTCAGGGCCTTAAGCATGCTAGGCAAGCATTCTACCACTGAACTTCGTACCAGTCCACTGTGTTTTCTAATACAACCATAGCTAAATTACTTCATAATTTAGGCATAAGAGATTAACAACAATAACTAATAATGAAATAGAAAGATTGTAGCAGTATGCTGTAATAAAATTGTATCACTACTCTTGTGCTTTGGAGCATTATTAAGTAAAATAAGGGATACTTGAACATAAGCACTACAGTACCTTGATGGCCTGATAACTAAAACAGCTAAGTGACTTAACTGGCTTGTAGTGTATCTAACATGGATATGGTGGACAAAGGGTGACTGGTTGCCTCCTGTGAGATTTCATTACAATACTCAAAAAGGCTTATTTCTGGAATTTTCCTTGTAGTATTTTTGAATACTACACTGTTGAGGACAGGTTGAACAAACCATGGAAAGAGAAACCACAGATAAGAGGGCTCTACTGTAAACAATCCCTGGTTTTTTTGTTTTGTTTTGTTTTGTTTTTGCACATGTAGAGCTAAATTTTAAGACCAAGCAGAGTGTCCAGTTCATCAGCACACCTGGAAGAATTCTGTTTCTAATTCACATATACATTCTGACTACTCTGGCAAACTTTAAACTTATTTATTTTGTAGTGCTAGGGATGGAGCCCGAGACCCCCTGCATACTAGGCAAGCGCTCTACAGATGAACATCCCTAGCTGTTCATACACGGTCTCTCACATATGATTTTAGACAAACGACTCCTAAAATCCTGTTTGGAAGCCAGAGGGCTACACATTATTAACGTGATGCAATGTCCCACCCGATGTGTCACTTTCCTTAAGGAGCCTTAACAGAGATGTTCAAACTTTACTGCGCATGAGACTCAAGTCGCTTATCAAACACATCTCAGTCCCTTCCACCAGAGGTTAATTCAATAGCTCTAGGGCAGGCTGGAGAAGTGCATGTTAAATCGGGAAGCTCTCCAGGTGACTGTCTTAACTTAAAAGTGCCACTGCTTCCCCTCGTCCCTGGTGCTCTCAAAATGCAAACATCCCAGAAAGGCCATCTGTTGTTAACAACCAGCCGGCCGGGAGGAACACGCAGGGCGGCAGGTGGTGGGGAAAGAGAGGAAAAGAGAAAACTAGGGAGTCCTAGAAAAGGCCTGTGTTTCAGGCGTAGAGGGCGGAGACAGAAGAAAAGCGCGACTGGAACCCGCCCAGCACGCTCCACCAGCGCGGCCCAACCATCTCCGCCTCCCAGGCAGCGCGCAGGCGCCGAGTCCCAGCGCCGCGCACTGCACGCCGGGAGTCGTTGTGGAGCCGGGGGCGGGGCGAGGCATCGCACCCTCGGCCCAGCACCCACAGCTGTTCTCCGCGTTCCTAAGCCGCGACCCTTTCCCTGGTTGAGCAGTACAGACCTTCGCGGCTTGCATCTCGCACGTCGAGCGACCCCTTTCCCAGTCAAGAAGGTTCGCGCCCGCGACTGAGGCCCAGTGGAACTCCGCGAGTCAGACTCCCGACTTTAGTCAGGCTAAAGCTAGGGCTAGACTAGATGGGCTTCCCGAAGGCTTCCGGCTGGCCCCGCCCCAGGCGCTGCCGGGAGTTGTAGTTCCCTGAGCCGTCCCGATTCTCCCGATTCTCCTGTTCTCCAGTCCTCCCGTCTTCCCCGCTTCCCGCTATGCTCTGCGCTTCTGGCCGCCTCCTAGCCACCACGCTTCCCGCCTCGCCCCGTGGGCAGCGGAGAGAACTATATCTCCCAGGGCACCCCGAGCAGCCCTCTTGTGACTCCTTGGCGGGGCGGCTGACAAGACCGAGCGTGCCTCCGCGCCGGAGGGCGATCCTGAGGAGGGGGAGGATGCCGCCGGCCTTGTGCGGATGCTTGGTAGGGTCCGAGCTGCGTCCCCGAAGGGGCCGCTGCGGGGTCCCTGCTTCCAAGGCCATGGGCCGGGAGGTGGCGGCCGAGGCTGCAGCGCGAGGCCCCAAACGGCCCGTTCTGGGCTCGCGGCGCTTCGAGGCAGCCGGCCGATGGGCCCTGCTGGCTCTGGTGACGCTACTGTCCTTTGCCACCCGCTTCCACCGTCTAGATCAGCCGCCGCACATCTGGTAAGTGAAGCAAGGGACTCGGCGGGCACCATGGCAACCGGGAGGAGGGACGCCGCCTTCTGATTGGCCTGAGGACACGGCGGGGGGCGGATTCACTGGAGGGGCGTGTTCGCCGTGGAGGGTAAACTGAGGTTTCTGGTAGTTGGCCACTTGCGAGGTCCAGTCTATGCGAGAAATGGCTTTGCCTTGGAGGAGGGCAGTAGAACTCGTAGGATCTGAGGAAGCAGCCCTCACGTCTTCCGGGTTGTGTAGGAGTGTCCCACCTGGCTCTCACATTGTGACTCTTAAAAGTGCTTTGAACTTCCCGAAGAAAATTGGAAATTCTTGGTACTGAATTTCCCAAGGCTTGAGTTCCTCGTTTGCAGGATTTTCAGGCATCAACGGAGAGGAAAGTTCCCAATTGGGAACGTTTAAAACAGGGGCAATTTGAGTGTCCCCAGGATTTGTGACAAGGGTTCCACGAAGCATGTCTGATGTCCTGAAAGAAGAGAATTATTTTCTTGAAGGTTTTATGTTGTCATATGATACAGATGCTAGGTTGAGGCCTGATCACATTTCATTAGCTAATCTTACAAAATAACTTAGTATCCAACTGGAAGGAAGGAAGGTTTTGTACAATCTGAAAATGGTTAATTTGTCTGGTCAACAAGTGACACCATGTTTTCTCAGTATCACTAAGGAGAAAGTATGGAAGGTGTCAGAAATAGAACTTACTGATCAAAAAGCAACCAAGCAAGGGCTTGTGGAGTTGCTCAAGTGACTCCAAGAATGAGGCCCTGAGTTCAAACTGCAGTACTGCCAAACCAACCAACCAAACAAACAAACAAAGCAACCAAGGCAAACAAGGTGTCAGGGTTGTCCTACTTGGAAATTGATGAATTGCACATGAAACATTATAGTTTCATGACTGCTGGCAGAAGATGTGAGATTCCTGAGTTACAGACAAAGGACTTCATTACAGGAAGCAGAATGGATATCAGCATGATAACCAAAGTACCACAAGCTGAAACTATGTGCTCAAATACATGACTGTACACATCGTGGATTACATTGAGGCAAAGGAAGATAAGCTTGGGAAATCTACTGTTTTATCACATGCAGAAAGCAAGCCTGCTTTTGTCCTGGAGGGAGACATTGCCTTATCTCTCAGGGTTATTTGCTGCAAACAGAGCCCTGAGAAATGTACCAGGATAGATGCAGTCTTGGCATACTCAGCAAGATGTGTGGATGCACAAGACATTGATGGTGGACTGTCTCTGCTAAAAGCCCTTCTTATCCCTTTATCCTACACTGTCTTGCTTCTGGCAGATTTTCATGTGAATGTGCAACTCCTTTAGCTAATCTGATTAACATAGCTGACAGAGGCAGAGACCAAATCTGTTTAATTTATCTCATATAGCATTTAATAAAGGCTACTACCAGTGGGACTGTGAACGGCAGAATGAGGCTTATTTTTCATACTTACCTCAACTATGCCCTCCAGAGTTCTGGATTCATCCACCTGTGAATAGTCCTGGTTGGGTACCAGTGAGTGTTTTTTCAGACAGCTGGGATATACTCTAAGGCTATTCTATTATCTGGTATGATCTATGCATAGGAGCTTAGATTGTCTCTGATCTTTGGTATCATTGCCAATAATTACAATGCTCCCCTCTCCATGTAAAAAAATGCAATTCCCATGTTCAAATAAATGATGTTTTGTGGTTCATTCTTTCTTTTGGAGGAGGGGATTTCAACTCAGGGCCTTGTGCTTGCTAGGCAGGCGTTATACTACTTGAGCTTCTCCATGAGCCTCCATTCTTTAATACTAACATTACTTGAAGGGGTCACTCAGGTTAGGACTTTTTGTTAAACTTTATTTGGGTCACCATCAGATTTGATTTAGATAACTATTGGATTGATTTGGTTAAGACACAAGGTCAAGTGTCACTGAATCATTATTGCCTTAATCACTGTACAGGCATAACCTAAGACCCTTAGTACTTCAGGAGAGGCAAATGGTATCAATCATATTAAGAGAAGGTTGTGTGTCTCTGTGTGTGTGTACACATATAGGGGGTACATTTCAGGAGTTGGTGTTGATATCATCAGAATAGTTGGAGACCGGTTATGTCTATATGAGTTTTCCTGTTTTCATAACATGATGGCAAGTTCAGCCACATGTCAGATTGCCAGCATCAGCCACAACTTGGCTTAGGTGCACCATCTGAATCTTTTACCAGGCTTTAGTGTTGGATCTGGGGTACAAAGAAAGCATTAATTTTTTCTCTTCACTTTACGTCTCCAGAACTCTACAGTGTTCCTTCTCCAGGTGTTGGGGTTTTTTCTTTCCTACCACTGACGCATAATTAGTGTCCCACCCTGGTTCCTATAATGTCACCTTTTCTCCTGTTACTCTGTACTCATAGACATGGGCATTCTTAGAAAATTTGCAGAGCTCATTATGTCTTCCACCTGACACTTGCGGGCCACTATTGGGAGACTTGAAAAGTAGTGTACGCAACCAAATGTTGATAATGTTTGTGCTCTAGGACCATGTCACTCCAACAAGACAATCCAGGTGACTGAATTTGAATCCTATAGACCTTTCCCTGTCCTCTTTGGCTGATCTAGAGTTTCTCTAATGAGACAAACCATGGTCAGGGAGATCTCAGTTTTGCAAAATAAGTTTATATATATCCACCCCTTTTTCCTGATCATTACCCAATTGGTGGCCAAGAGGATGACTGCCTTAGGTGACCAGACTACTTTACTGAAGTGTGTAGACCAGGTGGAGGTGGTAGAGGTAGGGTCAGAATCTTTTTGGGTTGGTTTCTGAGGCAGCTGTTCAATGTTTAGCAATATCAGATGCTTATGAATGATAGGGAGCATGGGTTGTCCATTGACCACTGGCCCATTTTTTAGTGGTTGTGACAGAAAGGTGTACCATTGTCAGACTAGATAATTTGGAAAGCCAAAAACAGAACATAATTTAGTTTCAAGGACCAAAATGGGATACCCTGAGACAGGTGAATGAACTGGAATAGCCACATCACTGTAATCTGAAAAAGTAACAAGGAGGTACCAGTGATTACACTAAGGGAACAGAGTCTTAATGTAGTCAGTTTTCCAGGAACAGGCAGGGCTAATGCCCCATGCAATGTAATTTCATTTACTGTAAGATAAGCAGGCCAGCTTTTGGCAGGAGTCTAGTTTGTGGTGGTAGTTTCTGCTTCAAAAACCTATGGTCCTTTCCTTTATCTCAGTTCATAATAGTAGATGAGTTTCCACACATAGTGCATTGATAAATCCTGTGACTATGGCAGCATCTGTATGGTACTGGCTCAATCAGCAGCTTGATTCCAGCTGTCTTACAAAAGTACTGGCCCTTACTAAGGGCACCTCTATCAGTAGGCAGCTGCAATTTGTTCCCATAGTTCTAACCTCCACAGGGGGATATCTTTAACTCTCAGTGTGCTGTCTTCCAAGTGACATGTGAGATGCTTCAACACATACCGCAGCTAGCCAGCCATAGTTGTCACTGGAGCTAAATGGCTACTGCTGCCCAATGGACATTATCAGCACTTTTTTTTCCTTTTCTGGTATACTGGGGCTCGACTCATGGCCTCTACTTAGCACTCTACCATTTGAGCCACACCCGAGCTCTGTTTGCTTTAGTTAATTCACATAAGGTCTTGTGTTTCTTAATTTTGCCTAGGGTGGCCTCATATCACATCTGACCATCATCAGCTTTTAACTTAGGCTGTCCATTAGATAGCCAGACACATGCATTTTGAGGTCTCCACAGAGCCAGTGTCTGTGCTTCATGGAATAGCATAGGAAGTAGTTTCTCCAAAGGGGGACTTGCCCTTTAAGTAAAATCAAGACCCCTCCAGGGCCAGGCTGATGTCCTCATAAATATACCATTTCCATAAGAGAGTGAGGCTTGTTGAGCCATTCCCTTGTTAGCTGTATATTCCAAGTTAGCCCACCAAAGATGGGAACGTGACGCCAGAGAATCCTGAGACCTTTGTGGGTCAAGCCCTCCATTTCAACAAGTTGAGTAGTAATTAATAACTGCCTTTTTTAAAAAAAGGGTGGACTTGGTACCTGTGTTCAGCAGGTGGCGCTGTTATGCCAATGCATAACTTCTTAGTGTTTGAGCAGTCATTAAGTCTTTAAAGCTGTGGCTTCTCTTTTCCTTCTAGGGATTTTTTTCTCCTGAACCACTAGGAGAGGACAGGATCGCCTCTCACACACAGTAGTCCTCATTGGCACCCAAGGGATCCGTACAAACTATGCATTCAGCAGTGGATACCACAACAATAGTACATTGAAGTGGCCCAAAGAACCCTAGCCACAAGATCACTTTAACTTCTCTTCCCTACTGGAAACTTGGCTCAGATCCTATCAGTTGAATTGGGCACTTTTTTCTCTTGAATTAATGTCTGATAACGCCTTCATCAGTTCCACCCAGAGATTAAGCCATTTCTGAGTCAGAAAGTATGGTTATGGGAACTGCTGGATGAAGGGGTGGAGAGAAGCCTTTTTCCTGCTTTAGCCCTTCACTAGGCTTGGTACCACTCTCTCCCCAGGATTCTTCCCTGTGTCCAGTGAGCCCCTGGGATTAGAGGCCCTGTTTCTTTTAAGTCCTGTTCATGCTGGTAATGGCTTTCTCTGCAGTCCTTTGTGCCTTTGATACCTATGTACCTACCAGACATCCCCCCACCCCCACCCCCTCCATGGGACTTGGTGGGGTAGAGATAAGTACACCCCTGTCTAACAGAGCCCTCAGCTTGCATCCTTCCTTAGAGTTCCCAGCCATACTAGGATGGGTGTGTTTGGCCTTCGGTCCTCTTGGGGATACAGAGAACTTGGCCCCACCTTTAGCCATCTTATTCTTTAAGACTGAGTGTAGTGGAGAGGGAGGGATCAGGGCACATAAAGGGAGAGAATGACTCTGAGCCAGTATGCTCAAGTACACATTTACTTGTGGCTTGAGCACATAACTCAGCCAAAGATTGTATAGTAGTTTGTTTTTTTTTTGGTTTGTTTTTTGCTTGTTTGTTTTGTTTTTGGTTTGAACTCAGGGCTTTGTGCTTGCAAAGCAGGTGCTCTATCACTTGAGCCACACCTCCAGTCCTCTTTTTTTTGAGACAGGATCTCTTCAAAGCCCCGGTTGACCTCAAACTCACTTGGTTGCCCAGGCTGGCCTAGAACTTGTGATCCTTCTGCCTCTGCCTCCTGACTGTTGGAATTACAGGACTGTTTTCATTTTAATCGAAATTCTATATTGAATATCAGGGTCCTTGTTGCTACACCATTTATTGACGCTTTGAAGACTTCTTGATTCAGTAGTAAGTAGATAGTTCATCATAGCAAAGTCAGATCATAGCAGATTGATGAACAAAATCACACTTGTGTGACATCTTGGCTTAAAGGTTCTCTCTGACCAGCAGCCCAACAATATAGTAATGTACATTCTAATAGCAACCTTAGGCTCAGAAGTGGAAGTTAACAGACTCAAAAGAAAGCTCTGACTATAAACCTTTCCACATTACAGGAAAATTCTGTCCTTTTAAAGTATGGAGGTAGAAATTAAAGATGTAGAATCAGTCTAAATTTAAGTTAGGTTTGTGATAACTAGCTGGTAAATATTTGATAACCTTTCTCATCTATCTTTTTTTTTTTGGTATTGGGCTTTGAACTGAGGGCCTAGTCTTTTTTTTTTTTTTTTTTTTTTTTTTTTGTTAAGCAGAGGTCGGAAAGATTTTATTTGTAGAGAATTTAGTTGGAGAAAAGAGAAGAGAAAGACTGCATATTGGAGAATGCAGGGGGACCCGGAGACCGGTGAATCCCCGAAGGCCTAGTCTTGAGCCACTCTGCAAGCCCTTTTTTGTGATGGGTTTCTTTCAAGATAGGATCTTGAGAACTATTTGCCTGGGACTGGCTTTGAGCCCTGATTCTCCTGATCTCTGCCTCCTTAGTAGCTAGAATTACAGGTACGAGCCACCAGCAATCTAAATGATGGTTAATAAGCAACGTAGTGTTTTGCTGCCTTAGACCACTTGTGTCAGAAGTTGTTTTTTTAATCCAAACTTTCTTATTAATTGCTTGAAATGCATAGCCTTTGTTTTTAATTGTAACTTTAACTATGGTTTATTAAGCCTTTCTGTTTTCCTTTAGTTGGGATGAGACTCACTTTGGAAAAATGGGAAGTTACTATATCAACCGTACCTTTTTCTTTGATGTGCACCCGCCATTAGGAAAGGTGAGCAATGTGATAAACATTCCTCTTTCATCAGGAGGATGGCTCCTAAGGGTGAAGCCAAGTCTTGGGGTTTGGGGTTTAATTCTTGCACTTTGAATTCTCAAAATACAATTCCCTGACATTCCAGACCAACTACTTTTATAGAATATCTTTGGTGTTTTTAGGAGTCCTCTGAGCTCAGAAATGGAGAGAGTACCCATTGACTGATATGTGGACGAATAAATATAGTATATCCACACTATGAAATATTATTTATCCATAAAAAAGAATGATGTTCTGACACATGTTACAGCATGGATGAACCTTGACAGTGTTATGCTAAAATGTAAGAAGCCAGACAAAAGGTTACATATTGTATGATTAAAATATCCAGAACTGGCAAATCCATAGAGACAAGTAGATTAGTGGTTGCCAGGGTCTGAGGGAGGAAAATTAGGGAGTGACTGCAAATAGGTATGGAGTTTCTTCTTGGGATGGTGAAATGTTCTGGTAATGATTGTATAACCTTAAAACCACTGATTGTACCTTTTAAAATGAATTTTATGTTATGCAAACTTTATCTCAAGTTTAAAAAAAGAAAATAGAAGTAGAAGGAATATATTGCATAAAGTAGAAATAGCTTAGAGGTGAGTGTACACAAGAAGCTAAATTTCTTTCCCCCTCCCACCCACAACATACAACTTTGTTTGACCTGTTCCTCTTACATGTTTTATAGTTAGAAAGTCTACCCATTACAATTAATTTTGCTCTTAAAAAAAAATCATGTCTGAGAAAACTAATGAATTAGTCCTGGCATTATTCAAGCCGTTCTTCCTAACTGCAGATTGAGGACTTTGGCACCATGGGGACAGGAATTTGCCTGTGATGAAGTGGGAAGTAGTCCTGGGGCACACAGTGTTTGGGATGAAGGCAGGGGATAGGGGAGGCAAGGTAGTGATCCTTGTCAAGCTGGCCTAAGGAAACAACAGGGTGGCTAGGCACCAAAGAAAGAGGAGGTCCCTGTAGGTAGGAGGCGTGAGAGAAAGGTAGGACAACTGGCCTGTTTTGAAATTGGTTCTGAGCCAATAAAAGGGTAGAAATGTCATGCCTCTTCCTGTCTGCTTCATAACACAATGATAAAGAGAAGAGCAATTATGAATTGTTTCATGTAGACCTTGTAACAACCTGATAAAAAAGGTACTGTTGTAGATCTACTTTGCAGATGGGGAAACTGGCATTTTTTTCTCCTCTCCTCTGGAGAAATGCCTCTGTCTTTGCATTGATGTATCTCACTGTCTTCCTTTCTCTATATTCCTGGCATGTAGCTACTTGGTCACTTTTCTCCCTCTTCATTGTGATTTGGAACTTCATTTTCTTTCAGTAGGCCTATCTCCCAGGAATCAGGATCTGCCCATAACCTTCCCCAGGAGCTGTCATGTTTTATTTCATAACAAATGAAAGAAGACTGATGTGAGAGCCCCTCACTGACCCTGTCCTTCAAGTCATGGGAGTTTTTCTCTTGTTAAGTGTTTAGTCTGCACTATTCCCAAGAACTTAGCTATAACACAAGAGAGGGTTTGTTTCAAGCAATGAGCTCCACAGACAAAAGATTCTTTACTCTGCAGCAGCTGCAGGCAAAAATGTCACATTGGTCATCCCTTCTGTGGACAGTTGTCAAGGGAACCAAAGTCTGTGGGTATAGCTGGAGGAAAGTTCAGGGGACAGAGGAATCTTCTCCCAAAGGCTTCTCATCTTTTGTTTGTTCTTCTCTCCTCAGATGCTGATAGGCCTTGCTGGCTACCTGAGTGGATATGATGGTACATTTTTGTTCCAGAAGCCTGGGGACAAATATGAGCATCACAGCTACCTGGGAATGAGAGGAGTAAGGTTTCCTGACTGCTTATAGCCTGACTGAGCTCTGGGGCCCTGGTGTGCAGCAGTGTAGATAAAGGGACTTCAGAGCAGAAGTCCCCATTCAGAGGATGATTGGACCTACCCTAGAGAGTGGAGAGTCAGATCTGAGCTGGGAAAGAAGGAAGATCGCAATCAGTACAGAGATTACACAGAGCAAGCACACACTGTCACCTGTTGCTCTGCCCATATGTGGTGTCAGAGCTCAGTCTGTAAAGAAGCCTGGAGCCAGGCAATCAGGAGGCTCCAACAGCCCCATCCTGGCCTCTGCAGTAGCATAGGATTAGCTTTTCTCTCTGCATCCACAGCTGCTTAGGTATTGCCCACCTCTTCCAGTCTTTTCTTAAAATTTTGGTATCACCACCCCCTGTCACTAAGTTTCTACTTCCTTACCCATGAAGCTTAAGGAGTAAGGAAGCACACATAAGGAGTTTTCCAGACTTATTTTAAGGGAAGCCATGTGTCCTCCAATCCCTCTGTTCCTGGTTTCTAAGCATCAGCTTGATGGAACATGTCAAAGCCTAAATACCCAACTCTTGGAACCCTGAACCTGTAGCTAATTGAAACCTACAGAAAGTGATCTCCAGCCTGGAGCTCTCAGAACAGTTTGCATTCAGGAGTTCCTTTCTTTGAGGATCTATAAATGACTGTGTGCTTATTTGGGCTTATCATTGGATGCTTTGCACAATTATACCATGTTATATTAAACAAGGAGTGTCCCTTACCCTCAAGTTCATATTGTTAAGTGATTCTGTGTCTTCCTGTTGACTCTTGAACACTACATCGCATACATAGTAATTGGATATAGGCCTGACTCACCGTGGACTTGCTGTGAAAATTGAAAGGACAAATACAACAGCCTCATTCATTCTCTTTCACACTTGGGCACATTGCTTTCTGTTTATAAAAAGTGATGGCCCAGATGTGAAAATTTCCCATTTCCCTGAGCCTTCTATTTTTACTGTGGACGGGCGAGATGGGGAATGGAAGAGGGCTGATGGTAAAAATAGAATAAAAACCCAAACCAACTGAACAAAGAAACCCCAAACCAACCTACCAAACAAACAAACTCCAAAACCAAACAACCCTCCAGATTACTGAAAAGTTGAGCAGACTTTTTTTTCAAAATCAAACTACATCCTGTAGGATAAAGAGTGGTTTCTGGTGTGACTAAAGAAAAGAACCAGAAGAAACATTCCAGAAATAACAGTAGAATTCACTAAGATATTAAGATACATTCAAAGAAGTCTGTCTTAACTTGTACCCACAGGTTTATGATAGAACCTAATGTTTGTCAAGTACTTTCTCTGTGTTAATAAATCTTTAGCTCATTTAATCGTCATAATAAACCTATAAAGTAGGATTTTTTTTCTCCCATTACACAAATGGGAAGGTTGAGATAGAAGATGTGACTCTCAGGGTCACAGCTAGCAGTGATGGGGTGATTTGCCCACCTTCTGGCTGAACATAACTGATTTCATGGCAGTGTGTGGTGGTAGCTCTTTGGGTACATATATATTGCTTGATTTGAGTCTTCACTGTTAACACCACTCCTTGCTTATTTTAGACAATGTTAGATTACCTAAGTCGTACCTTTGTCATGGTCCTTTATCTTAAATATTAGTTTACCAGGTCAAGTAGATCCCTGATGCTTAATTTAGCTTGTTACTTGACAGCCTCTCTGGTCCTTCCATAGTTCTGTGCTTTCCTTGGTTCCTGGCTGATTCCCTTTGCCTACCTCACTGTATTGGATCTGTCCAAGTCCCTCCCAGCAGCACTACTCACTGCCACCCTTCTCACCTTTGGTAAGTTGTCTTATCGTTTGTGTTTTGGGAAACAGACTGCCATATAAGGGGAGCTAAAAATTAATACAGTAAGAGTTCCATCTGTGGGTGCAGTCTTAATTAGCTTTAGGAACAGGTAAAATGTATTGCCAATCTCATTTTATTCACTAGTAATATGAGTACTTCTATGTAGCAAGCCTTTATATTATTACAGGCGAGAGTTGGTGTAGTATTCCCAAGGAATAGGCTATATCTGAGTTACTCACGTTTGAGTTTGGAATGGAAAAGAGGATAGATTTGTTGTGTGCATGTGCAGGTTTGAAGGAAGCTTACAATTTAAAATTTACGTAAGTTTAATTTGCCTTCCCTAAACTAATTACAATTGACTGCAAAGGCAGATGCCCCAGAAGTAGCTGTATAGGAGATAGCAATAGGAGCTAACTGTTTTCTGTGGATAAAATGAAAGTTGACTGTGGCTAGCCTTGTTCTTCTGAAAGTGAACTCATGACCTGGTGGAGCTTAACATTTAAAGAAGTTCAGATTAATTTAGGTGGGTCCCTTAGGGTTTTGTTTTGACAGGTATGTTGCTTTGTTTGGTGAGTGTGTTGTGAGATTTTAGGATCTGCCTGTAGAGGACTGGTGGCTTTTTCCTTCAGTGACACATTCATTCAGTCATTTCTTCATTTTTCATTCAGTGCCTTTTTTTCCCCTTTGTTTTGGTCCACTCTTGGGAGCTATGTGGATGATGAATAATCTAAGAGCAGATGTAGATCCTGATGTGCAAGAAGCAGGCGACAATATGTGAAATTCGGCAGTTGTTTGTATGTTTTGGTGGCACTGGGGTTTGAACTCAAGGCCTCAACCTTGTTAGGAAAGTGTTCTACCACTTGAGCATGCCCCCAGCCCTTTTTTGCTTTAGTTATTTTTGATAGGGTTTCACATTTTTGCCTGGGGCCAGACCTCCACATAGCTGGTATCTACAAACACGCATCACCACGCCTGACTTATTTATTGAGATGGGGTCTTGCTAACTTTTGCCCTGGCTGGCCTCAAACTGATTCTCCTGATCTCTGCCTCCCAAGTAGCTAGGATTACCTTCAACACCTGTTTTTTTAAGCATCCCCTCTGTACTGGGCTAGTTTTCTTGACTTCAGAGAATATATGTATATACTGACAGGACACTGCTTTCATGGAGCCTACCCTTAGAGGGGCAGGCAAATATACAAGTACGTTAATAAGCCTGGAATGTAATACCTTAAGCAATAAGTGTACTGTGGAAAATAAAGCAGGGTAAGGATAGAGTGATGGGGATCAGTAGTATTTCAAGTAAGGTAAGCAGTGACAAACTCCCAAAGAAAGTAGCAGAGATCAGAGTGAAAAGATTGAGCTGTGCAGAGTTCTGAGGGAAGAGTGTTTGGGTAAAGGGAACAGCCTGTGTGGTGGTCCTGGTCCAAGGATTAGGGGAGTCAAGGAACTCTCCTAAGAAGGCTGGCATGGCAGGGGTGGAGTGAGGCAGAAAGTGTTAGGAGTTGAGGTTGAATAGGTAGGGAGGCCACGCAGGCTTTGGCAGCCGCCACGAGATTTGTTAGTCTTGAGTGACATGGGAAGACATTGGAGGGTATGTAATGAGATTTAAGTTAAAGGAAAATCACTCTGGGATTCCCTATAAAATGATAAGTCACTATCATTAGTTTAGGACTGACCCCCTTTTTTGCTGGTGGAATTGAGAAAGAGGCTGGTTTCAGGGCTTATCGGAATGAGTGACCGTGTCCTCTTTGGGGTTGAGGGCCTAAGAGAAGCATCAGGTACTGTTTCTTGTCATTGGTCTGTGGCGTTTTAACTTTTTTGGTGACCCAGTGATGGCTCAGTGCCTATCTAGTCCTGACTTATATGCTTACATGCTGTGCAGCAAGGGGCTGACTTCTACTGCTAGAGAGGATTCTCCTTTTCACTCTGCACCATGACCAGTGAGTTCATGTTTTTCAGACACAGGATGCCTCACTCTGTCCCAGTACATCCTCCTTGACCCCATCCTGATGTTCTTCATCATGGCTGCCATGCTGAGCATGGTCAAGTACAACTCCTGCGCTGACAGGTCAGAAACACCATGTTTGGGGTGGGGAGGTTCAGAGCCCATGGCAGCCCCAAAAGTTTGATAATGGCCAAGCCAGGGTGGGTTCCTAGAAGACTTGCCTTGAAGCAGAGTTTAAGACAAGCATACTTTTCATTTGTTTGTTTTTCAACTTAGGTTGTCCATTTTACATTAAAAAAAATAGATTTTAAAATGTTTTCTGTAAGCTGGGTGCCGGTGGCCCATACCTGTAATCGTACCTGCTCAGAAGGCAGAGATCAGGAGGATCTTGGTTCAAAGCTAAACCACGCAAGTGGTGTGCGAGACCCTATCTCGGAAAAAATCCTTCTCAAAAAAAGGACTGGTGGAGTGGCTCAAGGTGTAGGCCCTGAGTTCAAGCCCCAGTACTGCAAATAAATAAATAAAATAAAATGTTTTCTGTAGATACTTTTAGTTTTGCTTTATGTAAAACTGAGAAAATGTCAATTGTCTTTTTAAAGAGAATTGTTTTATTAGGTTTATAATGGGGGTACATTGGATAAGAGTTTATGAATATTACGGAGGGGTCCTAATGCTTTCTTCTCAGCCCCAGTGCTGGTTAGGAGATCTAGGACAATTTATCTTTCATGTTCTCTATGCTAGAGGGGAGGGCACCAGGGTAGATACTGCCTCAAGGGTTGCATCTAGTCCTCCTGAGCTAATGATGAATGGTCCATACCAGCCAAGAGGATCCTACCAGGCCCTGGTCAGTTCTAAAACTGGTCTGGAGGATCTGGTGTTCTTCCAGATTAGTGTTTTCTAGATCATCCTTCTGTCTGTGAGAGAGTAAAGTAGGTTATTCATTTTACACAAACCAAAGAAGCTGGCCCCTCCTAGGCTTTTCCAGAAATCAGCATGGTTTTACCCAAGTTCAGTAAGCCACATTACACTAATCACACCTGAGCCAGACTACCTGCCTACTCTGGTTTTGGGTTATCTTCTGCTTCTACCACATTCATTTCCACCTACCATTTCTTGAGTACATACTATGTGCCAGATGCTACTTTAGAAGCTGAGGTACAAAGGTGCAGAGGTATGTAGGTATTGGCTTTAAGGAGAAATTCTGGCATGGAGGCAGCCAGATCATCAGAAAATTGGTTCTACTATTCTAGGTGCTGTGAGTACAGCAAAACAGCTAAGGGCATTAACCTTGGAGCTACAACTATGCATTATGCTTGTTAGCTGTGTTACTTAACCTCTCTGTACCTCAACTTCCTCATATGTAAATAGAGGATAATAGGCTCTACCTCATGGGGTTGTGAGGATGAGCAGGGTTCATATGTTTCTAGTACTTGGAATGGTGCCTGACACATAGTAAGCATTCAATAAATGCTGGCTTTGGCAGGTTCAGAGGTAACACAAAGGAGAGGACTGAGTCCAGTGGATTTCTCTAGGTTTTCTTGTTACTTCTAGTTGATTGATCACTAGTGAAGAATGAGCCTCCTATTTGCTGTAGGCCCTATACTTAGCTAGAAACACCATGAACTCTCTCCCCAGAAAAATATTCTACTAGATCTCATGCTGGTTTGCCTGTAGTTTTGGGGGTTCACAGACCACATCCTCCTTGGAGCTATGCTGTAGTCCCTGAGGTCAGGACCTCTAAGACATAGGGCACAGCACAGCCTCTCTGAGTCAGAGGACCTTTGCCCCTCCTTCTGTTCTTGCTTTGAAGTTTGGTTCTAGCTGCCAGACTGAACGCTGTGTCTTGTTGGTTTCCAGGCCTTTCTCTGCCCTCTGGTGGTTCTGGCTTAGCCTGACTGGCATCAGTCTCGCTGGTGCTTTAGGGGTCAAGTTTGTTGGCCTCTTTATCATCCTGCAAGTGGGGTTGAACACCATTTCAGACCTTTGGCACCTGTTTGGAGACCTCAGTCTTTCACTGGTGAGACCCCAAGTGCTTACAGGAATGCTCTTTATCCACAGTGTTGCTCAATAGGACCCAGTGGCCTTTATCTGCCTCTGCCATAGGCGGGGAGTGGCTGGGCCCTGGCTAGGCTGGAACTGGCTGCTCTCTGTAGATAGCAGGACATGAGGGAGTGGGCCTGGTTGAGGGGCTGGAAGGGTATAAAGGTAGAGGATAGACTAGCAATTTTGATAGTTTTATCTGTGATTTCTTTTTTTTTTTTTTTCTTTTCCCCATGGCAATACTGAGGTTTGAAATCAGGGCCTCACGTTTGCTAGGCAGGTGCTCTACCACTTGAGCCCCGCCTCCAGCCCGTTTTGGTTTAGTTATTTTTCTGATAGGGTTTCACACTTTTTGTCCAGGGCTGGCCTCTGACCGTGATCCTCCTACCTCTTCCTCCCTCGTAGTGTGAGAGCACCATCACACCCAGCTTGTTTGCTGAGTTGGGGTCTCACTAACTTTTTGCCTGGGCTGGCTTTGAACCATGATCCTCCTGATCTCCACCTCCTGAGTAGATGGGATTATTGGTGTGCATCACCACATCCAGCCTGTGATTTCTTTCAAATAGTCTACAAAGTATCCAGACAGAAAATTTGGTTCAACTGGGTTAAAGCCAAGTATATACACTCGGTACAGACACTGAGGTAAAATGGATGGAATGACTTTTTGAACTCACAATTTTTTTGTCCTGATCCAGGGTCTCCATATTTGGAAGCCAATAAGGGCTGTAGGGTTTATTTTAATACTTCTGTTTATTAAGGGCTGATTTGGTGCCAGGCACTATGCAAAATGCTTTGCCTTCATTATCTCATTTAGCCCTCATAAGAATCCTGTAGTTATTGCCCTGGTTTTACAACTAAGGAATTGAGATCTAGAGAGATAATAACTTTTCCAAGGCCCTATAGGTACTCCAGATACTAAAAGGGAGACCTGTGACTCACACTAGATTAGGCAGTTTCAAGCCTCAGTTGCTTTGCTGTGCTACTTCTCCTTTATTTCCAATCTAAATTCCTTATTTGTTCATTCAGAAGATATATAGAGGCTATCCATTAAGTGTGAGGTACTGGGAATGTAAATGATCCCTGCCCTCTAGAGTCTATGGAAAGGGGGAGAGAAAGAGAATATATATATAGTCCAGCATATGGAACAGTTGATCATGTGATGAGGGTAACAAGGAGCATTGGGAAACTGCAGGGAGTTCAGTGTGACTGGACTGTGGAGGGCCCTGGTGAGCAGCAACCACACCTTCTCCATGGCACCGTGACAGTCCTGGGTGAGGGGTGTTATAGAAAGACTTAGTTTTCACATATTCTGCTTTCCTGTGACTGTTTTTTATTATTATGACTTATACATTAAAAACTTACTTGTAAGTAAGTTTTCTGTAAGGTGTACGGAATAATGGGACCCTGTATGCCCACTACCTGTGCTGGCCTCTGTTTGCAGGTAACTGTGGGAAAACACCTGACTGCTCGCATCCTGTGCCTCATTGTGCTGCCCCTGGTGCTCTACATGGCCATTTTTGCTGTTCATATCACAGTGCTGAATAAAAGGTACAATCAGAGGCTTTCCTCTGTTCTTCTTTTGGCTCTTAAGCCACATCTGGGATTTCCCACATCTGGAGTTAGGATGAAGGGGGATCTTTTTCCAGTTTCTTTCCCTTTGTTTTATCCTTTGGGTATTCCAAGGGCTCAGAAAGGCCAGCACCCTGACCTGAAGGAACAGGAGAATTTCCTAACAGCCATACTGCTCCTTATTTCTAATCAGAGTCTCTTATCCTTAGAATAGGCAGTATAGGGTATATAAATAGGACCAAAAATAATAACATCACACCAGCAGCAGCTCTTATTTAATGAGGAGCTACTAAATGCCAGGAATTGGGGTTAGCATTTTGTGTATATGACCTCATTTAATTATAATCATTTGTGATTTCTTTCATTTTGCTTTGTTTTAAATCTCTAGTTTATAAACAAGGAAGTAAGGCTAAACAAGGTTAGGAACATGCCTAATTTACCCATCTAGTAAGTGGCTGTGTTGAGACCTGGACCCCAACTTCTCTGACTTCATCACTGCCACTCTGATTCTCCTACTTTTAAGTTAACTGAAGGTCATGGAAAATGACAGTTTTTACTCTGTTGACTTGACCTTCTGCTCCTCCTTTGTCCACAGTGGTCCTGGTGATGGTTTCTTCAGTTCTGCCTTCCAGGCCCGGCTTTCAGGGAACAACCTTCACAATGCTTCCATCCCTGAACGTGAGTGTTCTGGGATTTCCTGGGAGTTGAATTGGAAAAGGCAAGTCTTGATAGCTTGAGTTATTTTAGCCTAGAGATGGCAGAGAGGGAGAAAGACCCAGTATAGTGGTAAGAATACTCCAGAGGGTGAGTCAGGACAGTGCACAGGAAGACATCCCAAGCAGCAAGCTCTTTGACCCTTAAGAATAACTTCTGTGTAGTGGTACATTCTTTTGATGGAGTAAGCCATCACTGGTATAAGGAGAGGCTGTTTCAGTGCAGTAAGTGACAGGGCAGGCAGACTATCAGGCATTGAGAAGAGGGGCAGTCAGAAGGAAAAGAGCTTTCTCAATAATCAAGGCCTGCAGGAGGATGGGATGCTCTTTAGGAAATGGTTTGCTCTGTGTGTTTTTATTTAATTCAAAGTTAAAAAAACAAACTTATGACCAGTTATTTTATACCATACTAGATTCAAAAGGCACAAGAGGATACAGAGTGAAAACTCTATTTTAACAGTGTGTCATCACTTTATATCTTGGAGGACATACAAGACAAAGACAGAATACCTCTTTCTTCTTTATTCCATTGTATGCATTTTGCAGACCTTTACTGAAGGATAGGCTGTTTCTAATCTTTTGCTGTTACAAATAGTCCTTTGATAACAACAGTGTCAACACCCAGCTTCTTCTGTGGTTCTCAGGAGGGAGGGAAGAGAGGGTACAAATGACACGGGGTGAGGAGCTGCCTCTTGAGTTGATCCCATTGGTGTAAGAAAGCATTTGTGCCTCTTGCTGCTTCAGGCATTCCCAGGCTGGTGCAGTCTCTTAAAGGGTTCATGTGGCCTGTGGCTTTAGAGGCCCCTCCCAAGCAGGGGCAGCCTAAAATACCATGCCTGTTCATCTGCCACTGTCTTCCTTTCTCCAGACCTGGCGTATGGCTCTATGATCACTGTGAAGAACCTTCGGATGGCCATTGGCTACCTGCATTCCCACAGGCACCTCTACCCTGAGGGAATTGGTGCCCGCCAGCAGCAGGTAGGTGAGCCTTTGTGCACTCGGGGAGGAGAACCAGTGAGGGAACCCTGGGGACACCAAGACTTAAGGCACTATTTAAAGCTGCTCAGGAAGGCTGGCTGAGTGGCTCAAGTTGTAGAATGCCTGCATAGCAAGCATAAGACTCTGAGTTCAAACTCCAGTGGCTCCCCTGCCAAAAAAAAGAAAACCTGAATAAAGCAGCTCAGAGTGGAGCCAGTAGAAGAGACTGAGAAGGAAGGAGTGTGAGGAAGGAGGACTTCCAGAAGGAAGGTGCAGAGAGCTAGAGGGCTGCGAGAGGGGCCTCTGAATAGCAAAGTAGGCTTGTAGCTGACAAGGGTGGTTTCCCTGGAGACGTAAGGGCAGAAGTCTCAGATGCAGTGATGTCAGAGCAAATAGGAGATGAGGAGGGGATGCTGTGCGGCAGGCTCTTACTCTGAGAAGCTTGCAAATGAAATCTCTGTTCTTACAAAATGACCAGTATCTTCATTTGCAGTTTTGCTTCTCAAAATGCTTTAGCTTCTCAAAATCCTTTTAGTTACTAGAAAGTTGACCCAGGGTATCTATTCAGTTTTCGTATCAGTTTCTCATGCTTTAATTTCTACTTATCTCTGGCCCAGTGGGTCACAGTCCTGGCTGCACTTTAGAATCAACTGGATAGTATTTAAAAAATTCTGTCACCTGGGTTCCACTGCAGAGACTCTGATTTAATTGATTTGAGTGGGGCTGGGTAGTGTGCATTTTTGTTTTAGTTTTACGTTCTCCAGATCATTCTAATGTACAGCTGGGGCAGAAAAACACAGGTAGCCATTCCATGGTGATTCCTGCTGCAGGTGTCAATTACTCTGGACAAAGGGAGAGAAAGGCCAAGTTCTGGAAGACCCTATTAAGCAGGTGCTATACACTGAGAGCCCATGTGTGCAGGTGTGAAACTGACAGTGGCATGGAGAGAGCACAGTGGACCAAGGGACGGAAGTGTCTGGCTTTGTCTTTGCTGAGTCACAGTCTTTTCAGCCTGTCTCATCTGTAAATTAAGGGTTAAGTAACCTCTAGTCGCCCTCCCTGCCATGAAGCTTAATGTCTTGTTAATGTTTTTAATCCTCAATTTTAAGATGTTTTCAATGCATAACATTTCTAAATTAAAATTAGAAAATTATGAAAAAGAAAACAAAACAAACAAAAGACATTCCTTCCCCACACATAGGGCAGAGAATATGCATGAGCCCCATAATAGAGCCTTATTGTCCATGAGCAAGTCCAAGCTGGATGGACTGTATCTCCTTTTTTCATGACTGTGGACTTAATTTTAATTTCTTTATGATCACCAAAACTTTTTACACTGGTATATATTCTTCATATGATTATCATTAATTTTTTTCTGAGAAGACACTCAAATAAAATAGCCATAATTCATGCACAATGATTTTTTTCCTATAAATTCTAGCTTCAGACTTCTTTGCAAGTAAGTTGGTCATGTTTTGTTTAGTTGGGTTTATAAAAACTCAAATGAGGACTGGCAGAGTAGTTCAAGAGGTAAGAGTGCCTGCCTAGCAAGCGTGAGGCATAAGTTCAAACCCCAGTGCTGTCAAAAAAAAAAACAACCTTGAATGAATTTCCTTTGTTTCTATACTTCTTTACACAATTGGCATAATTGTATACATTTAGTCTCTTATCTTGGGAGCACTGGAGTCAGCTGCACTGGTTGGAATCCTGTCTTACCAACTTATAACATTGGCTGTGTGAGTCTTAACCTGTGTCCTTGTAAGTAATGTGGAAAAAATGATAGCACCTACAGTATAAAGCTGCAAAACTAACACTGTAATAATGATTGAACCTGGTAGGACTTGCCCATGCTTTTAACAGTGCTTGGTGATAAATAGCTATTTTCAGCATCAGCATTTCATGAGCCTTTTCCCATACTGCTTTAAAAAAATGCTCTGAATCATTTTTGTGGCTATATAATATTCTATCCAATGGACAGAGTACCATATTAACTATTCCTCTGTTAATGGACATTCATACTGTTTGTATTTTTTTGCTATTAGATTAATTGCAGCTTTTATAGGTATGAACATGAGTTCACATGCACTCACATAATTTTTTTTTAAATCTGTGTACAAAATGGCTATAGGTTAAAACTATAGGATGAGGTACTTGTGGGGCTTTTTAGTTTCATTTGGCACATTATAGGAAGTATAATAGCATAAATTTTTCAGTTAGAAAGTTTGAGTCATGTTCTTAATCTTTTTTGAGGGGTAGGGGGATGTCACACTTGTAAAGCAGGTGCTCTACCACTTGAGCCACACCTGTAGTCTCCAATAGCTAGGATTACAGGCATAAGCCACCAGCTCCTGGCCTTAATTACTTTTAAATGCACTAAATTTACTGCTTGTATGCTGAAGACTATTATACACAATGTCATGATTTCTCCCTCTAGAAGTCTGGAACTTTAATGACACGATGCAGAAAGATACAAAGAGATAAATCAAAAAGGGTTTTGAGGGACAGGACCTCTAAATCCAGAAGAAAAGAGAGAATCTCATTCAGCAACTCTGCTTCTGGGCCCCATTGGGAGATGTGGCCTCTTGCATTGGTGGCTGGAGATTCTAAAAAAGACTTAGCAATGGGATTTGCTGGGGATTGTGCTTAGCCCATTGTGCTGGTAGTGATGGTATTCTCCCTCCCTTCCTCTCCCTTCTGCCTTCCCCCAGGTCACCACCTATTTGCACAAGGACTACAACAACCTGTGGATTATCAAGAAACATAACGCAAACTCAGGTAATGTAGTCAGGAACTGATGCTTCTTGTGTTGTCATTTATTCAGAGCCTTCCTTAACATTTCTCATGTCTCCAAAAAGGACACTAAGATGGGCTTGTCTGACATCTTTGACATCTTTACTGTCTCAGTTATCTTTTTGACAATTATTTATTGAGCTCTTACCATGTTCCAAGCACAGTTAAAGGCACAGGAGATAATCAGTGAATATAACAGATAACCTCTCACTCTTAGCATTGTCACTGAAGCCAGAGAGCAGGGCCACAGCTCAGGTTTCATTCAGGAAGAGCTCATGCCATGGGTGGCTGGGGAGTAGCCTTAGTGCTACTCATTTCTAACGTACCATGGCTACCATGGTACCATGGCTGCCTCATTTTAACATAGAGCATACCAAGCTGTGCAGACCCCTGCCTGTGGTCTTGATAAGGTAGAGTGCTGCCACTGTCATCCTTGGGCTGGCTCAATCAGTTGGTCATTTGAGGGCCTGTATGGCTGGGCTTGTCTAGCTGGTGTCTGGGACATCACTTAAAGCCTACTAATATGCCCCTAATCTGCACTAAATTTGCTGTTTGTATACTGAAGACTATTACACATAATGTCATGATTGCTTGCTGTAGAAGGCTGGAACTTTAATGACAAGATGCAGAAAGATACAAATAGATAAATCTTTGTATCTTGCCTATCTTGGGCAAAATAGCTCTGAAACACACCTGTCGGGCTCAGGACTTTCATAGTTACATCGGGATTTTCCTTTGGTCAGGCAACTAGCTGCCTGCAGGCAGTGCCTTCTGATGCTGAGAGCAGAGAGCATGTTTCTCTCACCTCTTAGCTATCATCACTGCTGATACCCTAAGCCACAGGAATTCCCTGTGACTCCTCAGCAAACAGCACCTGTCTTAACCTGGCCCCAGCTAGCTGCACTCTAGCTTTGTGAAGTGGACAGCTGCTTATCTAAGTTCACATTCCTTTTCCTTCCCTATCTCCTCTTACTATCATTTTTGAGCGTGAAACATGACATGTTCAACCACGATGTTTACATCCTCTTTATTTGTGTGCTCAGCGATATAAATTATGACACCATTGAGCAGAGTCTGGTTTTATACTGTTATAATACTAGTATTGATTGTATTTTGATCCAATAGGCCATAAGTAAGTGGCCCATCACAATGAGATGGTATGAGGGAGATGAATTTTACTTCTCAGGTATGGGCTTGAACCAAATCTTTGAACATCCCTGGTCTGTTATTCCGTTGTGGCTCCTAAGTTAAGAAGGTTACATTTCACCTAAGCAACTTAAGGATTTTCTGGGAGCTTCATAAACTAAGGTCTTTGTGTTCTTTTTCTTTCCTTTTTTGTGGTGACACTGGGGTTTGAACTCAGAGTGTCATGCTTGCTAGACAGGCTCTCTGATGCTTAAGCCACTCCTCCAGCTTTGTCTTTGTGTTTTGGATGGCTAGAACTGCCTCTTGTCAGTCCATATGAAATGAAACTTTCTTTTGATTTATTTGATTTGTCATCTTGCTAATTAGTCTTAAAAGACCTTAAAAGGCAGCATAGCTGGACATCTGTGCAGTCAAATTTTCTAATTCTTTTGAGAGTTGGTGATGTGCCCTGTCAAATTTAGCTTTCCTGACCTTGATATATTTATAGAATGTCTCACTGTTTGGGACAGAAGTTTGCAAGGGTGCATTCTGCCTTGCTATGGTGACTGCCAGCTTCTTTTCTATATCATTGCTTTTCTAGATCCTAATCAGTATTAACTTCAGGATGACAGAAAAGTTGTCCTTTTATCATTTCATTTTCTTCACCTCACACTTAGCAGGCCTATTGTTAGAGATTTAATTTTGGTGAAAGCTGGACAAATGGTGTTTGCATGGAATTAACTTTGTGGAAGCAGTATTTTTACTACTGAAAGGAAAATCTTGTTATTTTTACCTCCCAGTTTAAGTTCCAGGGCTTTTAGTGCCTACAAGTTAAGGAGTACATTGCCTGACTTGGCTATGCAGTCTGGCCCCACTCATTCACATCCTTATCTTCTACTCCCACTCCCTTCCTTCCTGCATGTCCTAACTGTATGAAACTACTTACCACTGATTGAGTTTTGAGTTTTGTTCTTTTATACCCCTGTGCCTTTCACCTGCTTAATCACATGACAGAATTCTCTCCTTCCTTTTAAGAGTCTTTTCAAGCATTATCTCCAGGATGCGCTTCTATAGTCCTCTGTGCTGATTATTCTGTTGACCCACAGGCCTCTGTCAGTACCTCTAGCACATGCCACATGGCACTGTAACTGTTTTCTAGTAGGCCCTCAGCAGCCACTAGCCTAGTGAGTGAATGACTCTGAGTTCATGCTTGTTTCTTCCCTGCAGATCCCCTAGACCCTTCTTTCCCAGTGGAGTTTGTGAGACATGGAGACATCATTCGATTAGAACACAAAGAGTAAGTTAACTTGCTGCTTGAATCATGAGTGGAATGACACACAGAAGTCAGGTGTGGCTGAGGCTGTAGTAATAGAACAAGGATGCTGTGATAGAATGAGAGAGGCATGGGATGAAGGGAATGAAGTAGCAGACCAACCTTTGCCTATTGATTTTGGCTTTGATGAGCTTTGATCCCTTTACTAGAAGAAAAATTTGAGTTGCCCAAAGCTGCTACTTTTAGAAAATGGAGGTGTCTGTTTCTGAGAGTAGGGCAAGCTAGTTTATTTCACCAGTGTTCTCACTGAAATGACTAAAAATTCTTGTATGATATAAAAACTTAAAAGCATAAAAATGCTGACAAGATATTAAAAGAGTTACTAGACCAAAGTCTAAGTGAAAGGAGGAATGCAAGGGAGTAAGTAAGGCTCTGAAGCCACAGTCTTCAGTTTTAGTCTTTTTCTAAAGACTAAAAAGTCTTTCTAAAAAAGACTACCATCTTTTTTTATTGTTGTTTTTGGCAGTACATATTACCTTGTACTTGTTAAGCAGGCACTCTACCACTTGAGCCACATCCCAGTCCTTTTTGCTTTAGTTATTTTTCAGATAATGTCTCGTGTTTATACCCAGGCCAGCCTGGATGGAAGGTGATACTCCTGTTTATGCTTCCTAAAAAGCTGAGATGACAGGTGCCGCCATGCCCAGCTTTTTTATTTGTTGAGTTGGGGTCTTTTGAACCTTGATCATCCCAATCACTGCCTCTGGAGTTGGTAGGGTTACAGGTGTGAGCCATCATGCCCTGCTTGACTACTATCTTGTGAAAAAGGAGTTGGAAGTCAAATATTCTAGGGTCACCCAAAGTGATAAACTTATTAAGTGATTATTCCCCCAAAATTTGTACCCCAAGGAAAAGTGACTTGGGTACTGAGAGATGGGGGTTAGGTAAGAGATCCTTACTTCCTCAGAAGTAACTACCAGTTGATTCTCACATAGATTTGCAGCCCACATGCCTGTCACTTGGATGGTCTTCATATCTTTAAGCCATGAATTTAAAAGATTGTAATCATAGACTAGTATTGTCTTCTAGGTGCGTGGCTAAAAGAGAAAGTTAATCCTCTGGGAAAGACTTTGCAGTCTTTCCCACAAATAGTTTTCAGCAACAATGAATAGTGCATAGTCAAAAATGCATCACTTAAGGAGCAAAGCACAAGAACAAGCAGAAACAACAATTAGCTGAAGCAGCCCTACAAAGATTTCAAATACCAGAATTAGCAGATACAGATTTTCAAAAATCAGGAATGTCATTTGGATTTTAGATACTTAAATTGTATTATTAAATAAATTTCATTTTATTATAATACATTAAAATGTATTATAATTAAATTCTATTTTGCAGAATTTGGAAATTTTTATAATGACTATTTATTGCTTATGGATAAAAGTAAGAATTGTTCTAAAAAGACAAAGCTAAATTAATCCACCCCCTCACTACAAATCTTCACTTTAAAAAAAATGGTAATGACCCATTTCCTACATAGGGAACAGGAAATATTTCTCCCCTTCCCCCATTTCTCCCTATCTTTTCCTGTTTTACCATATTTCTTTCCTAATAAACTTTTCTGTCACTTTTTCTATACAAAATAAAAACTAAAATGTATGGTAATATGAATAGAAAGAATAAATAGGAATGCAGAGGTTTACCTATCTTAGGTATATGCAGATTACTAGTGTTAGTTTTCTTTTCCCCAGACCTGCCTCCTATGTCAGGCAAGCTAAGTGCTTCATAGCTACCAAACGTGTGAAAGTCATCCCACTGCCCAGCTGACACCTAAGTTAGCCACTTTCTTGGTGTGTAGTTCAGCATTTCTACCATTTGCCTTCTTAGCTTGGGTGCTTCTTTCTTCTCCAGTTCTCTGGATATTTCTTGTGAATGAATAGGCAACAAGTTCCTGATATGTTGGAATTAATTGTTTAGATTTTTATTTTTCTAATCCTAACAGATGACTTTGCATATTCTTGGTAAAAGAAAAAACAGTGTACATGTCTTTTGTTCAGATAACCGCTCATCTCTCTTCCAACTTCTAGGACTTCTCGGAACTTGCACAGTCACTACCATGAGGCCCCCCTGACCCGGAAGCACTATCAGGTCACTGGCTATGGCATAGTAAGTGAACAAGTGGGGTGTGAACAGGGTATATAAAGGTGTGGGGTTTGGCTCAGAGCCATGTGGTAAGACACATCCTCCCCAGAATTCTGGAATGTTCCTAGGTTTAGAGGCTGCACGTGGACTTTCTTAACATTTGAGAACTTTTTGGCTAATTTTGCTGTGAGAAAAGCAATCTCTCTCCATCCTTCTCCTCACATAGTCACATCATTTACATGTTCTAATATCTAATAAGGGTTAAATATGAATATTATTTGGGTCTCTCCAAATCACAAGTTGGGCATGGTGGTGTACAGCTATAATCCCAGCTTCTCAGGAGGCAGAGATGGGGATCATGAATTTGAGGCCAGCCCAGGCAAAGTTAGTGAGATGCTATCTCAAAAACAAAAATTTTTTTAAATGGCTGGGCACAGCTCAAGTGGTAGAGAGCTCGCCTAGCAAACATGAGACCCTGGGTTCAATCCCCAGTACTGCCCCCCTCCCAAAAAAAATACACTGGCCATAGAAACCAAAGAATTACAATATGGCCCTAGGTGAGTTTATCTTTTGTCAGATCCCAACTTCTTGCTAGCTTTATTTTTAAGGATCTCTTCCTTGTCATAGCTTTTGTTTACTATCTTTGGGAGATAAACTTAATAGAGTAAAAATCTCTATAAGTATATATAACTTGGAAGTAGTTGAAGACAAAAGCAACTAGTGGAAAATGATGTGTGACTATCAGTTATATTCCCTTCCAAAGCCTTTGGTACTTCAGTAACAAGTCTGGGTCTCATCAAGTGAATTCCCCGACCCTCTTTTTACTTGCTTATTCCACACTGTATGAGGACCAAGACTCTGAAGTCCTCATCTTTTTTCTTGTGGGCCTCTCCTGGGGAGAATTAGACACAAGTCTCTTAATTTCCAAGGTGAAGTATACAGCCAGACCTTTCTGGCTTGGATAAATGAGGGTCCAGAAGACCAAGATACTGGATGCAAGTGACCCAGATCACTGCTGTTGGCTAAAGGATGGCTCAAGTTTGGTTTAAGAGCAAAAACATCTATTTTGAACTTAAACTCTATTCCTATGAAGTGAAGAATTTGACTTCTGGTTCCAAGAGTTATGTTCCTGTTTTTGGTTATAATAGGGAGTGCTGGTGCAATGTCAGTCACTTAGGGTATTCTATGGCCTTCTTGTCCCCTTTCCCACCTGACATAGAGACTGATTTGGCCCTTGACATTTGTAACATGGTGGCATCTGAAAGGGTAGCCATCTCTCATTGTGACACCTTTTCTCTGAAGACATCTCACGTTGTATTCTTTTCCTGGCAGAATGGGACAGGGGACTCAAATGATTTCTGGCGGATTGAGGTTGTAAACAGAAAATTTGGGAACCGGATCAAAGTGCTGAGAAGTCGAATTCGCCTTATCCATCTGGGCACAGGTTGTGTCCTAGGCTCCTCAGGAAAGGTTCTGCCCAAGTGGTAAGTTTCTGGACTTCTGATGTCTCAATGGGGCTCCTGCTTTTCTTATCTTGGTACAAGCAAGGAGTATGCCAGAAGCTTCTGTTTCCAACAGTGGTCAATATTCACCTCATGTTTCCTTTATTTTGGTGGTAGATGGAAAGAGAAAAGGCATCAGAGTACATCATTGAGCATCCAGCTCCAGTGTAGCTTTTGGTATTTTATGTGTTTTGAACATTGGCACATCTTTCTTGTGGTAAAAACTCTCTGGGTTTGTCTCTTTGTGAAATGAGAATAACATATGCTGCACTACTAAAACAGATGTGGAATATGAGAGTGTGAGGTTGAAAATATATTGGCCACTGGCTTGAAAAAGAGGGGTTCCACAGACTGAGTAGTGGTAGACAGTGCTAATGTAGGGGAGATTTCAGGTCTTCTGAGAGACATCTACAACTTCTTTTCACAGGGGCTGGGAGCAATTGGAAGTTACTTGCACTCCATACCTAAAAGAAACCCTCAACTCCATCTGGAATGTGGAGGACCATATCAATCCCAAATGTGAGTTAGCTCACTTCCCAGGCTGTCTCTGAAGAGAAACATTTAGAAAAAACTCTTATCTTAGAAAAATAAACCTCCAGGCTAAGCTCCAGTGGCTCATGCCTATAATCTAGCTATGTGGGAGGCAGAGATCTGGAGGATCATGGTTCAAGGCCAACCCAGGCAAAAAGTTAGCCAGACCCCATCTCAACAAAAAAAGCTGGGCATGGTGGCACGTGCCTGTCATCCCACCTACTGCAGGAAGCAGCCCAGGTAGAAAGCAAGACTCTATCTCAAAAATAACCAGAGCAAAAAGGGCTGGGAACATGGCTTAAGAAGTAGAGCACCAGCCTAGGAAGTGCGGAGCCCTGAATTCAAACCCTAGTACTGCCCACCCCCCCAAAAAAGTTCAGAGACTGCTGCCCTTGTATCTTAGTGTTTTCATAAGAGTTGTCTACAAGTGTCAATAGCTTCATGATAAATTTTGTATTTTTGTATTGTATATTTTCATGCATTGAGAGAATTTCAGATGTTCTAATCTGTTATGTAGAAAGTGTTGTTCTTTCCCAATTTAATTGATTATATATATATGTATACACACACACACATACACACACATATACAAATAAGTATACAGACAAATTTTTTTAACATATATATATTGTCTGTACCTACATTTAGCTCCTTTCTCTTCTTGTTCCTTTCCTCTTTAAATTCCTTACCCTAAAGTGACCAGTGACCTCCTGTAGGTTTGTCTGTCTTATCTCTCTCTGGATTCTTTTATCCCTACACCACAGCCACCTCTGTGCCCTCTAGGCTTGGCATAGGCGGGTCCTTACCCATTAATTTTGTGCAGCGTGCCTCTTCTCCACGTCCAGCCAGCCTCTTCACAGCAGGCCATGGCCACAGCCCACATCTCTGCTCCCAGGCCCCATTTGACTTTACCATGTCAGTGTCAACTTTGGGCTCAATAAGTGTTTGTATTCATCGTCTGTTCTCCTAAATGCCTCCTTCATGCTTGTGATTGATTTCTCCTTCTTCCCATGCTTTCCATTTTGTCCTTAGCAGCCAACCCAACCAATTAACTAATTAAACAACTCCTTTTGAATATGCTGGGAACCATGTGGGCCGTGGATCATTTGGTGAATGAATGATGCAGATTCAGACCCTGTCCTCAGACACCTTAGGCCTAATTGGAGGGTTGCATCTGAGCCAGTGCCACAGTAAAGGGTGACAGTGCCAGAGCTGTGGGAGCAACCAAGAGGGAAGCCTTGTCTATTTCCTTTGTAGTTCTCACAGTCTGATGAGTGCTTCACATAAGTTGAGTAAATGATCCTCAATACTGTTGCCTGTTGGCAGTTTGTTAGGAAGGTTTCACTTGGACTCTGTGGGTAGTGTGGACAGACAGACTGAGAACAAAATGTATGGTAAAGCCTTTCTCCTGTCATTTGTTTTGTTTTGTTTTCTCTAGTGCCAAACATCAGTCTGGATGTGTTGCAGCCCAGTTTTCCTGAGATCTTGCTGGAGTCCCACATGGTCATGATTCGGGTACTGTGGCCCCTTTGCATTTCATGGCTTCTCTAAGAGTCTTTGGTCAGCCATGCATTTGGAGCACAAATCCATAGCTCTGGTATAGATCCCCTGCCCCCTTCTGGAGGACTTGGAAAGTGTCTTCACCCACTGTTTTACTTGATCTTCAAGAGCATTTCCCTTATCACAGAATGAGGGTGGTGGTGACTTTATGATAACACAGTGAACACTTACATAGTTTTTATGTGCCAGGCATTGTGTGAATCACTGTATGTGTATTAACTCATTTAATGTTATCCCAATTCTATGGAGATTATTGTCATTCCCAGTTTACAGTGAGGGAACTTGTTCACAGAAAGGGTAAAGAATTGTCCAGGGTCACATAGCTGTGTGTAAGAGGAATCTAGGGGGCAGAGGACAACCAACTAGAGGGGGACAAGGGAACAATAGAGGTTGATGGGGGGGTGACTATGATCGAAGTACATTATCTCCATGTATGAAAATGTCATAAGAAAACTCATTGTTTGTTTTAAAAAAAAAAAGTGGATCCTGGCTTCAAAGCTAGGCAAAAGGCTCCCATACAGCTACCCTAGCCTCCTCCACCTCTGAGTGACTTTCAAATCAGTGCTCTTGGTTGAAGATCACAAGACATTGATCATTACATCCCATGAAATTAGGCTCAGTTAGGATGTATGGCTAATTCAAGTGCTGTTTATGTGCAGCATTAAATCCCCACCATGAGCCCACTCATATTTCTGGACAGACCCTACTTAGAGGGCATGGCCAATTCTTGTTTAAGGCTTCCTAAGATCCATTGCTTACACTCAAACGTTAGTAGCTGACAACAGTCCTAGCATTTACAGGTGTAAGGAAAATTGAGAGAGGAAATCTTTAAATTGAAAAAACTTAAATTTGCCTCTGTTAATAGGCATGGAGGAAGCTTGCTCCATGTTCTGATGTTTAATTGGAGATCCCCTTTTTCTGATGGTGGGAAACCCAAGTCCTGCAGAAAGGATGTTAAACAGCCCCTGTATCTCAGATCAGATAGGCAACCAAGTACCAGCCACTCACATGGGTGGGGTAGTGTGACCATTGTTATTTCTTCCCTGTGAGCCACTGCCAGGTGGACTTACCTAGAAGTGATTATGTAAGCAGTACTCAGAAAATATAGTTGACTTATTTCACCAGATTAAACTTTAAAAATTCAGACTTTGTCAGTTTTGCACATTGGGAGGTGATGAGTTGACATTAAGCAATCTCCGGGTCACTTCCTCTCTAACTCTCTGCTTGTAGCTGTCACTGTGGTTTGATGACATAGCTCTTTTGAACATGTGCCTGTCAGTCAGAATATCAGTCTGGGTCTGCGTAGAATTTTAAGACTGAGTAAGTCTAGACTTTCAGTTCTTTCATTATCTAAGAGGTAGAAACAAAGAAGAAAAGGTATTGTGGAAGCTCTTATTCAACTGATGTATGTAGAGTAAGGGAGAGGACCAAGACCAAAATAGTAAGTCCAAACTGTAGAAACTGTGGTGGGATTCACATGTGCATATGAATGTACATGTGTGTGCTGCTGATGCCTGGGTAGAGAAGGCTGGCTTGCCTGGTTAGGTTACCTGGAAGAAGCCATCTAGATTTGGATAGAGAAGAACTTATAAACCCATGTGTTTCTGTGGGTATAGATTGTTCCCTCCTTCCATCTCATGGTTTAGTAGAGGAGCTGGACTTCTCCAAATTTGATATAGTGAATAGGATTCCTTTGGCTTATCACAGTTCTGGCTGGAGTCCCTGTGTTTGGGACTGAACTGGTTTGAAGGGATTGATTTCCCTCATCAACTGCTCCAGGAATCCAGAATGGTTCATTTCTCATTCTAAGGCCTCTTGAGTTGGCCATAGTGATTCAGAGATTATGCAGCTGGTCCCTTTGGGTCTGATTCCCCAAGGCATTTTTGACCCTGCAGAAGCAACCCAGTAGTTTGGAGGTTGCAAACTATTCTTAAGTCCTCACAGTTGGTTTAATAAGGCTTCTAGGTGGCAGGTCACTGAACCAGACCTCTGAATCTGTCTTGGGCTAAACCATTGGTTCTCAATTGAGGGAAATTTTGCCTCCCAGGGATATTTGGCAATGTCTGGAGAAGCTTTTGGCAGCATAACTGAGATACATGGCATGGGGGTGCTCTGACATCCAGGGATGCTAAACATCCTGCAGTACACAGGACGGTCCTCATATAAGTCTTATCTAGCCTAAAAATCAGCAATAGCAAGGCTGAGAAACTCTGACCTGACTCACAGCAGCCTGGCTCCCCTTCTCAGTTTGTATGATACTGAGGCTGGCCCATCCCTGGCACTAGTGTCTGAATCCTGACCCTGTTCCTTCCTGTTTAGCAAGGGCCATAGTGAGACAGTTATTGCACATCCTTGGCTTCTGGATTAGAGGTGCTGAGTTCAGGTTCTTCATGATAATGCCAGCATTGGGAGTGATTTCTCTCCACCTAGGTGAAATATTCTTAGAAGGCAAAACAAAAAACCTTTTATTTATAAAGCACAGTTTATTCCTACAGTACATAAACATATTATGGCTATAGTATTAAAATGGCATGGAGAGCATTTGGAAAAAAATGTCTATAAAGGCTCATAGAGTGGGGCAGGGAAAAATAATGAAAAAAACATTGAGATACACTATGCTAAAGTAACCTTTTCCAAGTCCAGGTACTCCTCACAGTCTCTGCTTTTGTTTGAAATTGACTAAGTAAGCGCTTGTTTTATATTCCCAACTCCTCCTACTCTCTTGACACTTTGTCTGTGCTTGGCAGATGGATATGTATTTTGTGCCCAGTAGATACAAGTCCTTTGTTCCTCTTTCTCTTCTTTCTCTCTAGTGTAGAGAATCTCAGTGGGCTGTCTGATGGGAAGGGGAGACTTGTTTGTTTGGGAGAACCAAGGCAGTTATTGTAGGTAGGTGGGCAGTGGCTGGGAATAAGCACCTGACTCTTCCTTCCAGAAAGGGAGAGGAAGAATCTCCTCTGGACGCTTGGGTGGGTGTCAGAGGTACCTGAACCTCACACTTCTGTCCACCTGCAGGATCTTTGTCTTGACCATATTTTCTTTGTTACCTTCCTGCAGGGGAATAATGGTCTCAAACCCAAGGACAATGAGTTCACATCCAAACCCTGGCACTGGCCTATCAACTATCAGGTAGGGCACAAGGCTAGAGTTCATCTCAGGAAATGGAACTGAGCAAGAGACCGTGGAGGCTGGGTGGGCCTGGGGTATGCTGGGATGTTGGGGGAGGTCTCACTGGAGTGGGCTGGCCAGAGACAAGGTTCTGTTTCATACCCTGATTCTGATCCCACCTTCCCAGAAAGCTTGTATAGAATTTGCACATTCTGAGCCTCCTGTCCAAGCTGCCTGTCTGTGAAAGGTGTCCAGTCTTCCTTTCCCTGAATGGGAATACTGGGGATGAGATGGACCCTGGATCAGCAGGGCATCCTCTACTCCACAGGGCCTGCGCTTCTCAGGGACTAATGACACAGACTTGCGAGTCTATCTGCTGGGAAACCCGGTGAGTGCACTACCATTCCTGCTCAGACCCTGAGAGCTTGCCTGTGGAGAACCACTATGCTCTCATCCTCATCCTCCCACTCTCCTTCCCATGTAGGTGGTTTGGTGGCTGAATCTGGTGAGCATTGCCCTCTACCTCCTCTCAGGGAGCACTCTTGCCATCGCCATGCAGAGAGGGGTGCAGCTGCCTGCAGAGCTGAAAGGTCAGGGCTCTTAGCTGAGGCCTGTGCTCTGGGGAGGGCCTGCCTACTATGGGGCACCCCTTTCCTTCCCCACCCCATATTCTCACTTTTCCTTTGCCTTGAAAGCTAGCTCACAGACACCAGGTACCCAGAGCTTGTTCAACATTTTGCTCCTTCCCAGTGTCCTGGGGAGTGGAATAGTATCTTACCCTCATTCTGTGGATTAGGAAGCCAGGCATAATGGGGTTAAGGACCTGTCCCAGGACGCACAGTTAGTTAGTGATGGTGCTAAGACTCAGACCTAAGCAGTCTGACTTAACAGCCGTCACTTTCCCCCCGTGCTGTAGCCAGAGCTGCTCCTTTTCTTGTCTGCTCACTTTGTTCCACAGACTTATCCTCTAGTGGGACAATGCTGCTCCTGGTTACTTTAGCTGTTAGGCTTGGGCCACATCACAGGAGACATCCCCATAGACCATGTTTGCCCCTGTAGCTTCCTGTCTGAACAGTCTGGGGAACCCCCATCTCTCTCTGTCCTCTCTGACTTTAGCTCTGCATTGGCCTTCCCCTGTGAAGGCTTGTGGCAGTGGAGATGGGGTAGTGGGGGCAGGGAGGGCAGCTGTCTGTAGGTGTGTGCTCCCTGCCGAGACACCAGTGTTCAGGCCCTGCCAGTGTGTGTCATTGCTGCCATGGTGCCAAGACCTTGCCAAACTGGGAATTGACCAGGATTCTTGAGACCCAGTTACTCTTTTCTTCCTCCAATTGCTATAGCGTTGAGTGGATTGGTCGCATGATAGAAGGAAGGCATAGCAAGATGAAGTTACCTATTCAGTCATACAGCAAGGAAGAGGCAGAACTGGGGTGGAACTCAGATTCTCTGCCCTTCCCTGCCTTCTCACTGAGCTGTACTGCTTGGGGCCCAGGGTTGACCCAGGTCTTTCTGCGAGGAGGCGGCCAGGTGCTGCTTGGCTGGGTGCTCCATTACTTCCCATTCTTCCTGATGGGCCGGATCCTCTACTTCCACCACTACTTCCCAGCCATGCTCTTCTCCAGCATGTTAACAGGTCAGTGCTTCCCAACCTGCACTGTGGAGATAAAGCAAGGGGAGGACAAGGATGGAAAAGAGGAAGAAGTTGCCATGAGTAGCCATGCTGAGTGGATCTCTGCTTTCTGACTGGGGTGGCTCCTTCATGTGGGATCCCTAGAAGTTGTTCTCTGACAGGCTGGTGCTTGGTTTCTCTGCTCTCCATAGGCATCCTGTGGGACACCCTCCTGAGGCTTTGTGCCTGGGGCTTGACCTCCTCTCCTCTGGCCAGGAGTGTCCATGCTGTGGGAATCCTGAGCCTGCTTCTGGTAATTGCTTACAGGTATGCAGCCCCTTATGCAGTCCTCCAGTGTGGGCTCACTGGTACTTTGGCTCTGGGTGCAGGTACTTAAAAGCCCTGGAGTGCTTTTAAGGTGTTCCTGTGTCTATGCCCAGCTCCAGAGGTTCTGATTTAGTTGGGCCCAAGTGGGTCACAATTTTCAGGGCCCCCTAGGTAATCAAATGTGTATTCAGGGAGCTCATTCATGGCCTTCTCTCCTTGCCAGTGGTTCCCAGCTTTGGCATCACCCAGCATATCTGCAAGGGCACCCCTTGTAATCATGAGGTTCTCTGCCAGAATAGCTCTATGAGGGGTGAGGAAGATGGAGGAAAGAGTGGGAATGGGGTGGGGAGGAGCCTCAGAATCAAATTCCACAGGCCATCCCATGATGGTAAGGCCTGTAACCTATGAGCATACAAATATTCTGGACCACACTACCCAGGGCCAGACCCCTAGATGGGTCCCTATCCTAAGCCTGTTTAGAAGATCCCTTTCCTTCCTTGTCATTCAGTCAGCAACCCTGTAACTCCTGAACCAGAGTGTGCCCATATGGCAGACTCAGTTAGACGCATTGGGTTGTGTGGGTAGAGCCTGTGTGATGGGCACCAGCAGAGAGAGCTATAGTCAGAGCTCCTCATTTTGGCCTGCTATGCTAACCACCTCCTTCTGATTCTCTCTTACAGCTTCTACCTCTTCCACCCTCTGGCTTATGGGATGGTTGGTCCCCTAGCCCAGGACCCCCAAAGTCCAATGGCAGGACTAAGGTGGCTGGAATCATGGGACTTTTGAGGCCACTACCAGGACCCCAGCCTGGGTTCAGGAACTGCCTCAGGATAGCCAGCTGTGGAGCCAGTCCCTGGACCCTACCAGCTTCAGAGGAGCTGCCTGAGGAGCCCAAAGCATCTGCTGCTGCCAGGACTAAGCTCTGGGAGTGAACCCAGATTTCACCCTACACTAAAGAGCCACAGCCTGTCAGCAGTACCCACAGAGGACAGTATCTCTTGTGCCCAATTCCCTGAGAGTGCAACATAAGGGAGGATGAGTATTCAAGAGGGAGTGTGGGAGTGTACATTTTTCCAGATCCTTGTGGAATCAGACCATGTAACTGTGGACAGCCAAGAGACATAAACTTTTAAGAAACAGTCCAGGGCTATGGTATAATTTCCTGGTATTTTTTCACATTGGATTTGACTTGGTTTTGGTTTGTAAGATCCATTGAAATCCTCTGACCTCCAAAAGAGCTTTGAGGGCTGAGAGCGCCGACCTCACTGTGGATGTCACTGAGGGAGCAGCAGATGGGACCCTTAAAGCTGTGCTACCCTCCTTCCCACACAAGTGAATCCAGCCAGGAAAGCAAGCAACCCACACTGTGGAGTGTGTCTTGGCCACAGGTGACTGAACTCTTGCCTGTGATGCACACAGAGCCATGGGCTCAAGGGAATGAGATGGTGGAGAACTCTCCAGCCTCTGGTTGGCCTTCCTTAGCCCTCAGATCCTTGTTTTCTGGGAATGTCACACTAAGATTGGTGGGAAGAACTATGTTCTATCCTTGGCCACTCTGTGTCCCCAGATCCATATGCCAGAGGCTGTTTCTTACTGTCCATCCCTTTCCCTCTGGATCTGGCCTGACTATAAGGAACAAGACAGATGCATTCTCCTGTTGGCTAGGAGAGTTTTTGGGGACCCTTCCAAGCAGCTGAGGCAGAGTAGAGTCAGAACAGGGAATCCGTGTGGTGCTGGGCTGAGAGATTCCAGTGGGATACTAGGGTGGGTATGGGGTACTTGACCTATCTGAGCTGTTCTTTGCTGGGCTATCTTGTTTTTATTTTCATTGTTTTTCCCTTTCTCTCTGTCACTGCTTCATCAGTCTCTTTTTCCATAAGGCCCCAGAGAACCTAGAAACACATGGCAGGTTCTATGGTCTGCTGCTTTGAGCTCAGAGCTGCTCCTTCCACTTCCTCCCCCAAAGGGATTAAGAAAACTTTTGGGTCAGAACTAAACCAACCCAAGACCAACCCTTCTGCATGACTTCCTTCTCTTAGTTCAGGACAAAATGTTTATTTGGTCTCAGAAGACTTTGATGCTGCAAGGTCTAATGATGAATCTCTGCCACTCTCCATCTTCCCTCCACTGTAGCTCCCAACAACTCTGACAGGGTCAGAGCTCTTTAAAGCATTTTCAGGAGGCGGTTGCCACGGAGACTGAAAATTGGTCTTAGGGACGGGCTGTGCTGCCTGCTGAGTGGTAGGGAGGGAAGCTTCTGGGCCATGCTTGGCCGTTCAGATCAAGCATCATTAATGTTAATAGAGGAAATGCAGCCACGTCAAAAGCAAGGCAGGATGGTTAATTAGATCTGAGGCCCACTGACCTCCCTCTCCCATGGCTGTAGCCCTTTTGACTTCCCCCAGCAGGAAGCTCAGCCTGTGTGCTGAGTCTGGGCTGCCTGCGTAATTGCATTTCTGGCAGAGATGGAGAAGCTCTGATCCCACTCTACTCCCCTCCCCTCTACCCTGCAGACAGAGCTAGTTTCTTCTGAGCTGACTTGGGCACCATCTGGGTGAGCTATCTTGGAGGTAGGATGCAGGAATCTACTTGGCCTTAGTAAAGAAGGTGATCCATGATGATATCCTTGTGCCCTTGTACTTCCCAAGAGGAACTTGTTGGAAGGGGGAGCTGTGAAGGAACCAGGGAGCAAACTCCGAGTAAGGAAGGAGTGAGCTCAGCAAGCTCTCTATCCACCACTCCCCCTAATATGGCCACAAAATACAGGGAGAAAAGGTTCCTTCTCTCTTCCCCTGCTTTACTGGGATAGAAGAAAGAGCCCTCCCCACCCTTTACCTCTTCCTCCATGCCCAAGTCAGTAGGCACTTCTCCGGGGACAGGGCCACATGGGTGGCAATAGCTCCCAGTGCTCAAGTTCGATTTGGAAGATGCTTGGGACAGAAACCATTAGGGTGCTGCTCTGAATGTGGGTTGCAGCCCACAGGAATTGGCAGAAATGTGACACATCTCACAAACTGCTGGTGAGGCAGCTGAATCTCCAGCTAGCATCTTGAGCCACATTTTATTTAAAAAAAAAAAAAAAGTTGCCAGAGTTAATCAGAGGCCATTTACTTTTGTAATAAATAGCTCTTGTTTTTAATGCCATGTTGTTCTTTTTGTGCTTAATTGAATCTAACTTGCCCTCTGGCTCCCAGAAAAGCTTCCCTAAGAAGAGGAGAATGTTTAGAGGGCATGAACTGTTCTAATTCCAGCTGAGGCTCTGGCTGGGCAGGTAAGCCTGATGCCTGGGGGCATGTGGTCTTCCCCTGTACACTCTTGAGTAGTATTGCATGTTATTTCAACTTACCTAAACTTACTCTAAAATAAGCTGGACCTTTTTTTTTTTTCTTGTTTAACTAGTCTGGCCAGTATAGAAAGGAGCGAGGGAACCATTTTGTCCAATTCTCAGACAGCTGAGTGGTCCACTGCTATAGCAACTTGCCATTCTGCTTATCAGTGACCTGCATCCTTCCAAGACCCTGTCATCAGAAAGGAGATTAAGGATCTAAGGCTGGTGAGAGCTGACTTGATATTTGGATTGAAGGTGTTGAGGAAGGGAGTCTTGTTGCACCGTGAAGCCAAGGGTCTTCTGAGCCACCCAGCTGCCCCTCTCAGGACCAAGAATAGCTTGAGGCAGGCTGGAAGTATGTAGGTCATGCAGGTCCTCAGGAGACAAAATGCCAAGGACAAAGAGAAGCAAATGAATCAAATACGCCTCTTACCTGTGACATCTAGTTTTCATAAAGGGCCAATGAAGTTGATGTTTTTGTCTTCAGTCTACTTCTAGAGAGTAAATTACATGCTTAAGGTCCCACAGTTAGGAAATAGCAGAGGCAGGACTCTGCCACGCTGGACCTTTTCACCTTCTCCAGCCTGGTTCTGGGCTGGAAGTATCTCCCAGGAGTCTGGCAGCCCTGAACACTCTGAAGTAAGGTCTAAACATTCAACACAGGGGTGTCATGGTTCTGTGTATCCTTTGTACATTCTGTGTAGTGCCTCCATACCTCAGCCAGTGCTCTATTTTCCCTAGTTTCCCAGGTACACCCAGACCAGTAGTGGGTGTTCACAACAGGTTTTCTGTGAGGGAAAGTAAGCCCTGATTTGTAACATTTCCTAATTCCCATAGTATAAATACTCCCACTATGGCCTAGTTCGAGCCACCAATTTGATGTCACGAATGGGGAGTTGGAAAGAGATGCATACAGTCAGTTCTTATCAGCCATGTAAGAGCTGGCTCAGTATACCTCCAGCTCCGACACAGTGACCTTGGCTTGGTTATGGCTCCCATTACAGTTAGGGAGGCAGTGGAGAGGATGGGCTAAAAGGTCAGACCTGAGGTCAAACCCTGGCCCACCTCTTGTATGACCTTGGTTCAGTTACTTAATCTCTTTGCCTCCATCTCCTCAATGGCAGGGACAATAAATAGATCTACTTCATAGAGTCATTGTGAGGATGCAGTGGGCCGTGTCTGGCCACAAATGCTCCATTAGTGCTAGCTCTTTACTGTCATTAGTGATACTTTAACACACTGGCTCCACAATAGCATTTGAAACTCTGTCTTAGGTTTTAACAGATACCCCATTGGGAGGAGAGATTCTGTGACTGCCCCAGCCCCTCTGTGGCTGCTTAAGTTGCACCAGATTCTTAAGCCTCTTCCCAAGTGGAGCAGAGATGACAGTGCACTTCACCGTCTCCTCCTGCTGCCTTTGGCTCTAGGAAGGCAGAGGGAAGCTGTGAGTGTTGACAAATCCACTTACTAGCTAAGGCCATCACTCCCATGAACTGGTCAGACCACAGACCCTGTCCAAAGGAGAGAGGTAGCAAAAAGGGTCCTGAGTGTGGGCTGTTGTCAAGAAATGGAAACTGGGTTGAGTGGGGGGGGGGGTCCTAAGCCAGTCAGATGGCCTGCACAGAGCACCATTCCTTTGTGCACTTGTTTAGGAACCTGTCAGACTCTTTAGGACACAGGCTTTGCCAGACTGTTCCAAAGCCATCTTTTCATGTTCCAGCTCAGGGATACAGAGAATATGTAGGGAGTTGGGGAAGAATGGAACAGGGCATACCCAAACTCTACCTGGAAGAGGGAAAGCAGTTGGGCAGTTTCATGGGGCTTGGCCAGAGCACAACTGAAGTCCCCAGAACTGATTGAGGGCCAGAAGGAGAAGTTCTAGAAGGCAAGAAGGACTCAGCACTCCATGTCTAGCACAGGGCTGGCTATGAGGCCATAGCCTGTTCGGCACACAGACACCACTGATCCTCTAGAGACCTTGCCACCTAAATCCTTACTGAGGAAACAAGCCTAGAGAAAACTGGGCAGATTGAAAGGAGAGAGGTTCAGAGAGTGTAAAACAATGAAAGATAAAATAAGGGTGAAACTGGGCTTGTACTCTGGGCCACTAGAAATGGTCTGGGGCCAAAGGAACTCTCATGCCTCAAAGAGAATAGTGTAGTTCTACTTTAAAAAAAAAACAAAAAAACACAACAGGTGCATCCTGTAATCCCGCCCATAATCCTAGTACTCCTAGGAGGCTAAAGCAGGAGGATCATGAGTTTCAGGACAACCTGGGCTACATAACAAGACCCTGTCCAAACCCAAAAATAAAAATCCAAGTCACAATTTTTAATAAATCATGGACTAGTAGAATGGTATAGTATAGGAGAATGGTATGCTCACATTTCCTGCTCCCAGGAGTCCACCCTGGCCCAGCAGGGCCTAGAGCTCACAGATTTCCAAAACCAGTCTTAAGAAAACCCTGGCAGGAAATGGCTGGTCTGGGCTCTGTTCCTAAGCTAAATGTCTCCCATTGTGTGCTGGTGCCCCAGTCAGATCCAGAGCTTGGGCAGGGAGTCCCCCCAGCTTCAGACTGGTCATGCAGGTAGGTGGCCTGGTGCCTGCTGGCCAACCTCCAAGGGGAAGAAAGCAGTAGTCGGACATGATTTGAGCCAGCAGATGGCAAACACAAGAGCCACCAGGCAATATTTTAGGGGCTTGTGGTGAGCTGGTGCATGCTGCACCTGGGTAAGACACTCAAATTTAACACAGCGTCCTCAGTACTCCTGAACCTAAGCAATAAGTAGTACTTTTGTTTTTTGTTTTTGTTTTTGTTTTTGAGACAGCGTCTCAAAACAGCAGTGCTGCTTCCGTCTTCAGCGCACTGGGATTCTGAGATCACAGGTTGTACCACCATGCCCGGACAGTTAATAGTGATGTTATCATTAGTTTCCCAGTGAGCAACTAAGGCCTAGAGAGGCTCCATGATTTCTGTTAAACTCTGAAGCCTGGACCTATCCCAGGCCTCCAGGTCGTCCCTGGTCAAGGCGCTTGCAGAGGGAGCGCGCCTTGCTGGACGGGAGGGGGCGCGGGCGCGCTAGCTATAAAGGACGGCTCTTGGAGCTGCCGGGCGCCGGGCGCAGCAGCCCGAGTGGGGTCCCCGGGAGTGCCAGCGGGGCTGGCGCGGCGGGGGCGCCTCCATCTAGGGCGGGCCGCACGCATCCTCTCGGCTCTGGCCAGAGAAGGAGCTGCTGCCGAGCCCCGCCCGGCCAAGGCACTTGGGCCGTAGTGGGTGCTGAGGAGCCCGAGTCTCCGCCCGCGGCGCTGAGGAGATGGCACCACACGTGCGGTAACTGCGCCCACGCCCCGAGGGTCCCAGCCCTGCGCCCCGCATCCCTGAGAAGGCATGGAGCGCCCAGAGCCCGAGCTGATCCGGCAGAGCTGGCGGGCGGTGAGCCGCAGCCCGCTGGAGCATGGCACCGTCCTGTTCGCCAGGTGAGGGCTGCCCGAGCGCCCCGGGAGTGCGGGTGGAGGGGCGCCTCGCCAGGAACGGGCTGCAGGCGGCTGGATCAGCACCGCAGGAGGGAAAACTGGCCCCGCTGCCAGGGCGCCCCGGCGCCTGCCAGATGTGCGCCAGAAGAGTGGGGCGCGGCGACCGGTGACGCAGCCCCTTCTGCTCTTCTCCCGGCCGCGAGCGCGACTTGCGAGCCAGCGCCGCACACCTGCTCCCATCTGGGCTCGCTGGGGGCCGCGGGGGTCCTCCACGCGGCTCTCCTTATGCCTGGGGTCGCACCCCCTCCTCGGCGCGGGCTTCCTCAGTGGTGACTGCAGGGGTCACCACCGCTGCAGGTATGGGTGCCCTGAAGGCGGGTGCGGGCAAGGTGTGCCAGCTCCTGGCAGGCGGGATGGGCTCCTGAGCCAGTGCGTGTGTGGACCATGGCTACCGGGTCTGGGTCCCAGGAGTGTGCACACCCGGCCACAAACAGAAGGATAAACCCTTCCGAGAAAAGGGCCAGATTAGGACCAGAGAGCCGCCAGGGAAGGGGTGACAGACACTTGTCTCACCCACCCCACCTGAAAGAGGGCGCAGGCCCCCCCAAGGATGGGGAAGGCTAATTTTCAGCCTCCCTGCTGGTTTAGCCCTTCTGTTATCACACAGGGACAAATCTCCTTGTTCACCGGTTTTCAGGAGCTTTGATTCCCAAGGCCAGCCCAAAACTTCTGACCATGCTATTACCAAAACCTCTCCCGCACAAAAAAGGGTAATAATCCACAGGTCACAAAACACAGTCACAGTTCCACAAGCAGTGAGCCTTGGCGGTGGGGCTGACTTCTGGATGTGCCTGGATGTCCTGGAGCTCACTTTTTTCCTCTGGCATCCTCTGTGGCTCCATTACTTTCAAGCTGTGTGACCTTAGCCGGGGTGGCTTGTTTCCTCCTCTGTAAAATTGGGATAAGAGTTGTACCCACTGCTTAAAATAATTAATTACAAGATAACCACATGTGAAGTACTCAGTGCTTTATAAGTATAAGGAATTTGTTTTTTGTGTGTGTGTGTAGTGCTGGGGATTGAACCCAGGGCCTACTACTTGCTAGGTGAGCACTCTACCACTCTACCTAGTCCTTTTTGTTGTTTCTATTTTGTTTTTGAGACAAGGTCTCACTGACTTTGTCCAGGCTGGCCTCAAACTGTTGATCCTCCTACCTCTCCCTCCAGAGTAGCTGGGAGGACACCACACCCAACTAGGAGTTTGTCTTGCTGTTACTGTCATCACTGGGGCTCAACCTCCTCCTGATGACCCTGAGAAGTTCTGATTTAAGGGGAGAGGGAAAGCTTCCCCTCAATGAAACTCTTGGTTTCTGCTTGAGGACTCCTGCCTGTCCCAAACCCTACCCTTCAATCATTTAGGGAGTTGCTACTGCAAGTCAGGTCCTGTCCTCTCCAGGATGCCGTTCAGAGCCTGGGAAGGGGTAGGGGCACCAGTCTTGCTGGCAGGGGTGCTGTGGCTTACCGCTGGCAATGTTGGCTGCTGAGGCTCGCTGCTCACCCACTCCCTGACACCCATCCCCGGCCCCTGCCCTGCCCCACAGGTTGTTTGCCCTGGAGCCCGGCCTGCTGCCTCTCTTCCAGTACGAGGGCCACCAGTTCTCTAGCCCCGAGGACTGCCTCTCCTCCCCGGAGTTCCTGGACCACATCAGGAAGGTGAGAGGAGGCAAAGCACTGGTGCGGAGAGACCACTCTGGCCTGGTCTGATGCCCCTTCTGCTCCCACAAGAGGCACCTGCTTCTTTCCCTCTGGGCTGGACCCAGCCTAAGACACCAGTCAGCCTCCTCCCCCACCTTGTCCTCAGTTGCTGGGGCCTTGTCCCCTAACTTCCACTGGCTGGTATAGACAATCCTGGCCTCTTGGGGTCACCTGGTTGTGAAAACCAAACTAGTAGTTTTTTGTTTGTTTGTTTGTTTGTTTGTTTGTGTCTGGTACTGGGGACTGAATTCAGGGTCTCACACTGTAAGGCAGGCCCTCTATCACTTGAGCCACGACCTCAGCCCCAATCTAGGGTTTTCTTAGATATTTGTGCCTCTCATAGGGCCTCAGTTTCTCCTTGTCCTAGGCAGACAACACTGTAGGCTTGTGGAGGGCTTTGAGACCCTCAAGGGAAGAGACTTCCTTCATGGGTATAGTTGGGCCATCACATACTGAGCGCCTACTGTATACTGATATGGGCCGCTTAGCGTCCCTGCTCCTGAAATCCAGGGTCCTGAGAGCCTATCATGTCTCTGGTGGGACCCTGTGGTTCCGGGCTGTGGTTGTGAGCAGTTGGGATTGCTCTGGTCCCTCTGTGTTACTCACTGCTGCCTGGCCCTTGGCAGGTGATGCTGGTGATCGACGCTGCGGTGACCAATGTGGAGGACCTGTCCTCACTGGAGGAGTACCTCGCTGGCTTGGGCAGGAAACATCGGGCAGTAGGCGTGAAGCTCACCTCGTTCTCGGTGGGTAGTGGGGCTCTGCCTCTCTCCAGAGCTCCAGACCTGGAGCCACCACTCCCTGGCAGTCTTCCCCCATCCACCTGTTCTCTCTCCCCATCCCCATCCCCTCAGATGACCAGGACTGGGGCTGCATCCCTTACTTGTTTGCTGTGTGACTCTAGTATTGGCTTGACCTCTCTGGCCTCTTGAGTTCTCTTCTTTGATATGTCCTCTATTAGAATTACAAAATTATCTGATCTGCTCAGATTCCTATTAGTTGGGTATCACCCCCCCAAAACAAAAACCCCTACTAGTAAAATAACAATTTCTGATTTCTCATGACTGGGCTCAGTGGCATAGCTCATCTGCACCCCATGGCACAGTTGTAGTCACCCATGTGTGGCATCCAGCCAGGAGCTCCACAAGGATTGGGAGGTCCAAGGATGCTTGTGAGTCTTTGAGCTGTCCCTGCTGTTAGCTGAGCATCTGCACAGGATGGCTGAGTTCCAGGACAAGCCCCAGCATGCAAGTGCTCATAAAGCCTCTGTTGGCATCCCTGTCACAGTGTCCCACTGGCCACATGGATGAGCCAGTGGCAATGGGAAGAATTCCAGCACAAATCATTTTATTTTTCCTGTTTTACTGGTAGAGAAGCTAAGGCTCAGAGAGGTTATGCAACTTGCTCAATGTCATCCAGCACATAAGTGATGGTCAGAATCTGAACTTAGGACTGTCTGGCTCCAGAGCCCAGGCTCTTGATCCCCATGTGCTGCCTTGCAGGTGGAAACTGAGGCATGAGGAACATGACTTGATTGGTGCCCTCCCTTTCCATGGGGTGGTTGCAAAGTTAGGGGTGGGTGAAATGGTTTGTTCACCGTGCAGCTTCACATTTAGGGGGAAGTGGGGACATGGTTACTCGAGGGTTAGGGTAGGGCCCTGCTTAGGAAGCATGAGTCCTATGCAAGAGAGAGAAGAAAGGCCCAGGTACCCTTCCCAGCCCTGGGCCTCAGTTTTCTCACCTGTAGATTGGAGCAGTACCTTCCTGCCTTTGGGATGATGAAGTGCCTCTTGCCTCTGCAGACGGTGGGTGAATCCCTGCTGTACATGTTGGAGAGGTGCCTGGGCCCCGCCTTCACGCCAGCCACACGGGCCGCCTGGAGCCAGCTCTATGGGGCTGTGGTGCAGGCCATGAGTCGAGGCTGGGACGGCGAGTAAGAGGCGACACAAACCCTGCGGCCTCCAGCTGTCTGTGTCTGTCTGTTGGTCTGTGTCTGTTGTAGCCCAGGCCTCCTGCATCTTGGTCCTTGTCCTCTTGGCCATACTGGAGAGGTGATGGAGCAGGACTGGGTGTCAACTTCCTGATCCCAACTGCAAAGGAGTGGCTTTTCCTTCCAGAAGGGGCTTCTGGGCTCCCCTCATCCCCATAGCCTCTCACCTGCCAGCCTGTTCACCTCTCTGGCAGTCCTCTTGCTCCAGCAGGCAGAACAGAGCATTGGTGGTGAAGTGGCCTGGGGCCTGGAAGGGGAGACTTAGAGCATGGGGCCCTTTTCAGGTGCGCTCTGGCCAAGGTGGGAGTAAGGTGGCTGGGCTTCTGGCCCCTTCCATCTTGCCTGCTTGACCCTCATCCCAACCCAGCCCCAGGGCGCTTTTCTGCAGATGAAGAGGAACAGCAGCTTTACCCTTCTTGGGGATCCTGGACTGGGACAGGGATCAGGAGCCTGGGAGGGGAGGACCCTGAGGCTGGGCTGCCTATGGGTTGTGAACTTCCTATATCCTCATTCAGCACCTGGAGGAGCCCAAGGGCCACACAGGATGGGATGGGGCAGGGTAAGGCAGAGCAAGGAAGAGGGCGACTCTATCCCAGAGAGTCCTTCCTTACCATCCCACTCTAGCAGGGCCAAGTCTTACCTCCCACCTCCTTCTGCTTGCTTAGCTCCGCTGGGAGCCCACAGCCACAGGGTGCCTGTCAGATAGATGGGTGGAGGAAAAACAGCAGGAAGGCCTCTGCCCATCCCCCAGCCCTTCTCTCGTGCTCTGTGCTGTGGTTCCCTAAACTCACAAGGAATAAATCTGCTCTGTGAACTCTCCGATTCTCTCAGACTGGTCTTTTCTTGGGCCTCGGCCTGTGCCAGATGAAGTTGCAGGTCACTGGGACTCAGACAGGATGGAGTCACAGGGCCAAGGTCAGAGTGGGTAGAAAAGAAGGGAGGCAGAAGACAGTGGTGGAGATGGGCTGAGAGTCTGGGATCCAAACTGGGGGCAGGCTTGTCTTACTCCTGGGCACGTATCTCCCTCGCAACTAGGTGGACAGGGGATAGTTCTGGCTAGTGGACTGTTTGGTGTGTGTGCTGCTTCCAGACCTGGCCCCCCGAAACTCCCACATATTCCTTCACACTCTGTCATCCATCTGCTGGCTTGATGCAGACCTTATGGTGACCTTGAGGGTCATATGTTGAATGTGACAAAACCACGGGGCAAAAGGAGCTCTTGCCTGAGCCACTGTTTGAGGAGGGTGCCCACTTATCAGGATCACCCACTTAGAATTGTACATGAGGGAGACATAAACATCTCTCGCGTTTGTGCCATTATGCGTTCTGGGGCTGGTCAGTTACAACACACAGTCACACTAAGCCCTAGAGGGAAGCGGTGCGTGGGTCCAGGGATTGGGGGCCCACAGGCTGGTGGCTACAGAGACAGCCTGGGATGGAAGAGGGGAAGAGGAACATGACGAATGAGCATCACCCAAGCAGATTAGGGTCATCCCCTCCCCACAGTCCTCTTGGGTGTGGGCCTGGAGCTGGGCAGGAAGGCTGCAGGTGCTGCCTCTGGACCAACTGCCCTCACCTCACCCTAAGGCTTCTGTGTCTCACCATGGACTGGTTGCACCTGGTGCCACAGGGCTTTTCGAGCTCCCTGCTGCGGCATCGTTTTTGCTCAGCTTAGATGAGCAGGCCTGTAGGGCTGTGTGACGGCACACATGAGTCAACAGTATGTGTTAGGGATGCTGTTCTCATTGCACACCGAAAACATTTTCTCCAGCCCTACAGGCTCTAGGATATGGAGTCTGGTCCCAGTGACAGCTCACACTTAGGTGTCCATACCTGGCCTAAGGCTTCCAAGTGTTTAGGTGACCTAAATTGGCAAAGGAAACATCTTCCTCTGGCCTATGTCGAGTCACCCACAGCATAGGTGCCGTGACCTTTTGAAAGGCCACTATTTAGTGTGTATTTGTGTCCATCTGGGGGCACTAGTTCCCTTTTTCCTCCTCTGCTCACAGCCTCAGCCCCGTAATCCTCCTGCTGGATTCCTCATTCTAGCACTGTTTCCTTCTTATATGAGAAACAGCCCCTCCCTCTTCCCTCTCCAACTACTACTTGGTTTACTTTCTTAGATACCAAAACTCTTCAAGTTTCCCTCCGTCTTCATTTCCTCACTTCCCATGAGAGAATGGCACCATACTTCAGCCAGGCTTTGTTCCCACTCATCTAGTCAAAGTCGCTAACTTCTTCCATCTTGCCTGATTCAGGGGTGGTCTCAGTCTTCACCTTGCTCTTCTGCTCAGCAGTACTTGAGTGGATTACTTCCTTTAATTTTAAGCTTTTACTTATGGAAAAATGCTAATATACATAAAAATCCAGAGGCTGGCGAGCTTCCATGGATCCCCCCAGCACTAGTGAGCAACTCCAGATTTCCCCTTCCTTGCTTTCTCTTTGCTAGAGTTTTAAAGAACGATTTCATGTTCTCTCACCTATAAATTCTTCCATAAGCATTTTTAGAGACTTTTTTCACATATGAACCTATTAATACTTCTTAGCATCACCTTGTCCCCTGTCCAGATTTGAACTTCCCTGACATTTCAAAGATGTCTTTCTCCAGCTGGTCCACACTTCACATTTGGTTGTGCATCCTAAATCTGTCTATGCCAGTCCCTCTCTCTTTTCCCCTTCCACTGTTTCATGAGAAGCTGGGTCATTTGCTTATGCCATGTCCGGCATTCTCAGTTTGGCTGATGCTTCTTCAGAGCATCTTGTAACTCACTCTTCTGTCATTGTGGTAAAACCCAGGGCTCCCTCCTTCCTTTTAGAGCCTCTCATGGTTATCCCTTCTGCTCCTTCCCTGTCCCCCTGCTATGCCCTGCTCCCCCCGTGCGCTGGCTCAGCCCTGGACCTCTTCTTCACCTGTGCTCGCTCCCTTCAAGGTCTCAGCCAGTGTCTTGCTTTAAATACCATCCAGATGCTGGCGACCCTGAGATCTCTGTCCCCAGCCTAATCCTTGTATCCAGTCACTTCCTCAATATCCCTGCTCAGCATCTCAAAAGTAATGTGACCACATGGGACTCTTGGGATTTCCCCTGGTCCACTCCTTTTCCTTGCTCTCTCCACCCTGTAAACCGTTTGCCGTCATTCAGGCTGAAGAACTAGGAGTCATCTTGACTTCTTGCTTCCTCTTAGACCCAATGTCTAATCCATCCATGACTCCCCAGTGCCTACCAATTGCAAATTTATCTTCTCTCCTTCTCTGCCAAGTCCTGGTCCAAGCTACCAGATTCTGTCTGTGGATGCCTCCAGCAGAGTCCCAGCTGCTTCTACCTGTCCCTAGTCAGGCTACAGTGATCACCTTGGTACATATGGCAATTGTTACTGGGGCTGAGGAGGGGACGGAGTTATTGTGCAATGCGTACAGAGTCTCAGATTTACAAGATGGAAAGTTCTAGAAGCGACTGGGGGTGAGGGTTGCCCATTATAAATATTTTTAAGGTTAGGCATAATGATGCACACTTCTAATACCATCTACTTGGGAGGTGGAGGCACCCTATCAAAATAAAATCCAAATAACAGGGCTTGGGGCATGGCTAAAATGATGGAGTGCTTTCCCAGCATGCACAAGGCCCTAGGTTCAATCCCCAATACCTCAAAATGTGTATTTAAAGCCACTGAACCCCATACTTTAAAATGTTTAAGATGATAAATTTTGTTGTGTATATTTTATAAAATTTAAGAAATTAAAGACAAAAAGCCGTAAGACTTTGTTTCACTTCCCTGCTCACAGTATGACTAGACGAAAACCCAGAGTCCCAAGGGAGCATCAGACCTTCTTGCCAGCCCCCCTACCCAGTCTCAATCCTCCTTTGCCAGCTGAGTAGAGGGAGGGTCCACCAACCCACTCTCCCAGGGCTGTCCCCATCCTTAGGCCACAACCTTCTTTCTTCAGCTTCTTTTCATTTCTGTCTGTCTGAGCAAAGTCACCTGAAAAGGCTGCCGAACCAAAGAATGGCCCACAGCCTGTGATCTGGGGAACCCTGGAGGTAGGGTTCCTCTCTGGGAGAAGACTCAAAAGAGAGGCAGCTGTTGTGACAGACATTCTTGGGTCCTAAGAGAGACCCCTTTCTTGCACCAGCCACCAGCCCACCAGAGCGCAGGCAGCAGGCACAGTCTCTCCATCCAAAGGAGTCTTCCTAACACCTTTCTCCCCCGAAGCAGCCCTGTGGGACCCCATCTGGCTTGGCTTAGAAGATAATTGTTTTGGAGGAAAAGGGGGCAGACAGATGGGCCCTGATCTCACTCACACTCAAGCTCATGCTGCAGTGGGCTTTGAACCTATGCCCACTGATGGACTGAGAGCTTGAGAAGGTGCAGTGAGAGTAGTGGGAGCAGTCCCTGGGCATCTACCAGGAGATCAACACCCTCTGTCCCTATAGGGAGAAGTGGAGAGGAAGCACACCCCCAATACAGCCCATCCCCCACCCCAGGTGAACCTGCTCTATTCACTAACAGAGCAGAGCGTGAACCTCATATCCTTCTCCCCTACTTTGTAGATGAGTTGACATCCTGGGGTCATCCAGCAACCCCATCTCCTAACCCAGAGACAAGTCCCCGGGGCAGAGAACTATTTTCTCCTCATTGCCACAGGTGTGACAGCCTTTGCTAAGGCCAGTTCTTGTCCTGCCCAGGTCCGATCTGGCTGCCCCTCTGCCATGTCCATCCTCTCCTTGATCTCCCTTGCCCCCTAGGTGTAGACCTGAGCCCTGTCTGCTGCTCTTCCTGGGAGTCTGCACTGAAACCTAGTCTAGCTGCTGGCTAAGGTTAGTCACATGCTCACGGGGCCCAGCACTCATGCAGGGGCTTTACTGCCCAGGGGAGGCTGCCTTGATGGCTTCCTGGGTGACTCAAGGACTGGAAGGTCCTAACTGCTGCACAGCAGAAGGAGGCAGAGTCACTTGCTGTCTCTCAGAATAGCAGCGCTTGCCAGGACTTTTCCCCGTGGAGTGGGGGCCAGGGAAGCCTTGAGGTGACAGATCTCAGAGGGGGCTGCTTTGTTCCCTGGGTCAAAAGGTATGCAGTGAGGTGCAGTGGCCCAGACCCGTGATGCCTTAGGAGCACTGGTTTTCTGGATGGAATAAGGAGGGGGCCTGCTGGGCTGGCCCAGAGGCAGAGGCACAGGCTTCAGAGGTTGGGAGGACTTGTTTATTCAAGGCACAGTCATAGCATTGATAACAAGAAGGTTCAGCATTCTGGCACATTCCTTTAGTGGTGGTGGCCAAGGTTAGTCCACACTTCTCCAGGGCCCCCAGAGGACGCAATGCTGCTGATAGGCACTTTGCTTCCAGAGGCAGCTGAGAGATAGGGGAGGGGCTACTCAAGACCTGGGAAGGTCCCCTCTGGGAGGTTCGAGACCACTTGGGGTCCCCCAGGAGGCAGCTCCCTCCAGAAAGGATCAAGCAGATGCCTGCGGGTGGGGTGAGGTGGAATGGTGGTAAGTATAGGCGAAGGAGTGAAACAGGTTTGGCCTAAGAGAGCAGGTGGGAAGGAGGTGCCCAGGGAGGGCCTAGATGTGGCGTGTGTGTGAGAAGCTAAAAGAAGCCCCCACTGCCAGCGACCATGGGAAGCTGAGGTGGCAAAGTCTTGCTAGAGGGCCTAGGTCTCCAGGAAGAGCAGAGAAGTGAGTGAAGTCTGCCATTTTCCAACATTCACAGCAGAGTCAGGCTGCACTTGACTCAGATTCAGAGGGGGAAGCCCCCAACCACCCTACATGTTGTCTGTGGGACCCTTCCCATCTGCAGCTTCACAGGTTGCAGGGGGCTGGGAGTGGAGCCAACAATCCATAGAGCTGCAGGGACAGGGAGCAGGGGTCAACAAGCAGTGTCCAGAGGAGAGGCCCCAGACTAGCCTCCAGCAGTACCCCCACAGCCCTACATACTAAATCCACACTAGGGGGTCTGGCACGGGCTGGAGCTGGTCATTCCCCATGAGACAGCGCTCCACAGTGGGTCTGACCACTCTGTATGAAACAGCCCTTTCCCCTTGTGGAATGAAATTCAGAGAGAGGGGCCCTGTGGGACCAGGACATGTAAGGGCCTGGCTGGATATAATTTCCCCTATTCCAGCCTGGATGAAGAATGGAGACAGCCTTCTCCCAGCTGACCCAAGCTCTCTTGAAGCTCCCCATGCTAATGTTTGCACCTGGTCCCTGGGGTGTGACACTATCTGTCCTGTGCACAACCACATCTCCCCTGGAGCAAGTAAAACTTGGAGCGGCTGAGACTGAGATGGAGCAAAGGTAGAGCAGGGGTGGGGTGTAGGTGATGTGTGTTCAGGACAGCAATGTCCCTAGGATGTGTTGCAGATGCTGAGGGGACATAAGCCTGAGTCCACCTGCTGCAGATGGGACCCCCACCTCTGGAGAGGGAGTTCAGGAGGCTCAGGAGCTCGCAGACCCCATGCAGCTTGGCTTCTGTGGTTTGGAGGACCCAGCTGGCCCTTCTCCACGGAGCTGCTGGGCTGTGTGGTGGTCCTGAGGATGGTCTATCGTGAGATGCAGAGGCCTGTACCTCCCGGCAGTGGCAGAGGTGCTGAGAGTCACCAGCATCATTCGGGAGTCAGCTCCTCCAAATGGAGGCAGCCCTGGGAGGGCAGTCTTGCCCACCAGAAAGGGCAGGTCCATAGGAGATGCACTGGTCACCCACATCACTGTGGGAAGCATCTGCAGTGTCTAAGCCAGGCCAAGTGGAGGCCACATGTGTGGTCTCCAGTGCAGGGTGCAGGGCAGCTCCAAGAGAGGAGGAAAGGTCCCCCCTAGGGATAGCCAGTGCCTTCAGTTTGAAGCCTGGGTTTCTGACTCTAACCTGTCACTATCTTTGCCAAGCTGGTGCCCAGCACTCACGAGGGTGGGAGGCAAGGGAGGCTCTTAGTGGTCACCTCTAGGGCATCAGGGTTCTTCTCATTTGGCTGTGGGGAGGTGGTGAGATGTGTCTGGTTTCCCACCACTCAGAGTTTAAGAAAGAGGACCCCTGTTCATGAATTCTCTGCCCCCTTCCCAACACACCACCTTATAGCAACCAGCAAGAACTAGCCATGGTTTCCTTCACCACAATGCACACAGGTCTCCTTTAATGAGCCCAAATAATGGCCCCAGCTATCCTTGTGAGAGAAGAAAGAAGGGCCTCAACCCTGCTGTTCCTGGGACATCTGACAGGGGTAGAGGAACAGGAAGGGCCTCAGTCACCTCCTCCAGGTCTGTGGTCTCAACTGCTTCTTGCTTGGGGTCGGGGTGGGGTGCAGCGACTTTACAGATCCCCTGCAGGGAAACCTGTGCCAAGACGGTCACCTGTGTCTTGTCCATGAGGTCCAGTGCCTCCTCAGACTGCAACGGATGCCAGGAGCAGCAGAAGCTCCTCACAATGCAGCTGGAGTCAGGGTGTCAGAGCCCCCACAGTGCCTTTGGTGGGCTTCGTCCTGCCTCCTTTACATGCACTTCATTTTGACCCCAGGAAGGTGTCCCAGCATTCAGTCTCCATTACTGGGCTTCAGCCACCTCTCAGGACATGGTGTTTGTCTCCTCCAACCCATTCTCGGGTCCCTGGGCACTGCCCAGCACCCTGCATTCTAGCCGGTCAGGAGGTTGGGGTCTCCATGTGGCTATGGTAGCAGCAGATGTCTCCATCAAGAACTTCCCAAAGTCTGAAGTAGGGAGTGGGAAGATCTGGGCTGTCCTCCTGCCTCTCCCTGCTGGATTCTTCCCTGGGGTCCTGATCAATGGTATTGGCTCTGGCCCTCTAGTTCCAGACCTTCCTGGAACTGGGCCGAGTCTAGCTCCCCTGCAAAGCCCCGCAGACCGCTCTCTTCTCCCTCTTCTGGCTGGTTGTTCATGGTGCCATAGGTGTGCCGGGCTGGGGAGGAGGCGGGAGTCAGGTTCATCTCTGGCTCTTGCAGCACCGTTGCCACATAGAGCTGCTCAGAATAGAGAGGAGATGGGGTAAGGTCACATCTGGAGCAAGGCCTAGGGCATACCCTCTCCCCTCGTGCCCTACCCATCACCTCTGCCCCCACCAGACCACCAAGCCCTTCCTTGTTCCCCAGAAGCCTGTGTCCTGCCCATCTCTCTTGCCTTGATCATTTAACAAATTCCCAGGGCTCATTTAATGTCAGGTCTTCTAACTCCTAGTCCACTCCTAGTCCTTCAGAACATGTTTCATCCGTTCTTGGTTCCCAGTCAGACTGAACCCAGAGGAAGATGACTTGCCCTGCCCACCCTCTACCCACCACCCACCCTCTAGCTGAGGTCTGGAGAAAACTATTCCAGAGCTGTTGGACTTTTTAAGAATGTCAAAGGGGCATCCAGAACTCCCTCAGGGTGTGCAGTGAACCAGGGTTTGAAACACACTGCTAGCTGAGACCTTGGTCATGTGACCTGTCAAATCCAGTACCTGTCCCAGGAACGCCTTCGAGGGCAGCAAATTAGAAAAACACAGGAAGGGAGCTAAGCGTGGTGGTGTTACAGGCCTACAATCCCAGAACTCAGGAGACTGAGGCAAGAGGATTAAGAGTTTCAGGCCAGTCTGAGCTACATGTTGGGAAGGAAGGAAGGGAGGGAGGGAGGAATAAAGGAAGGAAGGAAAGAAAACACAAGAAGTGTCAACGAAAAGAGGAATTTATCACCTTTGAAGCAGCTTTTGAATCAGCTCCTTACTTTGAAATAGGTAATTGCGGGATAGAATTAAACTTTTCTATAGGAGTTTATTTCAGTGAAATCAAGCAGCCCAGGTGATGACAGAAAAAATTGCCTTCAAAAGAATCTAGACATTTTCTTGGTGCCACAGTACATGGCACAGATGAACACCTTTTGGTCATAAAGAAGAGAAAGGACACTGAACCATGCAAGCAACCCTCAGTGGTCCTGTTATACCATTAACAAGAATGCCTGGGAAAGCTGTGCATCTCCAGTGCTCCCTGGAGCTCATCCCAGCCCCCATGCTGAACTTGAGCCTATTAAGTCTTTGGGTGGAACTTATAGTTTTCAAGGAATGCAGGAGATAGTGGAACCTACTCTAGGATATCAGGAAGACACAGTCAGAAAATCCAGAAGGTAGACAGTATACAGAACTAGTGGCTTGGTCTCTCCAACTCCTAGAAGGGACTATGCTGAATAAAAGGGACCCAACAACCACTCAAAGGTATTGATTAATCTAGCATAGGTACTAGACTGAATCTTGGTTTAGAAAGCTGTAAAGGAAATTTCTGGAACAATTAGGCAATTTGAATATGGACTGGGTATTCAGAGATACAAATTTGTATATGCATATGGCAAGATAAAATTGTTCATTAAAATACAAGTTACCAAGCCACATGTACAGTATTATTTCATTTTAGCAAAAACCATATGTACATACATAATTTTATATATATACACATACACATATGCATAATTATCTGGAAGAGATACACATGTGTAAATGTTTGGAAGAATACCAAGGTATTAGTAATCATCTCTGGGCAGTGGGAATGGGAACTTTTAATTTCCTTATTCTTGCTTATCTGTCTTTAATTCCACAATTATTTACAATGTTCATATACAATTGTAGTGATAATGAAAAATTAAAAAAAAATTAAACTGGTCATGGTGACATGCACCTGTAGTCCCTACGACTCAGGAGGCTGAGGCTGGAGGATCACTTGAGTCTGGATCAAGGCCAGCCTGTGCGACATCGTGAGACCCTATCCCAAAAATAAATATAAGCCAGGCACGGTGGTTTGCACCTACAATCCTAGCTATTCTAGAGGTGGGAACTGGAAGGATCAAGGTCTGAGGCTAGCCAAGGCAAAGAGTTTATAAAACCCCATCTCAACCAATAGCTGGGTGTGGTGGTGCACACTAGTCATCCCACCTATGGCAGAAAGCATAGATAGGAGAATAGAGGTCCAGGCCTGTCCAGGCAAAATGCAAGAACCTATCCCAAAGATAACTAAAGCAAAAAGGGCTGGGGACATTGCTCAAGGGGTAGAGAACCAGCCTAGCAAGTGGGAGGCCCTAAGTTCAAACTCCAGTACCACTAAAAAGTTAATGAATAAACAATATATTCTAGCATTTTTTTTAAAAGCACAAGTTTTATATTCAGTCACTGCTACTTCCTTGCTTAGAGCTCTAGGGACTAAATTAATTGCTCTTTTGCGGCTAGAGGTGTAGTTCAGTGGTAGGGCTCTTGCTTAAGAGGCCCTGGATTTGATCCCCAGCACCACAAATAATAATGATGATAATTAATTGACATTTTGAGCCTCCCTTTGGGGATAAAACCCTTGGGAGGTTATTAAAAGATAAAGACAAAAAATGGCAAAAATCTCAGATTCGTAAAATTTCTATACCTCACTGCTAACAGCATGAGGACATGCACATTGGAAGGGTCCCAGCAAGAGACACTTTCCTGCTTTGAATCCAGTCTTCTGCCCTACCTAGCTTCAGAGACGGTTTGTCCCTGTCTGTAGGGTTTTTCCAAGTGAGGCAAGCCTGACTGTCTGTGGGTGAGCATATCCACCTGTTGTGCTTTGTCTCTGATTCTGTCACATACTTTTACCCAGATCTGCCCAACATTATAAAAAACCTCATCTCCCACGGGTCCTGCTCCTGGCCCATTTGACACATCCACCATGCCGAACACTGTCTTCCTACACGCTCAGATTCTCCCTGCTGGCCTTTGCCCAGCTGCCACTCTCCCTGGAATGGTCTTCCCACACCCTGTCCACCTGGCAACTTCCCTCCACCATTTCCAGTCACATGTTCCCTCCTCTGAGAGGCTTTCGCCTGATCCCCAGCTCAGTAACCACTCGGTGCCTCTGTGCACACACTTGTAACAGGGATGCCAGTGAGGGTTTGTGCTCACCCAAGAGAGCCAGATGGCCGTGGCAGCCCACGCCCAGCCCTCACCCAGCCCACCGGGTGCCAACTCTAAGTTGAGCCTGGGCTCTTTGCAGGCTGACTGACCAGCTCACTTATCTGGTGCTGCTCCTGCCTTACCATTTGGTGCATCTGCCAATAGCTCCCTGTCGCTTTGTCTGCAGCTTTGTCTGCACCGCTCTGCCTGGCGCCTTTGCCCTGGAGGCAGCCTTGGGTCTTGAGGCCGAGCCCCGACGCATCCCTGCGTCTACACGATTGAGGTGTCTGACACGGGGGTTCCCCTGACCGAGTACATCCTTTCTTGCTGCCTTTCTGAGTGCCTTCTAGTGAATGATGAGTAAATGTTGGTTCTCCTCCTCTCCCGGGCCTTCAGCCAGGACCACGGCAGCATTTGGACCTGGGCCAAGTCCTGCCGGGTCAGAGGAGGGGGCCCAGGAGGCCCAGCTCCTCCCAAACACCCAGGGTGGGCACTAAATGCTGGTGCCTCTCACGTGACTGGAACGGGCCACTGCTCTCCTAACCTGTCCCTAGGGTGAAGGACTCACAAGGGAGGTGGGTGTAGAAGATGTGCTGCTTGGCTCCATGTCAAACACGGTCTCCGTCTCCTCCTCGGGCTGCAGCAGGGAGAGAGAGGTGGGTTATAGGATGGGGGCTGCTCTTTGCTCCCTCCTCCCCACATCCAGAAGAACCTGGACCCCACACATGGTCCTTTCAACTCTTCTGTCTTTCCAGACCTTCAGCCCACAGGTGGCAGGGCAGAATCCCGGGGGGGGCAGGGAGAGGACTGATGAGCAGTCTCTTCTGGAATGTTCTATCCCCATAAAGGAAGTAAGCAAGGTTGGGGTTCAAAGACAGGCCTTCTTTGACCCCTGTCTTCTTTGTTCCTAGGTTGTCCCCTCTATTGTGTGTGGAAGGAGACCTAAACAAAATCTGGTCTAGCTCCAGTGACATTGTGGTATTGGAAAGACCAGGGGAAGAAGGGGGGATCCTTTACCTTGGCCCTTCACTCTGGCCAGATAATGGAGCAGGAGGAATGGGCAGAGAGGGAGGTGGGAGTTTGTGCCAAGAATCAGAGACACAAGAACAAGAATGCCTCCAAGAGGCTTCCTCTGCCCATGATCAGGGTATCAGGGTATCAAAGAAAGTCAGAGTCAACTTTCTTTGCTTTGTATACATTTGTTTAAAAAGAAAACAATTCCCTATTACAAACAGAAAACCTGTGTCAGTTGCTGTAAGTAGCAAGTTAACTAGAAACATACATACGTAAACCATGAAAAATAAAGTTATGTTTTGGTCCACTGAAATCATTCCACTGCCTCAGTACAGACACCCACTTTGAGAAACATCGATGCAGACACACAGCGTTGCTTGCAAGGCTCTGAGAGGGATGGGTGGGCTTCCTGTTCCAGGGGGTCTAACAGTTAGAATGGACCCCACTGCCAGAGGGCTAAAGTAACTATGGAGAGGGGGGTAGTTCCATAGCCTGGGATTCTAGAAGATGAAAAGATGACTATCTGTCCTGCTCCAGGCCATCATCAGTTACCCCCACACTCAGCTCCCTTTGGGTTTCATCTTCTCTCTCAGTCCTCTAGCCCTTGGGATGGTGCTCACAGCTCAGTGGCTGGACTGGACTCACATGGCTGGAGGGACAGGTCAGCAGCCTGATTGGAGAAGGTGTCACAGGACAGAAAAAGAGAGGGCAGTGTCTGCTGGCGGGGGCCAGGCTGAGTTAGTGCAAGGCATTTACACACACATGCTCACTGAGCCCACACACCACACTGTCCAAGAGAAAGGCCAGATTCTCTTGCCCTGTTGTGCACTGGGCCAAGAAGGAACCAGAGCTGTGTCCCAGGGTCCTAGAGAATCAGTGGAGGAAGGGAAGGTTGGAAACTCACCTCGTAATCAGTGGCTGACCGGAGCTTTCCCAGAAATATGCTGGAAAAGGCAATGGCCATGGAAAAGACAAGGGTGGTCAGGGAAAAGAAGGTGATGCTGTGAATGGAACCTGCCAAGGGAAAGAAAAGGCTGTGGGTGAGGAGCTCAAGCAGAGCAGGTGTGGGTGGAGGTCAGGCAATGGAGATGGTTAGCAGATGCCTGGGGACCACCTCAGCACCTCCACAGGGGCACTGAGCTGGGGGTGGAGGGACCCTTGTCCAACTCCCCTCCCAGAACGAATGGGATCAAGGAGCGTGACATGATGACATCCCTCCACTCTATATGGCCATCTTAGAATCTGGCATCTTGTGGATTCTATGAAAAGTATTTTCGGCACAAAGCCCTGAGTTCAATCCCTGGTACCACCAAAAAAATAAAAGTATCGTGACTGACTTAAGTCTCCACATCAGTGACCACTGCACATGTTCTTCTTGCCCTATGTGCTCAGTTATCTGTGCTGATGAAACTGAAAAGCAATCCAGAAATCAAAAGTCATGTTTCATGTGGGCATATTTGGTCTCTTTTTTTTTTTGGCCTCTCCGCCCACCTTGGCAGCAATTTTCATAACAAGGTAAATATGGACAGTCACTTTTTTTTTTAGCAGTACTGGGGGATTGAACTTAGGGTCTCACACTAAGTGCTCTACATCCCCAGCACCTTTTTGCTTTAGTTCATTTTTGATAGGATCTCGTGCATTTATAAGCCATACCCTGTGCTCTGCCTACCTCTGCCTCCCAAGTAGCTGGAATTTCAGGCATTATCACCATGTCCAGCTAGAGAGTCACTCTTGACAGAGACTCAGGTGAATGCTTAATGATGTTTACCACATGGCTATACAATAGCCCAAAATGGTAAATCACTTCAATACCCAGTCACAGGGAGCTAACAAAACTGGTAGCCTTTAATGCCGCCATTGAAAGACATGTCCGAACAGTCTCTTAGCACAGAAAACTGCTCAGCACATAATGATCAGGGAAAACTCAGGATACAGGACTGGAGATTACACTGTGGATGGTCATGATTTTGTAAAATAACTGTAGACCAACACACACCCTCTCATTTTGCTCCCCTCCCCAGAGCATATGCTTAGAACTCTGGGGCCAACAGACATCAGGAGATGTCTGGATGGGATTGTGGGTAAACCATGTTGGTTTTTATATTTTTTTTTCTATTTTTCATACAAATGCAGTTTTTTTTTTCTTTCAGCAATACTGGGATTTGAAATCAGGGCTTCCACTTAAGCCATGCCCCAACCCTAACACACGTAGTCTTCTATTGAAAAGGGATTAGAAGGAAAATTGTCCACATGTGGCAAAGAAAGGCCAGCAGGATAAGAAATTGGTGGTGACAACAAATAAATAAACCAGATAAGTGCTGAGGGTTGACTTCTTACCACTATGACAGAGGGCAAAGAAAATTCTGTCTCTCCTGTCAGCTACTGAGGTTAAAGTCAAGTGTCCCGAGGGAAGGGCAGTGGGCTGGGGGCTGTCTAGTGGCATGGGTGACTCAGAGTGGAGAAAGCTGAGGGACACCCAGTCTGTGGCCTCATCTGCAGAGGTGTCTCTGGACTCCCTTGGACAGGGGCAGCAGCTTTGCATAACCAAAGAGAAAGGGAAAAGCTGGCCACCATTGCAGAATCTGATTCCCCTTCTAGGTTTTTGGCAAATCCATAAACCAAGTATCTTATAGGATCCTGGAGGAACTTGCGTGGGAATTGAGCCCCTAACAGCTAGCATTCTAGTGCCTGTCAGCCTAGATTTAGAATGAAGAAATATGGTATTTCTTGTCTAGACTCAAATTCATACAATTTGAGCCTTCCCTTTGCTTCAAAGTTCAGCCAAGACTAATACATGCCCTGTAGGCCCAGAAGTCACTAGACATGGCCAAGTCCATGAGTGACATCTTGCTCACCCCTGGGCTTTTCTCTCCTGACAGAGCTGGTGTTGAGGGACTCACAGAGCAGTGGGGCAGATGTAGCACACACCTAGTCGCAGAATGGAGAAGAAGAGCATCCAGAACAGACCCAAGAGTGGTGCAAAGATGGCCTGGTAGACTGCAGCCATGTGGATCTGCTCGTTCAGTTTGGTAGGTGCATAGGAGTAGTACATGTTGTAGCGGTCTGTGAGGTGCTTCATGCACAGGTAAATCAGTCCTGGGAGCCAGAAGATGGAGACACATTCAGTAGCTACTTGGACAAGTGAGTCCTATGCTGCCCCAAGTTCCTACAGGCCCAAGAAGCCAGATTCAGGGCTGTTAGAGTAGCAAGAGCCCAGGACAGGATATAGGAGAACTGTGGAGCTGACATCTGGGGCCAGCAGCTTTCCCCAGAACCTATTCTGTCATCCTGGTGAAGTCATTCACTCATGCATTCTTTCAACAAACATTCTGTGTCAGCAGCTGTCCAACCTCAGCCTCATGTCATAGCTGTACCCCACCACAGGTGTCCCAGTCCTCCTCATGCTACAGAAGGTGACCTAGTAGTATGGGGCTCAATTCTTCCTCCCAGTCTGAAAGTGTGCAGCCCAGGGTGCTGTGGAGATGACTCACCAAAAGGGACGATAATAGGGCAGGTGATGCTGTACGCCATCACCACGCTGAAGACGTTCAACATCCACGCATACTCTCGCCCATATTGGAAGTCTACAGCCTGGTCCTGGGGCAGAAGGAAGGGGTCATTCTGAGGTTGCCAGCCCCCTTGGCATGACTGCTTCTGTGGCTCTTCCTTGGAGCCAGATGGCAGTGCAGGCCTGGGGGCAGCTTCCCTTCCAACCCTGGAATCAAAAAGCGCCACCCATGTGCACCAGGCCTCCTCCTCTGGTCTTCAGTGCACCTGGCAGACCCTGTATTTGGCGCCCTCCCAGGAGAAGCTGAGGGCTATGCAGGGAAGGGCTGATCCTCACCCTTCTGATGTGGACTCTCTCTGGCTCTGATCTGGAGAAGAAGAGGCGGGTGCTGTACGTGAAGAGTGACCCCAGACGTAACAGCTCCATGCCTGTGCCGATCAATGCTGCTGTGATCACGTAGTTGACAAAGAAGGCGCCGTTGTCTGGCAGGAACACACACCTGGGCAGCAGGGGAGAGCAGAAGGCAGTGGCAAGCCAGAGGCCAGGGAAAGGGGAGAGAGATGTTGGAAGGGAGGAGAAGAGAAGAAGAGAAACAGCAGGGTGGATGGGGGGAGGTCGATACAGAGGAGAATGAAGTTTCATCAACAGTCATGCACTGCATAACAACATTTTGGTCAAAATGACAAACCACATATATGATAGTGGTCCTATAAGATTGCGTCCCTTAGTGAGGTTGTCTTGGTTTGGGTAAGTACACTCTATGATGTCTACACAACATTCAAATCACCTAGAGATGCAGTTCTCAGGTGTTCCTAAGGCAACGCGTGATGTGTGTGCACGTGTGCATGTGTGTTGTGTGTTGTGTCTCCTCAACACAACAAGCAGTCCCTCTGAGCAGAGAACAGATGGACTACATAAAATCTAGGGTTAGTGTGGGTGTATCGGAAGATATGTACACTAGCTTGCTTCAAGGCAGTCTGACCTGAGCCCTAGACTGAATTCTGGGGGCCTGTGATCTGGAATGAGAAAATTTTACATATTTATTTTCACTATTCTCTACCTGAAATTTAGCATTCCCTTTGATTAAGAATATGGGCAACAGCCATGGGAATGCAAGCCATCGTTGTGACTTTGTGACCAACTGAAATCCCACTGTGGTCTTGATGACGTCTTACAGTATCATTTGTGTCCATTCCATTTCAAAGCAGTGGGAGGTATGAGATATGCTGCTGAATTATATCCAATTAAAATTCTCTTGCCTACAGATGTGAACTTGATGTAGCCAATCAACCTGAACGGGCGACATTCAGTTGTCTAATGGCCAAGCTGCCTTTTCTCTGAACGATGTCTTTAATGCACAAAATACATGGATTGCAAAGAAAACCAATTTTATAGAAACAATTACCAAAATATTCTAAAGCTTGGTGTAGCTTTAGTTGTCCCCATCTATGCAATTGTGTTAAAGTCCTTGAAGAAAGAACCATGAAGCCCTGGACACACTTCAGAACTCCTCCAAAGACTATCCTTGCCCAGTGAGGTGGCATGAGCCAGCACTTTCAGGAGGCTGAGGCAAGAGGATGGGAAGTTTGAAGCCAGCCTGGGTTACACAGTGAGACCCTGTCTGTGGGGTGCAGTGGGAGGGGGGAGCTTTTCTTTCTTGATGGCATTGAAATTGGATTATGGACTCAGAAACCTTTTCTCTCTCATATATAATCTGTATGGAAGACATTTGCCTGGCCAAAGATGAACCCATTCTTAGGAAAAAAAAAAAAAAGATTACAGGATAGTTTAACTGCAAGAACTTTGGAGAATTCTGGTCCTTGCCTCATAGGCCAAACTATGGATACTTGTATGTCCTTTGCAACTTATCTTTGCACTGGAACTTTCAACACTTGTAAGCGTAAAAAGAATCGCAATAGCTAAGGACCAGTGGCTCACACCTGTAATCCTAGATACTCAGGAGGCAAAGATCAGGAGGATCGTGGTTCGAAGCCAGCCCAGGCAAATAGTTTATGAGACCCTATGTTGAAAAAACCCTTCAAAAAAAGGACTAGTGGAGTGGCTCAAAGTGTAGGCCCTGAGTTCAAACCCCAGTGCTGCCCAAAAAAAAAAAAAAAAAAAGACAATTGGCTGCATGTTCCACATGATCCCCATGTTGACTTATCAAAGATGCATCCCACCCCCACAGTTTACTGCTCTTATTGCAGGAATACCAGCTTCATACTGATGGCTCAAGTGGCAGAGCACCTGCCAAGCAAACATAGGGCCCTGAGTTCAAATTCCAGTACCACCAAAAAATAAAAAAATAAAACTTTAACTTGGCTGTATTTACATCACATTATCTTGTTATGTGATTTAACACAACACAAAAGTTGATTTTTGTGTCGTGTCACAAAAGTTGATTTTTTAATATATTTTGAGAACTATTTTTTGGTATGATTGGTTTTCTTTGCAATCCATATATTTTGTACATCTAAAGACTTCACTCACAGTATATGTAAAACTGAAGAGATATGAGTAAACTGTGGATTATACTCATGTCAATTTCCTGTGGTTTTTTTTTTTGTGTGTGTGTATGTGTGGGACTGGGGTTTGAACCCAGGCCTTCACACTTGCAAAGCAGGTGCTCTACTACTTGAGCCACACCTCCAGTCCCAATTTCCTGGATTTTATATAATACTATAATCATGCAAAATGTTGCGATTGGAGAAAACGGGAAGGAGACACCCACCCTGTACATTTTAGGGTAACTTCCTATTAATGTACAATGATTAAAAAAAAAATCACCCCAACAAAGGGTCCCTGGGCTTTACCAGATTGCCAAAGGAGTCCCCACAGGAAGAGTTAGAAAGCAGCCACCTGAATCTGCCTACCCCTCTGTAAGCAGTGCAGGTGCTGGATGTAGGGAAGGGTATACACACATGTACTAGTGTGATATACAGGATCCCTGGTATACACATAAGAAGTACTCACTGGAACCTGATGGATGCCTGCTCTAGATAGTATATGTCAAAGAGCCAGCGGAAAAAGACATCCAAGCTAGAAGGAAGAAGAAGGCCAATCTTTTAGTCAAGGAACCTATGTGCTAAGATCTAGTACTCAATTCTTCTTTGTCTGGCTTCCTTCCTTCCATCCTCAATCACCAAACTGCAGAGACCCTTGCTTAAATCTAGCTGGCCAGTCCACACTGATGTCTTCCTTCTTAAGACTGGGCCACCTCTGCCCCTAATGCTCGGACCTTCCAGTTTAAGTCATCCAGCAAACCTTCACCAGTCATTTCTCTCACAGTGCTCTCTCCCTCTTCTGAATTTCTCTCACATTTGCTGCATTCTCCCCCTCTGGCTGTCAGTCAGCTGGTAGGCAGGCCTTATCGCCCTAGCTAGGGCACAGTTCAGGGCTGATATGTTAGAATTTGCATGATACCTGGCTCAAACTACATGCATGGCAGTCATGGGACTGTCATTTGAGGAATGGGTTTGCAGCCACCACAGGTAGGTCTACAATACCTGGAAAAAACTTTCATTCTAGGCTAAGCCTGGCTGAGAGAGGAGGAATGACTGGAAGGGAGGTGCCTACCTGGTCAGTCCCATAGAGGGCAGAATGACCACCATGAACACCAGAAAGATGTAGCACTTGTACACTATGATGAGATTTTGGCTTGATCTAGAAGGAAATGAAGAGAGATGCTGGCCAATGTTTAAGAGAGGGAAGGCACACACATACCATATATTTGACATCTTTGTATCAAAGGCACATTACCAATGATAAGCGAAATCCCTGAAGAGTTTCAATAATCAATACAAGCCTTGTCTTGGCCAGAGGACAGGCCAGTAAGGACTTCTGCTGGGGCAAACTTTCGGGCTTATTGTTTGGTAGAATGGTAGAAACTTTGGGTGTGGGAAGTAACTTTCTGTAACCCGTGTGGCTTTTAGGCTAAAGCTGTGCCATTTATCCAGGATATGACAAGTACCTTCTATCCAATTAGCTCACCACAGAAGCATTAGGGCAAACAAATGGAAACTCCTGATTGTTGAAAATGTTGGCCCTGTGTGGACCAAGTATGTCGACAGTCATATTGAGTTCCTGGGTCTCTCTGCCTTGGCTGCTTACCTGATGTTCTGCGTAAGTCTCTCCGTCCTGTGTCTTCTGCTTGGAATTCCTGACACTGCCTAGGCTCATGCCTGTATCACCATCCCTCAGTATGAGGCAGGGAGCTAAGGGGACAGCCTCATGAAGGCTTGGTTTTGGCCCCACTCCTCTTAGATGGTGGCCCTAATTAGCATCCCCAAGGCCAGAGGCACAGAAACAACCCAGTACCTCTTTCCAAATAGAAAACCTTTGTTGATCTTTTAGAAAGGTTTCAGGTATCACAACCACCCCATATCAGTTCTAATCCTTAGCCCTGATGGGAAGCCCAAGAACCAGGCTGGTGGGTGACAAGAGGAAGAACCTGAAGAAAAGAGCCAGAGAGAGAAGGAGTGAAGACCCCCCCAGCTCACCTGGTCCAGTGTGCCTCAAGGAAGGCAGAGAAGTAGACTATAAGAGGCATTATCACTGTGAAGGCCCAGAGCATCAGAGAGGGGAAGAACTGGGTCACAACTGGGCTCTGTAGGGGCAGAGGGGGAGGGCAGGAGAGATATCAGTGCAAGAAGTCCTTTCCCCTTGCAGGCTGCCCTGGCTTCTTTCCCCTTTCGTCTCCATCTTCTTGGGGACCTCCCTGAGCAGGCCTCCTCTCCCTGCAAAATGGGCTTGCCTTTCTCTGGCGCTTTCCTGGCTAGGAGTTCACATGGCTGGGGGAAGGCAGAGGCTGACACTCAAGATCATGTTGACTCCCCAAAGGGCTTCCATGCTGCAGTCACTGCAGGGTAGCCTGAGCTTTCCTTAGTGATTTCATCTATGACCAGTCAGCTGCTGTCACTCACCATCTCATGACTCAGAGAGACAACATTGCCTCCCCTGTGGTGTTCGAGTATTGGGGGAGGGTTGTGAAGCAGGAATTCCCAGGGTTGTGAAGTATGTGACCTGGGATATATTTTGGTGTTGACAAAGGGAATGAAAAAGTAGTATGGTTGACCGTGTGTGTGTGTGTGTGTGTGTGTGTGTGTGTGTGTGTGTGTTGCTGCTGAGAACAACAAAGAGGATATGAAAGAAGGAGTCTTTTAACTCATTAGGACAGGTTGAGCCACGGAATTGGGAACTGGGTGTCCTCAGAGCTGCCTTGTGAATCAGAAGTGTCCACTAACCTCAGGGATGGCCCCAGCTACCCTGGAGTGAAGCTGTCTGGAGGGGAGGGAGATGGGAACAGATCTGAAGGTCCCACTTTTCTGCAAGGCCTATGTCAGGACTTCCCTCACTCTTCTTTACCCTCGACCCTGTCAGGAACTTTCAGCCCTAGAAAACTTGGGGAGAAGAGAGCTCCTATGTGCCATGCTCTCTATACCCCCAACTGGCCTAGTGTGACCTGATCTAAGGGAGCCCTCTATGCTCACATTGGCTTGACCACCCCTCCCCCAAACTCACCCGAGGACCTGCCTGGAGTGCCTCCACTCTCCCCATTGTCTCCAGCCCCTGTCTCTAAGATAAGCGGTGCCCCCACATTCATTCCATTGATAACACAGGAAATGCTACCCTATCATTGACACCACTCTGCCTCTGTCGTGTTGGTGGTTCACGGGCTCTGTAGCCCAACCCAGTGGACCCCCATCCCATCCTCGCCTGAATTCTTCCTTGATCTCCCTGGGGCCCCCAGGCCTGGCCTGAGCAGAGGAGGCACCTGCAGCTTCTCGATGGGGCGGGTGACGTTGTACATGTCGATGGTGTTGATAATGATGGCGGGCGTGGTGAGAAAGAAGAAGAGAAAGAAGAGGAAGGTGTTGATTGCAATAAAGCGGGCCCACCAAGTGAAGCGGCGGATGGACAGGTGTTTCCTGGGGAGGGGCAGAGAAGGAGGAGTATACTTAGTACCCTGGATCCCAGCCCTGAGAGGACCACATGCTGTCTCCTGGATTTGGAGAGCACTGGGTCTCATCCCCATGGAGTCTCTGTTGGGTAGTAAAGTGGAGAGGGAAGGCCCTGCCCTTTTGGCTTCTTCAGTCTCAGAGGAGTTCAGAGGACGGCAGGGGGCAGGGGGGGGCCGGGCCACAGAGGCAGCTTACCAAATAATGTCTTTAGGGTGTGGGGCTTGAGTGGCCCTCCACTGGTAGGACTTGATGGTGGTGGTCACTGAGGATTGCTGGGGGTACACTCCACAACAGGTGTACCTGTAATCCTCCTGGACACTGCAGAGGTGGGAGGGGGGGAGACAGAGATCTGTGGTTGTGAAGATGGGCATAGGAGAGTCACCCAGGGCCACTGTAGCAGTCCCACAGGAGCCCATCTTTAACCTTTGAGCACTGTAGTAAAGCCTCAGGTCTTCTCTGCCTAATAGTGACATCTTAAGAAACTAACAATCTTGTAGGTGTACTGCTTTTTACAACACATACACACTAAACAGAATATATATAGAGATATTCTGGGCCAACCTTCTGAAAGGTGGATAGGGCAGATGTCAGTAACCAAATTGGACAGATAAGTGACTTGGAAAATTATTCACCATTGTTTGTGACTAAAATCTAAGGTTCCACTGTTCTTTTGTAGGGTTGGGGGGTATGTGAAGACAAAATGTCATATATTATCAGGCCCAAACCAGGAAAGGAGGGCCCCCACAATCCTTCAGAAACTGATTCTGGACCTGTCATCTATTTAGCCCAGTCCTAAGGATCCTTCATCCTTCTGGGACATTCCAGAGTGTATGTAATTCACTCCCAATTAAGGTGAGACTGACAGAGCCTGGGGCAGAATAGAGGGCTGTAGGGTACGCTTTCTCAGAAGGCAAAGGCAAGGAGGGCTTATCTCTCCCGACACTCTCCTGCGGTGAGGGGAGAGTTGATGCGTGTGTATACAAGATCTGGAAGAGGAACTGCAGTGCGGGGGGTCAAAAGCTACGCCCAACCACATCTGCATCGAGGCAAGGACATATGGAGTGAGGAGCCCAGGGCCTGGGCATCTCTGGAGACAAGCTGAGCCCTGGCCCCTGGGGAAATGGTAGAGCCACACTCTGGACAACATGGTGGCAGTCTGTGAGGTCAGACTATAGCAGCTGGATGGGAGTTCACTCTCCTCCTCCCTAGGCGCAATGAGAGTGAGAGAGGATGGAGCCAGAGAAACAGAGGCCCACCCTTGGAGCTGGCCCTGCACTCACCGATTCGCCATCCTGGAGTCCTGGAAGGTGACAAAGATCAAGTCGAGTCGCTTCAGACGAACGCGGTTGAGCTCAGCATTGAACTCATCCGTCAGCTGCTCCTCCAGCTCACTATAATACTGTTCCGCGTCTACCTGGGGCGAGAGGCGGCCCTCAGAGCTAAGGAGGCCAGAACCCCAGGAAGACCTCGCTGGACCCCAGGAACCTGTCCACTCAGCAGCCTGCCACCTCTACAACAGCGGGAGGGTGACTCTGCCCTTAGATCTGAAGACACGGAGGCACGGCAGGGAAAGGGGTGCTTCACACTTTTGTGACAACAGAATGTGCAGTGTTGTCAGGAGACAGGGAAAATTCTTCCAGTCTGGCCCTGCAGCCAGAGTCTAAATGCTGAAGCCCTTCTAGCCACGGGGTCAGGAGATAAGGAGGGGCCTTTGCCTTGAACTGTTCTTATCGCTTTGGAAGCCTCTAGTCTCTCAGTCCAGGACCAGAAGGGAAACAAGAGCAAGCCTTCCTGAGTTATCCTACAGAGGGACCCAAGAAAGGTTTCAGCTCCTGTACATGCTCAACAGGGATGCAGGGAATGGTGACAGGTGACAGGTGTCAGGACTGGGGCAGACCTGAATGGGGACTGAGCCTGAGGGTGCAGGCAAGGGACCAGCCTGGAGTCCTATGTCCCTGCCCCTCCTTGCCATCCCCAGTGCCCCTGCCATTTACCTCCTTGAAGCAGGTCCAGCACTTGCAGAAGCACAGGCGGGAGCAGGGATGGATCCTGATGTTCACCTTCCCAGTCTTCTTGGCCTTGGCCGCGTAATAGAGTCGGCCCCGCATCGCATGGCGCCTGTCAGTGGTGGACAATGGAGAGAAGGAAGGAGGATCTTTTGATGAGGGGCCAGCAGAGCCCCATCCTCCCCTTGTACCCTGCCCCAGATCCCGACAGGCCCTGCTATGGCCTCACCTTTGATCATCCAAGTCGATCAGGGTCCTGACGTCATAGCAGAAGTGGACTCTAGTCACAACGCACCCTGGATAGGCCTCGCTGCAGCCACAAACATTGATGCTAAGCTTCACACGGCCTGTGAGGCTGGGTGGTGCTGTCCCCACCCCTGCCTGGCAGGACAATTCACAGGGCTGGGTAGCTCAGCTGCTGGGGTTCCTGCCTCTCAGGATGGAAGCATCCATCTTTGCTTCTGAAGCTCAACTACCTTCAGGTTTTGAACACTGGTAGTCTGAGACTTGCCACCTCCTTCCTAGATATCTCATAACAGGGCCTGGGACAGAGTTCCAACCACTGGGGTCCAGGAGAGAACTGTTTCCAAGAGATAATGAACTCAGTGGACACTGTCCCTGGGGCCAGGAACTTGGGGCCACTGGAGACGTCTCAAGATGCTGTGTCCCAAACAGCTGTGGCTCAGGCTCTCCCTAGGCTCAGACGCTAGAGTCTCGAGAAAAGGGACAACTAGCACCTCCAACTCACAGAAAGTCCCTGCTTCAGAGCCCCGCTCCAGCCTTCCGACCCTCCCCATTCTTAAAAGCTGGCTGTGAGCAGATCTAGTGAGGGCCACTACCAGGGATGTTCCCAGCCCTACCATCCTGTGTCAACTCACACCCATGGGAGGATCCAGGTGAGGGTATAGGAGGAGGTGATGCATACCTTGGTTCACCCGCCCCACTTACTGGAAATGCTTGATGATAATCTCTGGGTCTTGAATGTCCACGGGCACATAGGTGATCATTAGTGTCCTTGAGACCTAGGTGGGAAGGGCAAATGAAGAGAGACGGTGCTTGCACAGGAATTGCAGATATCCGGGTCTCTTGGTGACCCGGATTAGACTGGCCTGCTTACATTAGACTACCAGGGCCACCCTGCTGAGTAAGTCAAGTGTTCCATTCCCACAGTTCTGATCAGCAAACAGTGCCTTTCTCTGTGCCCTGACTGTGAACAGAGAGCCCAGGTCAAGGCAGGGAGCCCCAGGGTGGAGGGTCATAGCTCCATGACTGCAAAGAGTGGCATACGCCTGCTTGCAGCCCCACAGTGACTTTTGGTCTCCCTAAAATTCCCACTGTTCCAGTGTAAAGCCTTACAGTCTCAGGAAATCCCTGACATTAGATGGGATGGGGGAGTTTGGGTTGGGCAAGGGCTATTGTTCAGATCTGGAATGACCCCTATGTATTAAAGGCTTGGCCCTCAGCTTAGGTCTATGGGAAGGTGGTAGAAACTTCAAGAGGTGGGGCCTAGCAGGTTGTCTTTGCTGGAGGTGTGCCCTCGAAGGGGATTGTGGGACCCTGGCTCTCTTCTTCCCAACTACCAGAAGATGAGCACCCTCCTCTGCCAGGCTCCCACCATGATGTTCTGCCTCATCACAGGTCCAAAGACAATGGGGCCTCCTGACCGTGGACTAAAACCTCAAAACTGTGAGCCAAAATACACCTTTCCTCTTTTTAAGTTTATCAGGTATTTTGTTACAGTAATGGAAAGTTGACTAAAACAGCAAGACTCTGGGGAGAGGGTGAAGACTTCTCCCCCAAGTTTCCTAGTTTATTCAAGTTTCCATAGTTTATTCAACCATGCTGCAAAAGATGGGTGTCTTGGCAGCTGTATCTGGTGACAATAAGAAAAGCTGAAGTAGCCAGATTCAGACTGGTCAGGAGTGCCCAAAATCTCCACACCTGGCAAGCTGAAGTGCTTGGGGTGAATTTGGGGCATGTACATTTGCAATCTAGGGCAGGTTAAGGCAAATCAGTCTCTTAGGATAGATTGCCTCAAAGAGTGAATCTCACTCCACTGAACCCTTGACAGGCTGAGGACAGAGTCAAGGATGTCACCCTCAAGGTGCCCCTTCTCCACAGAGCATGGACAGTCTATAGGTCCCTGCCCTTGCTCCAGGTACTGGGCAGGTGGCACTGCTTGGCATTCATATTTACACAGCAAAGGCTGCAGTGTGCCTCAAACTCCAAGACTGTCTAGGTGTTCTTTCCTTGGGAGTACGTGCAGGTCAAGAGGTGAAGGCTTACAGCCCCCAAATTCAGCCCTCAACCAGTGCACAGGGAGTTCAAGGAAAAAGACCACAACTGCTCACCTCTAGGCTGGGAAATCTAGAGCTCCGAGTGTTCCCTGGTGAGGTTAAGCTCCAGCTGCACATCCCCCTGCACCCCCAGTAAGCTGCTCTGGTTGTGCCCTTCTACTGGCTACCTTGTCTTCCCCGTCACGTTCCCCCTCCAGCTGGCCTTTTCTGAGTCCGACTCCCAAATACATGCCACTCAAGTCCTGTCTCAGGGTCTGCCTGGGAGGCAGAATGGAGGGTCGCCCAAACTGAGACCATGGGGGTGCATCGGGGGCAGGCCTGTGATGTATCAGACTCAGATGGTCTGCAAAAGGGCAAGGCCTGGGCCCAGCTAGAGTGGGTAGCTAGTTCCTGGCCACTCTGGATGCAGGCCCTGCTGGTCTGAGTGTTTGCTAACTCTTTAGTTTGTGGACAGGAAGTCCAAGGTCCTTGGAGATGGGCCAAGGCAGCTGAGGTGCAGGAATGGGAAGTGAAATTTTGATGACTAAACAACTGGGACAGTTATGCCAGGGGTGGTGTGGGTGGGTGGGTGGGGGGGTGCAGGGGTGGGTTGGGCTGGAGATTACACATGGGGCTAAGAGGAGGAGCTTGCCCTGCTCAGGTGAGACCTCCCCACAGAGTAGGCCAAACTGGGACTTCTCCGAGGCTGGGGTAGGAGGCCCAGGTGGGGAGGAACTTCACCTACTCACCTTTAAGTTCTTCTTGGGCACAAACCCCAAGGAGTGATGAGCCATGAGGACGAAGTTGATGAGGAAGTATAAGAAAGCAAAGAGGCTGTGCAGCCATAGGAGTGTACTCCTGCCGGGAAGTGGTATGGTGAGGCCTTCTTGTGCTGCGGGGCTTCCCTGAGCCCACCACACAGTGTCCTTGGACTCCCTCCCACCACCCTGTGTCCCCAGAACCCCCTCTCAACACTACCATGTCTCCAGATGCCTTCCAATTACCATTCATGCACCTGAACCCCCGCCACCATCACCGTGTCCACGGACTCCCCCCGCCATCACCACCAGAGTGTCTCCAGATCCTCCCACACCATTGCAGAATCCCTAGACCACCCACATCTCAGCGTCCTTGTGCCTTCTACTACCACAGGGTCCCCAGACCCCTACTTGGAGTCCCAACTTTCAGGCCCCCTGAAGGAGATGACAGTGATGGTCAGGCACTGGCTCCAGCTAATAAGGGCTTACTGAGTGCTTCCTATGGGTCAGGTCCAGGTGGGACAAGTTTCTTCCTGCATTTTTCTCCTGGACTTCCAGAGCCTTGCAGGAGATTCACAGATTCTTTTCATTTCACCCAGCAGGAAATGAGGCCAGAGCAGTTGGGTGGCCTGCCTGAGGTCACTCACAGTGACATCACAGGGAGGGGACCTGAGCTGATCACATACTTAGATACTTTACCCTGCAGTAGCCCAGCAAGTCAAGTGGCGAGGGACCTGGAATCATATGCAGGCCCAAGGGATGGAGGGTCAGGTAGTTGTGGTTTTGCTGGCTTCCCTTGGGGTAGTAGGACCTAGGCCTCTGGGCCATATTCCCACCCCTGCTTGCTGCTCACAGGATGCCCCAAGGCATCTGGGCAGAAGCAGGATCACCTTAGGTGGAGTGCTTTGAGGAGGGAAAGGCTAGTGTGCTTCAAGACATCTCCTCCATTCCTGTCCCAGTGCCCGGCCTGTCACACACCTGCTGAGCAAAGCTAGGTGCCTGGTTGCCCAGTTTCTGCAGCGGGCAAGGGCACATGGTCTCCATGGAACATTTCAGCTCTCTACCAGGATGGATTCACACATGTCAAAGGCCCTTTGCTACTCTATTAGAATTCACTTCTTGGGAAGGAGTAAGTCCCTGAGATGCACCTAGGGAAGGCGCTGGTGGCTGTGTTCTGGGTTGGCAGCCATGGCTGTGTTCTAGGTTGGCAGCACTTGGGGAAGAGCTGGCTGAAGGGGGAAGGGAGGATGCCATGCCCACGTCTGCTGCTCTGAGAGTTTTAGCTAAGCCTGCCCCAAGGTGTATGGCAGGAGTGCAGAGGTAGAGGGTGAGGGTGGTAAGGTGAACCCCTTCACACTTGGAACTGCTTCTGTACCTTAGTCAGGATGATGGCAAAGCCTGGCCAAGACATACAGTGGGTCTCAGCATGGATCAGCCAGGCCACATTTGGCTCAGTACAGGTTGGCTGATGTTGAAACAAACCCTCCCGAGTGAGGAGCCTAGATCATGTCCCTCCATGGCGAGGACTGAAGCTTGGGTTGGGAGTGGGGAGGTGGGGGCGGGGGGGATGCATTGCCCCAGATCCTGGGCCAGTGAATGGTAGAGGTAGGGCGAGAGCCCTAATAGGATTCCTCGGTTCCTCTGCTGTGGGAATGGGGGTGGGGGGAGAGAGATTGACAGGCCCATGTTTCACTTAATTGTATGAGAACTGACTTGAGCCCATGGGTGGGCAGGAAGACAATTTGTTAAACCTCTCCTTGGTACAGGTTCTCTGCCTCTTGGGAGCTGGACATACAAGTTCATAGGACCATTTCTCCAGTCCTCAGGAGTGGCCAGTTTGAGTGGCTCCACTCATGACAGATGGGGACACTGAGGCACTGAGTCCTGCTTTATCAAGAGAATGCAACTTCTGGCATTCAACTTAGGACCTGGATTCCCATGGAAAGCAGTTCTTTCATTGACACAGTGGTGCCCACGTTACAGAACAACACTGTGAACCTTCTCTTCCCACCAACGCCCAGCCAGTAGAATGGGAGGTAAGAAGATCAGGTACCTACTCTGTGGAGACATTGACAATGGTGGTCCGACCAAAGTGGCTATTCTGGTCTGAAAGAGAAGAAAGGTGCCATCCTCAAGCCTGGCCCCTTGATTGCTGGGGACACCAGGATTCAAGGTTCCCAAATGAATGCCCAGGGTCTAAGTGATGCTTGCCTACATCCTGTTCTTCTTCTGATTCCCCAGAGCTCATTCCCAACTTCCAATAAAAAATCATCTTCCTGGGTAGTGGTGATTAAGGCCCTTGGGCATAAAATGAGGCCAAGCGTTGCCAGGGCACAACTGGCACAAAACAGAAACTCAGTAAACGCTTGCTAAGGAATCCACTGTGCAGCTAGAATGGTAAAATTGGCAACAAGAACCCCAAATTCCAGGAAATGGGACTCTGCTTCATTTGTACAGAGTAAATCCTTCTAGCTAAGTATGTTAGTTTGCTGGTTCAGACATCTCTGGGTTTGCAAAACGTGTCTAAGATTCCTACATGATACTATCACTACCCACACACTTCTTAGAATAAGAATCAAAGACAGGAGTCGGAAGTTTACTCTGTAGAACAGACATTCAGTGTGCTATGCTGAATTCACTAGGCCGCATCTGGTTGAGGAGAAATAGAAGTCAAGGTAGAGCCACCTGGGCATTTAAAGTGCTTCAGTCTCCTACAGCTCTGTTCCTCCTATAATTATAAGGGAACTACAGCTGCTTTCTCCGAGCACCTACTGTGTGCCAGGCACTTGACATTATCTCCCAATACCCAAGACAGTTGAAGAAACTAATTTGCCAATAGAAGGTTAGGTTATACTGGAGGTGTGGCTCAAACAGTAGAGCACCTCCTTTGTAAGCATGGAGCCCTGATTTCAAACCCCAATTCCACCAAAAACAATAATATGTTAGCTTGGACAAAGGCATTTTCTGAGGAGCAGATGTGGAGAAAGGTTGTAGAGCCAAGAATTTTCTGCCTTTGAAGCCAAACCCTCACTGACATTGCTATTCTACTCAAAGGATTTAGCCTGGTAGAAGTCCCATGTGACAAACTCTGCACTTACAGTGCTGTGTCTACCTTGGAGGATACAGGAAGAAATCCAGTTCATGGACTTTTGTTGTGGGCCACACATCCTGCATAGGGCCTCCATGAACACCCAGCCAGGTGCCATGTGGGAACATCAGTAAACAGGTATAGACTGGACTGGTCCTAAGAGCCTGTGATGCCCCAGACCCTCGGTCAACAAGGTGGTATGGTCTCCAGTCTCCATGTGAGAGAACGGCAGTACATCTTGTCTAAGGTCATAGGATGACTACCTTCCAGAGGAAAGGTTCAAATCCAAATTTCTAGACCCCCAAAGCCCAAGCCCTGTCCAGCCTGCCAGGCTGCCTCTGAGGTCTAGGTCCCTCTGAGCGCTGCCTACCCAGCACAGTTCCAATGTAGTTGATAGGCAAAATGATGCCCAGAGAAGGGATGCAGAGGATGATGACGAAGATGATGAGGTGGTACTGGAACATGATGTAGATGCGTGCATCCTCCCCACACTTGCTAATCAGATCCTGGTCCCTGGAAGAGACACAAGCAAGGACATTCCTGAGGAGCAGTGTGGCCACAGCTTATGTGGCAGAGACAGAAGAAAAGCAGGGAAGATGACCACTGCACCCCCATTTTTAGTTTTGCAGGAAATACAGTAGATTCTTGTGTATGGTTCCAAGAAAAATCGCAGTTGAGGAAAAACCACAAATGCTCAGGATGCATAGAGTTTATTACTTTAAAATTATTCAAATTTACCTGGACTGTATGTACAGTAGGTCTATCACGTGGAGAAGGCTACGTTACTGTCACAAAAATTACTGTTGTGCACGTTAATACTACTCACCAAAAGCTATGTCTTACTCCATGCTCTGTATCTTAAATACTCCGGAGCTTCATTCGTTTTTCCCATAGTGCTTTCTAACTTCTGCTAAAGACATGCCAATCTAAAATTGTCACTTCATCACTTCAATTAAGCATATTACATGCCCTTTTTGACCTGACAGATTACTCTTTTACCTTGCTTTTGGGGCACCATTTGTTTTTTTGGGAGGCAGATTTGTACAAAATAGAGGGGCAGGGAAACACTCAGCAGATCACACAAGGATTTAAACACAACTGATGATAGCGTGGGACTGACTGAGAGCTTTTCTGCATCAGCTGAGCTATATAATGTGTGCGGAATGAAAAATTTTATTTTGAAATTTTATTTTTTTTTGTTGCACTTGGTCAGAACTATATATAGTAAATCTACAAATAAGTGGGCTTACTGTATTGTCCTTCTCAAGGTCTCTGGTGTGCCTAAAGTGCATCTCAGTGAACTTCATGCATACATCAGAGAGAGAGGCTATGCTACAGGTGCACATGGAGGAACCCAGAACACTGGTAAACTCGAGCACATCCTTCCATTCCTTCTGCAACGATTCTGAGCCCACCACGCTGCAGGCATGTGAGAAAGCATTAGTGATACTGAGCAGCACCCTACTGAAAAAGTTGTTTATATTCCCTTAAAAAAAAAAGGGAATATCTGAGATCCACAATGAGATAACACACTGCCAGGCTGGCCAAAATGAGAAAGTTGGACAATGCCAAGAATTGGAGAGGGTATGGGACATTGAGAGCTCTCCTAGACTCATGGGTGGACACTGGCCCAGCCACGCTGGAGAACAGTTGGCCTTATCTGATGAAACTGAGTATATGCACACTGCATGACCTGGCAATTCCATTACTAGGCTATACCCAACAGAAATACATGACAGGTGCATCAAGAGATATACATGAGTATCTCTTAGATGCATTACTTATAACATACCCAGCCGGAAACATCTTACATGTCTATCAAAGGTAAAACAGACATAAGAATTGTGATAGATCAACCTATGCATATACAATTATACATAATGAAATTATACAGTGCTTAAAACAAATGACTCATAGGTGAACCCTGCAAACTCAATGTTGAATGAAAGACACCAGACACAAACAACATATGGTAGGATTTCATATACAAAGTTAAAAAATAGACAATACTGAACCACTGAATTAAAGTTAGAAGTAAGAACACTGGCCATCCTTGGAGATGAGGGAGTGGGTAGGGGCTTGGGAAGAGAGGAGGGGCTGGCAAAGTTCTATTTCTGGATCTGAGTGGTGGTTGCATAGATTTTGCTTTGTGATAACAAGGCTGCATATTTACTTTTGTGCATTCTGTGTGTGTATATTATACTTTAATTAAAAAGTGTAAAAGTAGTTGGGAGCTGGTGGCTCACACCTTTAATCCTAGCTATTCAGGAGGCAGAGATCAGGAGGATTGCAGTTTAAAGCTAGTCCAAGCAAATAGTTCAAAAGACCCTATTTCAAAAATACTCAACATATAACAGGGCTGACAGAGTGGCTCAAGTGGAAGAGTGCCTGCCTAGCAAGTGTGAGACCCTGAGTTCAAATCCCAGTACCACCACCAAAAATAAAACAAAACAAAAAAAGAAAGTATAAAAGCAACACATGCTCATAGAAACAATGGAAAATGCAAAAAAGAATAAGACAACTCACCTACAATCTCATAAACCCTAAGAGATGTCTGCTAAGCAGTTAGTTTCTTGTGGTTGTGTGTTACTCAGTGACTGCCATGGTTTGAACATAGCTTGTCCCCTCCAAAACTCACAATGGAGTCTGGTCTCCATTGTGAGGCATTAACAAGATGGAAAGTTCATCCACCTATGTTGTTGAGAGGCGGAGCTTTTGAGAAGTGATTGGGATTAGAATGGAGCCTGGTGATTGAATCCTGGTGGCTTTATAAAAAAAGAGACCAGAGGACACACATATATGCCCCTACTTGCACACGCATGGATGCTCCCTCTTTTGCCATGTGGTGCCTGCATGGTCTTGGAACTCTACCAACAAGAAGGCCGTTGTCAGATGTAGCCCTTTGCTCCATGACCTTGGTCTAGAACTGTGAGACAAAATAAATCTCTTTCCTTCATAATTTACCTAGTCTGTGGTATAGTGTTAACAGCACAGAAAACAGACTAAGTCTGTGACTATAGTTACAGCAGCATTGATGTATTGCTCTTTTGCTTGGCATTTAATCTTAAACCTTTTCTATCTGTTTTACAGAATGGTGACAGTGTCCATTGAGGGAACACTGCTTTATGCCCAGCATACACAGGCCTCCTCACTCCATGGGTGGATAAACCATGGTTTTCCTGCCTTTGCCCCTCTGTTCAGGCACATAGGTTGATGTAACTTTTAGCATCCAGTCCAGGATTCAGATGTATCTTTTTTTTTTTTTTTGAGGTATTGGGGTTTGAACTCAGGGTTTCATGCTTGCTAGACAGGCACTCTACTGCTTGAGTCAAGTCTCCAGTCCATTATTATTATTATTATTATTTTTGGTAGTAGTAAGGTTTGAACTCAAGGCCTTGCACTTACTAGGCAAATGCACTACAACTTAAGCCACAACCCAAGCCCTTTAAACACTATGACAAAAGGCGTATCTTCAAGGTTTTCACTATCTCCACTTAGGGAATTTTCTTTTTTGTCTGTAGCAATTAAAATCCTTCCTGGACTTAAAATTTAAGTCCCAAGAATGGGGTGGGTGAGAACTGACAGAAGACTGAGTGTGGGAGAACAGGGAAGTGTCTTGCTGTAGGTGTGGGATGCCAGGTCTGGTCTAGTGAGAGAAAACCAAGCCTGGGTAAGGGAAGGTCCCAGAGCCTCCAGTTAGGTGGAGAGAAGAGAGGGTGGGACTGAGCAGAGATCACAAGAATTTCCTTCCTGGGTCAGGAATTCCTGCCTCCAGCTCTAGGTCCATTTCCTCTTCCCACCATTCTTTCCAGTGCTTCCCTCTCCACCACCCCCTCCCCAGGACCTTCTAGTCCCTCACTCTTCCTCCTGCATCCAATTAATTCTCTCTCCACTCTAATCTCTTCTCTTCTCTCTACTTTTCTGGAGATTTGCTATCTCCACTGCCTTTCTCTCTCCTCTTTAATATCTCCCTCTCTCCACACCCACTTAACATACCTTCCCCTGAATCTACACAGTCAAGTTCAAATTCACATCAGTTACTCTAAAGTAAACCAAGCGTCTTCTCACACATACCTCCCTGCCCTGTTACCCCTCAAAGCCCCTCCAAAATATCCTTATTTCCCTCCTCTTACCACCTCTTGAGTTTTGTTCTCTGTCTTGGTTATCTCCTTAATCTGCAAGCACCCTCTCACCAGGGATCCAAATCACCTAGGCCAAGGTCCTCTCCCTGGCTCTCATTCAACCTTGGCGGTTGCTGGCCACACCCACCTGGGGCCTCATCCTTGCTGGGAGTCAGTGATCCCATTCCCTAGGAAATGCCTTTGATCCTCTCTCAGGGCCTCCCATGGGCCTCTGCTGACCTTGCCTCCTTGGAGTGACCCATCTGTTCCATCACTTCAATTACAACCTCTATGCACCTGACTGTCAGCTCTGAGCCCTCTTTCTGACTTCCTCCTAAGAGTTAATTCTGGCTTTTGCTTTAACAGCTAGCTGGTCAGCTCATAAGCTTCTCCCAGCCACAGTGCATCACTGTTTCCTCTCCCACGACTTACTGACTGTAGCCCCATGATCCCCCTTCCATTGTCTCCCTAGTCACTGCCCCAGTTCAGCTCACTACCACCTCCCACCTGGACCACTGGAATAGCCTCCTTAGCTGTTCACCTTGACTTTGAACTTTCTCAGCTGCCATTCATCCCCCTACATCCTGCCTACGACAGATATCACCCTGGGTTTCCTACTCCAAAACAGCGATTGCTCTGTACTGCCTGTAGATCAGAGCCCAGGATTCTCACTTATGGTAGCCATGATCTCAGCTGATCCTTCCCCACCCACCTACCACATACCCCTGCTTCCAGACACCCCAGAAGACTCACCATTTCTGGATGTCTCTGCTCAAAACCTTTGCTCACACAGTCCTTTCCTTGTGATGACTCCACATCACTCTTCTCAACATTCTTTCCATCCTTCAAGGCCCAGCTCAAAGCCACTTTTCCTGAACCCTCTAGTTGACATTTCTTCTCATTTGACCAAGTGACCATTGCACAGCAAATTATAACCTCTCTATTATGATGGGTACATAGACCTTGCTAAACTTTATTTCTCCAAGTATACTGCATGGAGGGGGTATGCTTGGGGACTCTGGATGATCTGTCCCTACCCAGTAAATGTGTCATCTATGACAGGGTGCTGGACACCTAGTACAGTGCCCCCATTCCTGCCTTTCCAGATGAGCTGTTCTCTCAGGGAGCAGCCTCTCTGATAGGAGCCTTTGGGTGGGGTGGGAGAAGGGACACACAGACACACACAGAGCTGTGCACACTGCCCTCCCACTGACTGGAAGGTCCAGGCATGTATACACCAAAGGCTGCACAGGCAGACATGTGACATCACAGGGACCTGAATCTTTTACTCCACATTCACACACCACAGAGACAGAGACACCTACCACATGTCTCAGTTTTGCTCTGTGTTTCGCATGTACCCTACTTCCCATGACACTTTCTCACTTTATAGATAACCAGTGACAGACACATCAGCAGGCAAGGGAGAAAATCCAGAAAGTTAGCCTCAAGCTACCTCCAGAGTTTCCTTTTCTCCCACACCTGATGATGTGGTCAGCTTGGGTGGATCCACTCATCCCAATTTTCCTTCCCTCTTGGCCAGGCAAGGAAGTGGTAAATTTGCCACAGTGCACACTCCTATCAATCGTGAATTTGCTAAACCCAGGAACCTGTAGCCAGCCTGTCCAGCCTCCCAGGGGAGCAAGCTCCAAATGTCCATAAACTCCTGTGGTTTGAAGTTGGTGTGTCTGCACAAGGTTGGACACTTGGTCTTCAGTGTGACAGTGTTAAGATGTGATAGGACCTAGTAAGCGGTCCTTAGGCCACTTGGGGGGGGCAGTGCCCTCAGAAAGTAATTCCACTAGGATCCTTAAGTTAGTTTTTGCAAGGGTGAGCTGTTATGAAAGCCTAAGGCTAGTCTAGCCTCAGTGGTAGAACATGTGCTTAGCCTGTGTGAGGTCTTAGGTTCAATCCCTAGGACCATTAAAATAAAAGTGGGGGAGCTGGTCCTGACTCCTTACTCACTGCCTCACTTTAAGATGTGATTCTGCCCTCACATGTGGCATCCATCATGAGGTCCTCATCAGAGCTGGGCCACTGCCAGTGCCATGCCCTCAAACCTCCATAACTATGAATTCAACAGACCTCTTCTCTTTATAAAGTTACCAAACTTCAGGTATGTTATTACAGTATGAAAAACAGCATAATACACATTATTGATTATTTTAAAATTTTATATTTCCTTGAAACTGTTGACAGAGGTTGCTTCTGTGGTAGATTGGAGGTGAACTTTAATCTTCCCCTTAGTGAAAATGTATTTATGATTGTTTGTGCATGTTGAATAAATTAATGAAGCAAAACCAGAGAGGGAGCCAAAAAATGTAAGTCTCCTCTCTACTTGCCCACATGTGGCTAAGAGTAGAAAGGACAATTCTTGACCCACACACAAAGCAGCTGCTTCACTTTCTGGGGGCTGTGATGAGTGAGGAAGGAACATTGGAGGCCAAGGCCATGGGGAATCCTCCAGCAGAGGCCACTGGTGTTAGGTCCAGCTTGGGATTCCCAGGGTCCCAGACCCTTCAGGTTTGGGCAAACAGAGGTACCCAGGTGGCTCCTGGGAGGCTGGGGTCTCATAACAAAGTGGAAGACTCCACTTTGGAAGTGCATAGTTAGGCCCCTCGAGGAAGGGTTTGGAGGACAGTCAGGACAGGATAGATGGGGGATACTAAGGGGGAGCTCAGGATTGTGCATGGCTCTGGGCACACATAGGGTAGAGCTGTGTGTATGTGTGTGTATGTACTTGCATGCATGTACACACACTAAGGGTTCTGATAAGTGTCTGCTCAACTGAGGCATCTGGCCAGTACTGGGAAGTCAGGAAAAAGTAGGTGTTCTGGAGTGCGGGTCCTTGACAGGTGGGATCTGGCACCACAGAAATCCAGAAGATGAGGTGGGCAAGGGCTGTCCCTATGTAATCTGGGCACAGAGAGAGGAAACCCACCCTTCTGTTCTGTGCATTTATCTGTTTTAACAAACAGGATGAATGATGTGAACAGAGACCAGGCAATAGCATGCAGAAAGGATTTCATCCTGGAGTAGAGCTCTGCTGGGCTCTGTCCAGTACCCATTCTCCAGCTGTAACCCGGGAATGTGTCCTCTGCCAACACCAGGTGAAGCAAGGGGACAGGTACACAGCTTGGGCCTGTCATATTGGATAGAGACTTCCTATCTCCATCCTCCCAGCCCCAAAAAGGCAACCCTGTCACAAGCTCAAAAAGTGCAGCCACTTACCTCATGGTTATGCTGTTGATGAGCCAGGAACAGAAACCCTGGGGGAGAAGGAGAGAAACCATGAGAAGAACCAGGTCCAGGCCTGCCCTGCTCAACTCCAGGGACCCCAGCAGCTGTGGGTCATCTGGAGCAGCTGCAGCAGTGTCGAGGAGGGGCCTCCTTCCTGGGAAAGAGCCTTCTGGAATCAGGGGCCACGGATGAGCAAGCTGTCTCCCCAGAAGTGAGTGGACATCCCTGCCATCTGATATAAGAAATGGGGCTTGGAAGGTGGGCCTGGGACTAGAGGGACAGAAAGGACTCCTAGGTAGACATCTAACACTTCCTATCTATGTTGCTTCTTCCTCTCTCTCTCTCTCTCTCTCTCTCTCTCTCTCTCTCTCTCTCCCTTGGGTGCTTGCATGTATACACACACACACTCCCCTGTGTTATCTCCAAAGGCATAAACCACTCAGAAAACTCAGCAGTCGAATGGCTACCTAGGAGGCAGACACTTTCTCCCCTCTTTCCCCTCCCTTACAGGAACACAGGACAGGACCACAAGCTCCCAGGAACAAGCTCAGCTGATGAGACTGAGTGACAGCAATCAGTGCCCTGGACCTGTGTCTTGGTCCCCCATCCTCTCCACCCTTGCCACATGGGGGGTAATGGTGTCTGCTTGACCTGGTCAGGGCACTCTGGTGAGACACAGCCCTGGCTGGGGCCCCATCTAGCTGTGCCATATAGCTCCCTCCTGATCTTTGGGAATTTGCACCCTTTGCACTGCTGCCTTAACAACTCATCTTCTTAGATTTTTAAAAATAAAATAATCTTGTCATTGTAAAAAAAAAAAACATAAATAAACCACAGCAATATGTCAGAAAATAACCCGAGTGCCGCCTTATGAGGCAGGTGTTACTGTCCTCATTCTATATTCAGCCTTTGGAAGACAAGCAACTTGCCTGAGGTTTCACATTTTGGATGGGGCAAAACCTGGTGAGTAGATGACCTGGTCTCTTGGAGGAGTGGTCATGGAAAGAATATGTAACAAGTCTGTATAGATGCTAACTGTGTGATGGGCTGGACAGGGTACTGGGGTACAGTGGTGAGCAATGTTAAGCTCAGTGCCTGCTCATGCTAGGAGAGGCCAATATATGATCGTGCACAGGAGGGGCACTACAGACAGGATTAAGGAGGTTAAAGAAAAGGAATGAATTTTCTATGAGAACAAAACCAAAAATCTGAGCTGGGCATGGTGGCACATCCTGTCACCCCACTGCTTGGGAGGCTGAGGTAGCCTGGGCTACATAGTGAGATTCTGTCTTAAAAAAAAAAAAGAATTGAGCAAGAAACTTATGGAATTGCATCAAGGAGAAGTAAAACAAAGTCTTTGCTCTTGGGAAGTAATAAGAGGGGGAAAAAAGAACATTCTTAATTGTAAAGTTTATATATATATATATATATATATATATATATATGAAAACAAAAGACCCAGGTGGTGGTCAGGGTTCCCTGGAGAAGTGGTATCTGAGCTGAAATCTGAGCAAAGGGTAGGGGTGACTCAAAGAAGGGCCACTGGGGAAGAAAAATGAAGAGTCCTGGAAAGACCCTGTGACAGAAGAAGGGTGACACAGTCAAGGATCTAAGTGACCAATATGGCCAGAGTTGGGGGGTTGGGAGGAAGAGATCAAACCACCAGGCCATGGTGAAATATGCTACAGGAGCATTAGGAAGAAATTGAAGGTTTGCACAGGGGAACATTCATCCCCATTCACATATGGATACGGTGAGTAGGGGCGAGTGTGGACCTAAAAGATCAGTTGGAGCTGCTATGGCCATCCAGGCAAGAGACTGAAGGAGACCTGGGAGGGGCTGGTGCAAGGGATGGACAGGAACAGAACTGAGAAAGTAAAAGCAACATGGCTTGGTAAGAAAAAGACCGGGCTGAGGGGCCTGGGTAAGAGTGAGAGTTCTAGGTAGATGGTGGGAAGGAGCACAGACTAAGGACTAGGAGCAGATGGGGTGGGGACTATGGGATGGTTTGCACATACTGAGTCCAAAATGCTTTTGTAATATCCATGTGGTATTGGGCACCAGTGGCTCATGCCTGTAATCCTAGATACTCAGGAGACAGAGATCAAGAAGATCGAGGTTCAAAGCCAGCCTGAGGTAATAGTTCACGAAACCCTATCTCAAAATAGAGCTGGTGGAGTAGCTCAAGGTGTAGTTCCTGAGTTCAAGCCCTGGTACCACAAAATAATAATTATTGTAATATCCACATGGGGCTATTCTGAAGGCCATTGGATAAAGGGCACTAGAGTCCCTTTAGAGTTTGCTGGAAGGGACTGAATTTATAGGTTATCAGTGTAGTGATGGCAAATGAAGTTGGAGTGTGGACATCATTGCCAGGAGAAGGAGAGCAGGGAGTGAGAGGGAGGGTGGGTTGGGGTAGGTAAAGGGACTCCAGGTGTGCAGGAACTTATAAAGGGGACAGAGGTGAAGGAAGGCCTCACAGAGTGCAATGTCATAGAGGCAAATGGATGCTCCTGTTGAAGAAGTTAGGATGGTCTATAGGTCAGACATTCTGAGAGATCAGATAAGATGAGGACTGGAGAAAGCCCACTAGATTTAGTGTCAGGGGACCACTGATGGCCTTGGAGCTCTGATGAGTGAGAGGGATGGATGTCACATTTGAGGAGGTTGGGGAGTGAATGGGAGTGACTGTCCATTCAGCTGTGACAGGGCCAGTGGAGACAGGCAGTGTGGGGAACATGACGGGCACAGAAAGCTCTCTTCACTCCCCTCTCTCACTGCATTCAGGTCCCAGTTCAAATGTCACCTTCTGCCCAAGACCATCCCTGACCACCACCTATAACGCAGCTCCCTCCCACTGCTGTCAAGTGACTCCCTTGCCCCCTTTGCATCATGTGCTCATGATTGTCCTACATGTAACTGTCTGGTTGTCTCCCTAACCTGGATAAAGTGCCAGGATGCACTACTTGGTCCATGGTGTTCTCTGCCCTATCCCCAGTCCCCAAACCAGTGACCAGCAGTTGGCATACAGAAGGTGCTCATGGAAGCTGGCGGAATGAGTGGTAGAGGCCAGCATTCCACAAGAAAGGGAAGGAAGCAGAACATGGGGCTCTGTGGGGTGGAGCTTAGCTGGGGATGGTAGGAATCTTCTAGGTGAAGTAGAGGTGAGTCCTTAGCTCTGAGCAGGGAAGGGAAGAAGGGAAGATTTGGGGCTGTTGGTAGGGTTGGAGAATTGAGAAATTCATTTTTAAAATCTAAGATATAATTAGTTAAGACTTACTTGGCAGCCTAGGAGGTAGGTATGGTTAATATTCCAGTCTTTCAGGTAGAGAAACTGAGTCAAGGTCACACTGAGGGAACTGGTGCAGCCTGGCTGACTATAAGCCTCTGCCTGAGCCCTGTTCCTTCCTGTGCACCACAGCTGCCTGCCCAGGTCCAGAATCCCTCGAGCCCAGGCCAGTCCCAACACTCACCTTGTCCCTGCGTTCCATCTCCAAGGAAACCTCTGAGGGAGACGACTTTTCACTCTGCTCCCCATAGATCAGAGAGGTCAGGCTGCCAGCAAGGAAGGGTTGCAGGGAAACAGAAAAGGAAAGAAAAGGCCTCAGATGTCTGCCCTGCTCCCTCTCTGCTCCCTGGGTCAAGGGATGCCAGCTGCTCCTGCCTGGTAGCAGGCATTGCTGGATACACAACTCTGGGTATAGACAGCACCACCCCATTGCCAGGTGCACAATGCACCTTGGGAGTCAAACCACGAGATCCAGAAAGTCTGAAACTGGAGAAAAATGTGGTCTTGTGCCCAGAGATGGCTACCCTCCAAGTCACCTTCCTGCAGGGAGGGTGAAGCAGGGGCAAGAAGTGGGAGACAGGATGCCACTTGCTGAAAAGACACTTGCTGCAGCTTAGGCACCAGGCAGAACATCCCAAGGGAGCAAGGGACTCACCTAACCTGACCCTGTCCTCCTCACCTGTCATTGTGTATCAGCAAAGCCAGGCGCCCGTAGTCCCATGCAGCTTTCCGGAGGAAGGAGTAAATCAGAACAACGAGCTGCAAGGCCAGGGAAAGCAATATGGGTCAAAGGAGTTCAGATGTCTTCCCCTGGGCCAGTCCCCTGCATTCCCATGGGAGAGACCCTGTCCCTGAAGTCCCCAGGGCACTCCCCCCACCAGATGGTGAGCTCTGTCATTGGAAGAGCCATCCCTTTCAACTCTGCATTCCCGGCCCCCAGCAGTTTCCAGGCACACAGAGGATGCTCAGTCTGTTGAACAAACGAGCTGGTGAGTACTTATAGCAATGAGACACAAATGCCCCGTGAAGATGAAGGGAAGAGAGAAGGGAGGCCCAAGGGCACTAGCCAGATGAACTTTAAGTGATGCACAGATGAGCACTCTAGGAATTCTGCCTGTTTTCCTAGCCCCCTTTTCTCCAGAGGCCCACCCACCGGGCCACCTGGGTAGGGCTGACATCCAGGTAGTTCACATCACTGTGGCTGGTGTCCATTTGGAACACTGGGGCCCCACTGCATCCCTTGTGACAGTTCAACAGCCCACCCCGGTTGAGACCTTACTGTGTGTGTCCCCTGCAGTGCCCAGGACTCACCACCCATAAGGCAACGTTGAGGAACAGCACAGTGGGGATGCCCCCAAAGGGCTGTCCCTGAAGGACAGTGCTGCGGGACTGGAAGCATTCATCCACAGTCATGTTGTGCAACTGGCTGCCCATCTTCAGACCACTCAGCAAGGCAGACATCCTGGGAGGCTACTTGGAGAGATGCGAGGACTGCACCCCACTCTGCAAAACACAGAAGGCTGCTGAGGAGTAACAGGATAATCTCTGAGTGTCCTGGGCTTGGGCACATCAGATCCAGGGGCCAGTGCCAGGCTTGGAACTGTTGTCAAGATGAGAGATCCTATCATGGCACCAGCCTAATCCTGTAAGATAACAGCTGCCTCAAACCCAGGGTTGTCAAGACAATAGCTTCCCTGGGAGAGTTTTTATTGTGTACTTCTTCATCCTATAAAAACAGTTGCAAAATGCACATCCAAATGGGTCTCCCTATTGCTCCCCTGTGATGCTTTTCTTATATATAAATCAACAAATCTCACAAAGGCAGGTCAGATCCCAGAGTGGAAAAGTGCAAGTTGGAAGACAGAATCACTGTGTTCATGGGATGCCCATGCAGACATGGTTCACTAGCGACCACCTTTCCATTCTACAGCTCTTTTGGGGAAAGCAAGACTCCTAAAGATCAGAACATTTGGTATACAGCAGTGACTCAGTAACGGTCCCTGTCTTACTCCACCTTGAACCAGGAAGACCAGCACCTGCCCAAAGACCTAAGTCCCTTCAGAGTAGCTGGGCATCCTGGTAAGACTTAAGTACAAACCCATAGTCAAAAGCATCAATACTTTCCAAGCATAGTGAAGAGTAGGTGAAAACTAGAGGTGACTAGTAACTGCTTGAGCTGATCTGCAAGGTTGTTCTGAACTCTAAAGAGCTTTTGTCTTGGCTCCAGACCTCACCTCCTGAAGACTCTTCACTCCCATTCAAGAGAAGAAGGCTCGCTCACTCATTCATTCAAATATTTGGTGAGCAACTCATGCTGGTGAACATGACAAACAGAAAGCCCTTCCTCATGGGACTCTAGTAGGAAGGAACATGTAGGGGGTGAGGTTCCAGTTGTGAAAAGGGTGATCTTCAAAGGCCACTCTGATAGGATGACACTTGCAGAAAGGGTGCAAGCTACACAGGTGTAGAGAAACCTGCTCCCAGCATAGACAAACGTCCTGGTGCAAGCTGGTCCAATGAGTTGAGGGGGGACAAACAGGCCCTGTGGCTGGACGGTGGAGGGGGAGAGAAATAGGGAGGGGTTTTAGCCAAGGAGTGACATGAGATGACCTAGTTTTTAAAGGGATCCTTTTGATTGAGAATAGAATGGGTGAAGAGGGGCAAAGGAGCAGAGAGAAACAGAGAGGGCCAACAGGATCCAGGTGGGAGATAATGGCAACTAGGCTGGGCCGGAAGCAGTGGTCAGACACTTTGAATATGGACCAGCAGGATTTGCTGGAACACGGAAGGATGAGAGGGCTCAGGGTGCCTCTGTGTTTTTCAGCCCAAGAGACTGGAAAAATGGAGTCTCTATCACCAAATGGAAAGACAGGAGGAGCAGGGTGGGGAATATAGAGGGGCGGGGACCAGGGCTTCAGTGGGACATGCTAAGAACATGTGGACATGGAGTCCAGAAGAGAGACTGGAGACATCAGTGTGAGACAAAACCACTAGCATTAATGTCACTCAGAGACAAGAGACAAAATTGCTGAAGGAGAGATGTGGAGAAGGAAGAAAGAAGAAGAGAAGGGTTGGAGGTAGGAGCCAGTGACGGGGAGCAATCAATCACAGTAGCAAAAAGGGACAGTGGGACTCTAAGTTGACACCACCATCCAAGACAGGGCTTTAGTGTGGAGGGAGGAAGAAGAGCCTGGAAGTTGCAAAGAAGAGCAAAAAAGATGTGTCCCCACCCCTAGGCCAGTGGTGTTGGGGAAAAACAGAGCCATTCTCTGAGAGCGGGCCCAGCAGAGTCCCAGGCTCCAATTCCCAGGGACAAAGTGAGGAAGCGTAGGAGCGGGGTTGTCTTTGGGCATTATGGACTCTGTAACACTGGATCTCAGCTCCCACATACACTAGCTGCCTGATGACCCCGAGCAAGGTCACTCATTTTCCTCCCCTATCGAATGGGTATGGTGACAGTCACTGACACTTCCAAGGGCTGCTGAGAGGAGCGAGGGAATTAAAATTTGTGGATCCCATAGAAGCATGCTGGAACCCAGACAGCAGCACGTGAATACTTGTAGGAGGAGGAATGGGATATGGAGTTTTCAGGAGCTGGGGAAGGCTGGAGGGGGAGAGGGGAGAGATGCAGAAGAGAATGGAGGTAAAGGGGTAGGGGAGCAAGAGATGAAAGGTGGTCTGGGAACCTGGGATCTCTCAAGCTCACTCCCCAAAATGAGGATAGAGAGCATAATAATTAGTCCTAGAAAAGGAAGGACCTCTCAGATTCCTGCCCTCTGGATTAATGTCTAACAAGAGCCTTTCTAAGTGGTCCTACTTTTTGCTCCCCTCTTGCTCAGCCTAAGCTGCCCAGGGTTTTATTGTCTCTGCCTCAGGTCACTGATTAACTCACTTGCTAACATGTTCAGCTAAACGTAGACTTATAATGGTTTACATTGAACTTCAGAGACTCACAGCAACAGCAATGGTATTTCCAGGGTGGGTGAAGCAGGTAGCCTGAGCCATGGCAGGTTTGAGGTCAGCTACAATGAGAAGCTACAGTTCTGATAGTGGCCACTGGAGGGAGCCCATGCCAAGATGGCTGCTGATGGAAGGTGTGGGGATACAAACCTGCAGTAGTCTAAAGGCCCAAGGAGACATTTCCTACCTGGGTCAATTCTCTAGGGAAGGTCCGAGTCAGGCCTGGATCTTCCACTCATCTACCAGGTTCCTACAAAAGAATAAATTTCAGCAGAGAAATCACTAACTTCGGGGAGCAGGACCCCCTCTTCCAAGTCCTGTTCCCTAGCTTATGCTCAGATGTCCTTAACCAGATATGTCTTGCAAATAGTTTTCCCAGTCTGTTGACTATCTTTTCATCTGTTTGATGGCATCTTTAGAAGTGCAAAAGTTTTGAATTTTGACCTCCAAGTTGAGATGTGAAGGTGTAAGTGCACCATGCAGTGGGGAAGGGTGGGCAGAGGGAACCATATTGGCAAAGACCCAGGGAAGACACTGAGCACAGCATTTTGGGGAAGTGAAAATGGCTGGAAAGTAGGTTAGATCACTGGTTTGTCCATCCACCCATTCATTCATCCAACAAGGTAGAGTATCTTCTCTTGCCAGGCTCTGTGTAGACCTTTGGGATTTGGGGAGACAACTGCTATTGACCTAGGCTCCTATTCTGCCTGGAGGACACTCAGCCACAAGGTCTCAGCCCCTAAGCCTCCAGTCTTGCTGGATGGGGGGATTCCTTCCAGCAATCTGGTCAGTGTAGGGTTTCAACTCCACCTTGCTGCTTGGTTTCTCAGTGAGGAAAGAGAGGAAAAGAGAGCCACCTTCACCACCCTCACCACCCTCCTTAGCTCTCTCAGGCAGCAGACAGAGACAGTAACAAGGGAGATTATTGCCGTGGAAACCCAGGGCAGTAGCCAGCCTTCCTCCACACCCCGCACCATCTTGGACCTGCTTTCTTTACTCATCTTCATGATAACCTTGTAAGGCAGTACTATCATTACCCCCACTTTCTAGATATGGAAAGCTAGCTCTTGAATGTGACAGAGGCACATGGAAGGTCTAGGTGTTGGCTTTCTGGAGATACTGGCATAGAGCCCTGGCAAAAATGAAACTTGAAACACAAGGATACTACAGGGCATATGGCAGGGGCACCAGCCTGGCCTGGAGTGGTTGGGTGTCAGGGAATATGACTCTTTGGGCATCAGTCTCACAGCAGAGGGGCAGTGGGAAGAACTAAGGTACTTGAGGCCAGATAAGGACTAAAATCCCACATCTACCCTTGCTAGCTGTGTGACCATGGACTGTGACTTCACCTCTCTGAGTCTCAGATCCTTTATCTAGGGTAATAATAGTACTGCCTCACAGGTTATTGCAACATTGAAGAAAATCCACATAAAGCCCTCTGCACAATGCTTGAAAAGTAGGAAGTGCTCAGTATTAGCCAGGACCACCCTCATTGTCATAGCTTCTCTGTGAGATGGTGCTAAGGGGCCCAGACCCGGCCATCTCTAGGCTCCTTCCTACCACCAACTCTATTCTGGGGCAGGAAAGAGGAGCGATGTGGGGATGAGAAGGAGGGTCTGTTATCCCTCACACTGCAGTTGGAGGGCAGTTAGTGCCTCTGTTCTTTCTGTGAATGAAAATAAATGTCAGTCTTGCTTTCGGGCCAAGGAAAGGCAAAGGAGATGATGCCCAAGTCAAGATTCTCAGGTTCCCTACATGGCTGCACATCCTATTTTCCAGGACAGTGCATGGTGGCCTTCCTCTTGCCCTTCCCCATCTTGGTTTCCTATGTCAAAAACTTGATGCTCTGTAGTTCTTAGGCCCCGGCAAAGTTTTCCTTGGCAATTGATCAAAGATTTCAAAAAGAACAGCTTTAGCTGGGTGTGGTGGCTCACACCTGTAATCTCAGCTTCTTGGGAGGCTGAGATCAAGAGGATTATGGTTCAAGACCAACCCAGGCAAAAAATTCTCAAGATCCCATCTGAACCAATAGCTTAGTGTGGTGGTACACACCTGTCATCTCACCTACTCCAGATGCGTAAATAGGAGGATCAAGATCCAGGCTGACTTGGCCATAAAAGAGGGATTTAAAATAACTAAAGCAAATAGGGCTGGGGGCATGGATCAAGTGGTGAGCTTCCCCAGCAAGTACGAGGCCTGAGTTAAAGCCCCCATTACCACCCCCTCCCACAAAAGAACAAAGTTTTGTCTTTCTGACTCCTCTATCCACGGTCCCTCACCTCCTGTGCTCACCTACTGCTGTCCTGATTAGCCAGGCCAGCACTCTGCTCTCCTGGATGAGCTACATATCTGAAGACCAAGTCTCAAGGATGACCCTAGAGTTAGGATTTTCTAGGAGTCACTGTGGAGCAACCAATTTTATTAGTAGCTGTACACTTACTCTGGACTGAATATTTTCCATTTAAGCACAATCTCATTTAATCTTCACAAGCATCCTAGGA